GCAATGTTTTTAAAAAAGAGGCAAAAAAAGTATATTTACAGAGCGATGCAATCGTAAAACACCAAATGCGTGAGTCCCGCTCGTCTAATTTCGTCTTTAGCCGCACGTCAACGCTCCGGCCTTGCCAAGGCGGAGACTTCACCGATTTGCATATAGTCGCAGCCTTTACCTACATTTCGTTGGGCGGAATTCGATGGTTTTATACAAGAGAGCTAAGCGCTCGGTCCGCTACTACCGCAAGTACTGGATTCATATCTTGATTTTGGTTCACCTTTGTCTGTGTGTAGTGTGTACACAGTCATACTAATGGAATTCCTTTTTGGGAATTTCTTTTTTACACGTCTGGTGATTTTTAATTGAATAAGTAATTGTTGCAAGAAAGGATCATTATAAGATTTGAAATAAGTTATTAGGATAATACGTTAAATTTGTGGACTCTGTTGCTATTGGCTGCGGCACCGGGAGTAAAGAGTTCGATTCCCATACGAGACTACTATTTGATTCAATCACTGTTACGTCTATCACTATTCATCAGTTAATTCTTCTGCATCTGGGTTTTATAAAGTAAAAAAATATATAAATTATATATAAAGATCCAGCCGGTAGTAAAAAAACCTACCCCAAACCACTTACAACATAATTTACATTTTGTCCCGACCCCACGGTGGAATTACGAAAAACATAATTTACATTTTGTCCCGACCTCCTACTCATCCCACCTCGGTGGAATGAGTAGGACGAAAACGTTGAATTGAAAAATTTGACAAAGCGGCAAAACTTTTTTATTTTTTAGACAAAATTTATAATTTCTATTTTTTTAAAACATTTCAAAAATTGTATATAATTGTACCTAATACACTAAAGATTATAACAAAATGAAATAATATTTATTCAATTATCTCTCCCACTTGCGTCTAGTTACTTAGAAAACTATAATAAAAAAATATCCCTAAGCTCTAGAAAAGATCTGCAACGAGACCACATAAATCCCTTTAACCCACTTATCTTCGTTTTCGAATAATGCGTTGTACATAACTACGTAAAGTTACTCAACTACTTAATACTTTCCATAAAGCGCACCTGTATGCCCGCCGACCTACAAACCTACAAAGCGCCCTTTTATTTATAAATAGCCCACGCTAGTGTATGAAAATGTTTCATAAACATACTTATTCGCCTCTTCTCTCCTTTAGCACACTCGTTCGTGTATTTTGCTTTTACCGATTAGGTATTATATCGATTCAGAAACAACTTTCAATAATTTTCTGACAACTTAAGACCTAGTACTATTCTAATATTATGACAATTAACAATTAAACTCATTTAGTTTATGTTACACGCATCATCGTCATCTCATCATCACAGCTTGTTCGTGTCCACTGCTGAACATATTTCCTCTTCCTCCCCCAACAAAGTTTTAATTAATTACTGCATTTGTGTGTTTAAAATTAAACAATTACAATATAATAATTTATAAAATATAAAAATTTTCCAGTTATTTAGTAAGTGTTGGTGGTAACTTTAATCCTTTTCTGAGGTCGAAAAAAAAGGTAGTCTAGCTAAACGCGAAATAACTATTTATGTATTGTGCAATTTAAGCGCAAATATACTAGGCTCCAGTTTGTCGAGTTGCAATTATTAAATTGTTGACACGTTCAATAAATAAGTTATATAAGATATACAGTCGTTTTTGATACCTTTATATAGATTTCAACTTTAAAAACCACACTATTCGTTTGCTACATAAGTAAATTTATAGTCATGACATAGAAAGCGTTTAGTTAGTAATATCGATATTTACTGATTAAGTTTGAATAAAATGTCCGTAGCCACGCTATAGTGAAATAAGTCACGATGTTAAGTATGTAATTGAGTGAATTTAAAAAGCTAATTATTATTTAACCAGTGATTATAATATTAAATATTAACTAAATTACATATTATCTAACTATTATACACAAGTCATGGTGCCGAAAACGCTGGCTGCCTTTAATCGCTGAATGGTTTCGTGTTTACTTTTAAGCAAAAACAGAAAGGCCCTCTTGTCACCAGCGAAAAATTATTTTTAATGAAAATATTTTTTAAGTTGCCAAAAGGATGGTAAAACTCTTTGAATTGATCAGAATGATCTTCCTAATAATCAGAATGATCAATTCAAAGAGTTTAATCTTTAGTTAACTTCTATGGTGATCAGTGTTTCAGAAACCGGGCGTTAGTCTTATCAGTTGATCAACTGTAATGTATAGTGAATATTCAGCTCGTCTTAGAATCCCTCTGCCAAGTTCTTATTCAATATACTCCAGCATTCGGAATTGAAACCCCGCTGCACGGCACCAATGAAATTACTTATTGAAAGTTTACGTGTTTGATAGTAAAAGAAAAAATCGTTATGGAACTTGCATATTTTTGAAATAATAGTAAAAAAATCCCGCCCAATAAATAATTTGGCAATATAAGACCAAAATAAGCGCGATAAAATAAAAAAATAAAAAGAATTTTTATCTCCTTTCGTTTAATACAACGTCCATGATAAACGAAAATACAACGAAGCTTAAGTGTTATGTCAACAGCAGCCTAATAATTTGTACGTTTCCTTACAAAAGAATTGTATAAAGTCGCAATTATCGTTTAAATAATAATTAACGCGCCAGATAAGATATCTCATTATTACATTAGTGCCGTGCACTTGTTAATACATAATTAAAGAATGTCAACACGAAGCATTGATATTGAATACGTACATCGTTTTAGATTTAAAACGATATTACGTTAAGCGTTTTTCTCCGAACCGTGTAAATACTTGGCAGTGTTACCGCCATGTTTATCAATTCCGCCTCATCGGCCCCTCCAAAAGCGAACGATTTTTGAGAGCGAAGCCCGCCGCCCGCCGAAGCCCTTCATAGGCCGTGATGCGGCGTATCGCGTGAGATTTCCTTCCGAAACAGCCCGGCGGCTCGTTAATTTCCTTTTATAACGATGACATTTCGATTATACTCTCCGCTTTTGTTCAGTTTTTTTTTTTTTTTTTTTTTTTTTTATGCGAAAAGTTGTCAAACGAGCAGACGCTTCACCTGATGATAAGTGAATACCGCCGCCCATGGACATCTGCTACACTCGAGGGTTACAGATGCGTTGACAACCTTTTGAAAATTGGGCTCCGGCTACCTCCTCACCTCACCAGACGAAACGCGAAAGTATTTGTCATACTTCCACTTTACGCCGGTCTTCTGTGAGGTCGTGGTACTTACCCGGACGGGCCTGCCCATTCGTGCAACAGCCGAGGCTGCTGCGTGGCCCTACCACCGTTAAAGTTTAGAAAAAGCTGGCGAGTGTTTTTTTTTAAATGTGAGAATTTAGTGTAACGAGCTGGCGGTTCACCTGATGTTAAGTGATAACCGCCTGCCCATGGACATTTGCAACACCCGTATGGTTGCAGATGCGTTGTCACCTCTTAATAAAGTGGGCCCCGGCTACCTCACTCACCAGACGAAACGCAGAAGTAGTGCTACACTTTTACTTCACGCCGGTCTTCTGTGAGGTCGTGGTACTAACCCGGACGGACGTGCCGATTTGTGCAATAGCGAACACTGTTACGTGGCCCTACTAGCGTAATTTTATTATTTTGTGTGGAAGGGTTTGGGTAGTAATTCCCAATGACCACAACCGACCTAGAAGATATATTGTAGTCTTCCCTTCAAAAATAACATTATACTGTGTTCTAATCGTTTTTCATACATAAATTTCACGTATACAAACACCCAGATACGAAACAAATATCTGTAGGTCACATAAATAGTTGCCTCGTGTGAGAATCGAACCTACGATCTCCGGTGCCGAAGCCAATACCTTGGCAACTGCGCCACTGGGTCATCATGACATTAACATAACTAGCACATTTAGTATTAAGTGAGTTGTTGGTACGTGCTACATACACGTGCACACGAAGCATACTTGTTAATTACACACACAGACGCCCAAATACGTGAGTATCGAACCTATGACCCAGGGTGACGAAGCTTATCAACTAGTCCAATGAAATACTGATAGGTATGAGTGTTTCGTTTGATTAATGATGATGATGATGAATGATTGGAATTATATCAGTTTAGTTCAATATTCTTCTTGATCATAAGTGTTTATCGTTATACAATCAGGTGGACCGCTTACTCATTTGACGATATTATGTTAGTAAAAGAAAAAAAATCTGAATATTATTCATTCGAAAAAGAGTACTTTTTTGTGTCAGCCGCTACAGCGCTTTGCAAACTTTATAAGTCGCTGCGCATAAAATGAATCTCTGGGCGGCTCGCTCGCGCGATTTGTCCGACCTCTTTCACGTGCATTAATTGACCCAATAGGCGAAGCTTTCGAAACCATGCCCGGAAAGTTGTCAGTTGATGTTAGCAAATGTATAGTATATTTGCTAACTTCAACTGACAACAAATTTACTCGAAATTTGCAAAAAAATGTCTTAGGACGGAAATTGTGCGTATTTTCATTACTAAATATATATGTCTTCGAATGAAGTTACTCATTGACTATTAGACTCTTGTATGTTATTCTTACCCGTTGTTTAACGCATTTTTAATGTGAGAAGGTGGCTAGCGAGGCGGTTCACCGGATGTTAAGTGACAACTGCCGCCCTGACATATGCAATAGCTCGACCCCCCGAACTCGCAGAAGACCGGCGTGAAGTGGAAGTGTTACACTTCTGCGTTTCGTCTGGTGAGTGAGGTAACCAGGTTCCGCTTTTTCTAAAAGTGTTCAACGTATCTGCAAACCCTCGGGTGATGTAAATATGCATGGCCGGCCGTAAGCAACGTCCTGTTCGCTTCACTAGCTTCGGTTCTCATATGAACAAGTCTATCGCGACACCTTTTCTTTTATAACAATTGAAGTTGTACAGGAAAAGTTCGGTCTGCTTCTTACCATCGGAAGCGGGTCAACTCCATATAGCGGAGCGGGTCCAGCGCAATATAACATTGTCTTGGCTGTTCCAGCGCGCGACCGTTTCCCGTCGACCTCGTCTACGGACGACAACGAGTCCGGCACCGATGGCGAGGCGGACCGGTCGAGGCGCGCGATGGCGCACGCGCCCCCGCCCGGCATAGTGTCCGTGCGCAAGAGACGCGGCAACTTGCCGAAGCACTCGGTGAAGATCCTCAAGCGCTGGCTGTACGAGCACCGCTACAACGCATACCCAAGCGACGCGGAGAAGCTCACGCTCAGCCAGGAGGCGAATCTCACGGTGCTGCAGGTAGGTGGTGGCGCACGGTGGTATATAAAGTAAATGAATATTTTAGTAAACATTTTTACACAACGTTCTCTAGTCCCAAACTAAGCAGTGCTTAAACTATGGGTACTAGAGAACTGATAAACAAACTTAAACATACTTTTTTTGTAAATACAGTTTATAGATATATACACACCCAGACACTAGAAAAACGCCATGTTTATCACACAATATTTACCAGTAGTGGGGATCGAACCCATACCCTCTGGCGCAGGAGGCAGGTACACTGCCCACTACGCCATTCGGGTCGTCATATCACGTAACTATTTGCAATGCTCAACCAAGTCGCGGAATCTGTTGTGGCCAGCGGTATTACCGCCGACTTAGGGACATTCGAGAAGAGAGCCTCACAAAGACCGGCATTCGTGACTCCTCTAGTGTTGCGAGTGTCCATGGGAGGCGGTGGACACTTACCACCGGTTGGCTTGTCTGGTCGTTTGTATCACGTTCCATAAAAACCACTATGCGCTCGAGGCGATTGCGTCACTTACACCCAAGCATAAAGACTTGCTGGCTTTGCCAAAGATTTGGCCGCAGTAAATTGTGCTCGAATCACACTTGAAAGTTGATGAAACACGAACTATTGTCGTTTGCCCTAAACTTCCTCACCTGGTTTGTCTATGGTAGATATACAAACAACTTATATAACGGCTGCGGCTTTTGAGCCTACGAATAAGTCACCTCGACCGGGCACAAACGAAACGTCGGCATGTGATGAGTGCCAGTGAGCCGGGATCCTCGCTCAACATCGGGCGAACCGCTCGCTCAGTTAACATCTCTTTCAGTAAGATACAAATGCAGAATAGTAGGCCCATCAAACAATTTTCTCTGATTAAGCTGGCTACGACTAAATCGAATCTCTTGGCAACTAGATGCGTAGGCGGTTTCGAATCTTCTCGTATGTAGATTTGTCTAATCTGTGCATCTGTTGGTCGACTTACGCAGGTGTGCAACTGGTTCATCAACGCCCGCCGCCGCATCCTGCCCGAGATGATAAGGCGCGAGGGCCACGACCCCCTGCATTATACGATCTCGCGGCGCGGCAGGAAGCAGCTGGGCTCCGGCAGCGGCCAGCCGGGCCTTTTGGTTGGCTCCTGGGACAACGAGCAGGAGGTACGTGACCCTCGGCCCATATACAAACTTACACATAGTTAACGATTTACGGACCAACTATTTTAAAGCTAAAAGTTAAGTTACTTAGAACGGAATATCATCATCGTCCTCCTGCCCGCATCATGGTGTCGGCACTAATAATCATGTTGTTAGCGCTTTCGGCTATATTTTTAAACTCTTTGGTAATAAAAAAAACATATCCGTAATAATTATCGGTGGCCCATACAAATATCCGTCTCGTATGGGAATCGAAATCACGATATAAGTCAATAGCTTAGAAACGTGAAGAAACGTAAGCCACCTGCAGCCAAAGACCTCCCGTACATTCGCACAAGTCGAAGTCGTGCCACCCTATGATGGCCAATACTGCGCCGCATATGATACGACCCCCTACTAGATGGAGTGACGACCTGTGCAAATGTGCGGGAAGTCGATGGATGCAGGTGGCTCAGGATCGTACTTCATGGCAGTCTGTGGGGGAGGCCTATGTTCAGCAGTGGACTCAAACAGGCTGAAATGATGATGATGATGATATGATACGAATGTCGTGTTTCGTCGGTCATTCCGCACTGTGATGGTGTAACCGTGCCACATATATAACACACATAATTTGATACACAGATAGGCCAGAGTCCGAGAAAGGTTATTTTTTAATTGGGAAAAGTGTTGAAAGATATTTATTTAAGAGCTTCAACACGAGCGAAGCCGCGGGCGAAAAGCTAGTTATGTATAGCTAACTAAGGTCAGTGATGTGCCACATGTGTATAACTACGATGATAAATGCTTAGCCACATATGTATAACTAGATGCTAAATACTGCGTCACATGGGTATTATACGATAACGTCGCTTTCCGCAGGCGGAGGGCGAGCGCGGCCGCGACCACGATTACGGCGACGGGCTGCTCGTGTACCGCAGCGACGGCGACGAGGTGGCCGACGGCGAGGAGGGCTACTCGTCGAGCGCGGTCAGCGAGGAGGAGGTCAAGTACGACCCCTCCGTCTGGCAGTCGGTCATCCGCTACGGGCCGGAGGACCGCGAGCTGCACCCCGCCGCCAGAGGGTCAGTCTCTGCTCCGTCGATGTCCTTGCACGAGTAGCATGCAGCTGGAGTCCTACCCTCCTTAGATGTAGCTAGAATCCTACCTCGTAACATGCATAGCATGGTCCTAGTAGTTAGTAGATAGTTCCATCCTATCTCCTTACACATATCATGTAGCTAGAATCCTTAATAGAAGAGACAGATTAAACCCTTAACAACACTAATTCACACGTTCTCCGGGTTCGGAGTTCGACTTTACCATGTCATTGTAAATATGTATTAATGCCAACGGCGTCCTTAGGAGCGCGGCGGTGGTGACGGTGCGCACGTCTGAGGAGGCGGCGGCGGAGGAGGCGGCGGCCGGCGGCGGCGAGGGGGGCGCCGGCGGGGCGGGCGCGGGGGGCGCGGGAGGCGGCTCCGACGGCGGCGGCTGGCACCCGCAGCTCGCGCACCTGCCGCAGCTGCCGCACCCGCTGCGCCGCCGCCTGCAGGTGAGCGTGTGTGCGTGTGTGCGCCTGCACGCGTAGGAGCGTGCGTAGCGTCCGTGTGTGCGTGCGCGTGGTTGCGTGTACAATTCTGCGGTGTAGATATTAGGCTCATTCCCGAATCTTCCAGCATTGCTACATATTGAATAAGTTTTCTTTTTATGTAACATGTCGTTAGCGCCTACTCAACTAATACTTCAAATCTATCAAGCTGACGTGTCACATTAAAATGTTACATATAATCAATATAAAAATAATATCCGTTGAAAAAATAAGAAAAAACAGCTTTAACGAGTTTTTTTAATGTTATTAGAATTATTGATTTTATAGTACTTTATAACTAAACGTGATACTTGCAATCCACCACGCAGGAGGCCGTCAGAAAAAACCCTTTAGCCTAGTGCACATGGGTAGATGTAGGGATGCAGAAGTGGTGAAAGATGTGTCTCTAGAAAAAGGATATAAGCGTTCATGTATGTAGGCTCGTTGCTATGACAGCACCGTTTGAATTTACAGTTTGAGGGTTCAATAGTTTAAAGTAACAGCCTCTTATATTTGAAACATTTTCCTTTATTATTATTAAACAGTCGCTTAATACTTACCAACCGTCGACAGGTGGTACCGAGCAGCGCGGCGGCGGACGGCGAGCGCGACAAGTTCAAATGCCTCTACCTGCTGGTGGAGACGGCGGTGGCCGTGCGCCAGCGCGAGAAGGAGCAGGAGGAGGTGGCGGTCTAGTGCGTGAGTGGCCTAATACCTCTAGTGTGTGAATGGCTTAATACCTCTAGTGTTTTAAATTGTTTATAGTGCTAATCTTTGCACTTTAAGATTGAACATTAAAATATGTAGAAAAAGTGCGAAAAGATTGTCGCCGCTGTGGGAATCGAACCCACGTCTTCGGCATTCGCGGCCTGACGCTCTAGCCACTTTAGCTCATTGGCTAGATGAGTGGCGGTTATCACTTAACATCAGGTGAACCGCCAGTTCGTTTGCCACTTTCTCACATAAAAAAATAAATTCTTAGAATATTAAGAATATTAATTACGAATTCCTCTACAGGCCATCGGCGCACTGACTGCGTGCTGGCCCGCGGTCTATCGGTGGACAGTCGCGCGCATTTCACTTGGCTACGGTCGCGTACACAGGCGTTCATCCGCAAGCGAGCTGTTCATTCGAATGCTGGCTGCTCGCGTACAGTCGCGTTCATTTCGTCGGTACACAGTGTTCGGGCTATCAACGTACCCGTCCACTGCGACATCCACAAGAAAACTGTCGACGTTGTACTGTCGCGTCCACTAACTTTACACTCGAAATACCACACTTTCATTATAGAGGACGTCAACGCACTGCATATAGAATGTACACCGAAGGCAGTCAAAGGGATTTTATACTTGGTTTTTGTTTGTCCTTTCGCAGAGGCGTATTTCTTTGGTACTATTGTTTTTCAACTAAGTACATACATCTAGAAGTATATGTATGATCAACAAATATGTAAGTGGATATGCTTTATCAATATAGGAAGATTATATGTTTGAATAATTTTATTTCATTAACACAGTACGGTTTGAATGTTGCGTTATCCGGGACTAACAATGATACGATAAGTAAATCCTAATATATCAATGTTTGTAACATATATAAAGTATTTTACATGCCTACAATATTGGATAATTGCTATATCAAATATTATTCAGAACTTTTGTTCCTAATTCAACTCGGACACATCTATTCTGGGTGTAGTAGCATTAAATTCATTTACTTGTCAATTAAACTCTTATCAATATAAATTAATTACGAATAGAAGTCTTTGAGTTGAACAGAGTCTTGGTCAAAATATAAACATTAAACCTCATTATTATACAAATGAAAGTAATGTATACACTGTATGAATTAATGTATGATGTACACCACATAGTGTTACTATCTAGATCCTGAAGTACAAAGTATTATTGCAACGAGTGCACATCTGGCATATGGAGTAGACTAATGTTTTCGTTTATATGAAAAATCATTATTAATTTTTCTTGGTTTTTTTTATTTTTTATATAATAAACTTATGCATTTTTTTTTCTTTCACAAGAAATGTATTTTTAAAACATGTGGTTAATATTCATAATTTACTGACAGTTTGTGTAATACCTACGTATAAGCTAAGTAAGCTCAGTCCGGGATAGGTTTAAAAGTTTTGAAATAATTAATTTGCTATGGCTCGCCTAAAATGTACCTTAATTGTCAAATTACACAACAGTTACTTTGAAATGTTTGTAATGACCAGATAGACAGATAAATAATGAAGTTTGTATTAGTATTGCCCAGGCATTTATTTGGATTGTCCATAATTAATTTTCATTTTCAATGCTGTCTCTGCATTCAAGTTGAAACTTTAGATATGAATGTTTGGTACCTGCACTTTCTGGGCGCGATATTCGGATCTTTAAGACTGTTTATCTACAAAAAATCGACATTTTAAATTTTATTATTCATATTGCCCAAGCATTATAAATGGATCACTAATTAATCAATTGGTAAATAACATATACCACCATAATTCTACTGTGACTATACATAGAAACAATTTATGCAAAATGAATCTGTTAATGAAGCATATACCGATTAATTATACAATATTTACATCTATCTGAATCTAAAATTAACAATCATATAAATTTTTCTCAACAAACATGTTATGTTAAACAATATTTTATATGTTGGTTTGTTATATACAAAAAATATATCAATAAGATAGACATTGAAAAAAAATTATACTATATGGATCTTGTTAGCCTTTTTGATATTTGAATAACATGTTTGTATATCATAAATGTTCTAATTTCATAATGTAATGTAATAAATAACCGATTGTCTATCATTACCCATAAACTTTTTGGCATGTTAACTACTCAATGTCCCAATAACTTGACTGAATGAATGATCACTTCTTATCATACAACATGTGTTTGTTGTCATTCATTCAGAGGTTATAACGCTATGTTGTAATTAATATATAATTTATATCAGTCTAAACATATACAGATAACATGTATATAAATAAAGAATATTGACCGTAGTATGTAGGGAATATAGAAAATATATTTTCGAACTATGTTAATTCCGCTTTATATGTTTCTAACATTTTACTTAAGTGGTTGGTGGAATTTGGTGGATTAGACTTAGCGATTTTTGTAGGTCGCATTGTCGATTCATTGTTTTTGCGTCGATTAATATGTAGTATGATACAGTGTTCTTAAGTAGATTTGAGTATTTTTTTCATTTTTGTTCCTTAATTGTACAAGCTGTACATATCTTATTTTCGTTTGTATTTTGGAGACACTTCTTTCATAGAAATACTGGTGAAATTAACCGTGTACGTAATGATATCGCTTATAAATAGTTTTGAGTAACCAGAAGGAGGAATTATTCTTTATTTTTTTTTTTTCGTAATAACCCTTATATATTGATCAATTTGTAATAATGTTTATTATATCTTAAAAATGTATAATCCTATTTCATTAAATGTAATATCGAAGTCTATTAAACAACTTAATAACATTTATAAAGTAGACACATTTGGGTGTTATTTTGATTACTGGTTCTGAATGGATTCACCAGATTTTATTGTAATGTACCCAAATGGAAATTGTTGTGTCCATGAGATCCAAAACATTTAATCGTTCTATAATAAAGTGTAGTGGGGCAATTTGTTGCAATATAAAAACTATATATAAGATGTAATTAAGCGATTCATAACATTAATGTGTATACATAAATATATATCTATCTTTTGTAACAACATGTAAAATGACCATAGAGAAGGCTTTAAATTTTAACGTAGACTTAAACCAAGTGCTTACGCATTGTTAGTAATATGACGATGATAACAAACGGTGTAACGTTCTACATCAATGCATTGTGTGATCGTAACTATGTTTTGCCACCGCGGTAGGGTTGTTGGCGGTTGGATGTTTTATATGAAACTACTACTAGTACTTGTATTAAGAATGTTTTACACATAATTAAGGTCCATTAACTTCGCGTGCCAACCATCACAGCGACAGTTCTTGCGTTACTATCGATGCATGCGGTTTATTAATTTCCGTCGATACGCCATTTTGTCGTGGAGGAGGTCGTACAAGATGGCCGCCGCATGGTTTTTAAATGTATTCTTATTTCGTTGGGACTGGCCCTATTTGTTAATTTTATCTTAGCTAAGTAAGGTTTATATGTAACTTTTGGTTTCTTGTTCGTCCTAAGTGAGGTTCTTTTCGTTCTTAATTTACCTGAGTACAATAACCGGACAATTTTTATTTTGTGTTCCCGCGTCTTTCTTTGTATATATTCGTGTGTAAGATTCGTAACTTGTTAGTGATTAAAATACGATTTGAGTTCACTAAATAAATGCGACTTTTATTTTCCATATCTTTTCCTCAAACTCCCATATCTGTAAATATGGATTTATATATTTATACTTCCAATGAACCAAAGAGTACACGCAAACTATGCTACACCTTTTCGCTTCAATTTCATCAAATCACGGAAACTTGGGAAGTTGCAAGCCCATTGTACAGTTATTTATGGCCTAGATATTAGGGCATAGACCACCACGCCATCCCATTAGATTGACGGAGTACATAACGTTGATTCTTTTTTGGTACTTAAAATATGCAGGTTTCGAATACCTACGATGTTTTCATATTTCATCGCTGCACAAGTCGCCACTTAATATTGTAATTAACAATTTAATTGGTGCCGGCAGCAGTAAGTAATCTCAGGTTGCTTGAGTACATTAAATAAAAATCAATCGCCAGGACCATGAGCTATCATAGCTCGAAATTAAACTCACCACGTATATTTGAAAATTTATAATTCATAGTAATTACTATCTTTAATTTAGTCTTAAATTTTATTACAATCTACGTAACCCAAAATCCTTTGGGTGATGATGCAATTATCCATCATAACATTTAGAAAACATAAAAATCCTTTAAAGTAGAGCGTGAATTATAAACTTTTATGACATAAAAAAAGAACAAAATGATACAAAGAAGAGTTAAATATGCTTTTGAAGTTGGTCCCGTAGGAACATGCAGATCTGGAAGTATTGCCCTCCCGTTCGCACCACTTAAGCCGCTATCTATCTCGCTCTCAAAAGGCGTCAATCGTTTTGGTGTACAGTTGCGAACAACTTTGTTACTATCTCTATATCTTTATTCTCAGGGGTGTTCTTTGTCGGAATGCGATAAATTCATAATCAAATTTAACGAATCAAACACCATTTTAAAGCTTATGTTTGTCACTATTGATGAAAAAAAGGATAAAGGTTACGTTTTCACAAAAATAAAACTCGTTTAAAAATCTCTAGAAATGTATGATAACGCCATCTATTGGCAATTTGTGTAAATTTTATTTATGTTTTTTTTTTATTGCCAGAATATGGTAGTACATTTTGATCTTAATTCTAATAATTTTGATGCAACATATTCAGCTGACCTTCAGCATGCAATTGTCAATTTCATATAAAATTATTTACATTAAAATATTGAAAATATACAATTATTCACATTAAAACATTTAAACATAATAAATTATTCCATTAAAATTATTATACGGATATATACCTTTGTCAAATTATTAAATGTCAATATTACGTAACAGATAGTCATTTATGTTATAAATCATTTTATCTAAGAGCCATTTCGTTATTTTCGTCTTAAACGAAGCAAGGGGCAATTATTTAATTTCTAACGGTAATTTATTGTACAAAGTTATGAACATAAAGTAAGCAGTCTTTTTATATACATTTAGGTTACATTTAGGAACATATAGTTTTTCTGGTCGACGTAAGGATCTATTGTTGTAATTATAATTCAATTCAAAATATTTCGGATACCTTTTCACCATAATGCACATCTCCTTAATATACATTGCGGGAAGAGGTAATATGCCTAACCTTTTAAATAGTGGCTTACAGCTGTCGAGTGGTTTCGCTCCGCAAATGGCTCTAATACATTTTTTTTTAATTATGAATACTTTTGTTGCATACGCTGAGTTACCCCAAATTATTAATCCATATGATAACGCCGAAAAAACATAACCATAGTATGCGCTTAATGCTGCTTCTTTAGAAACCGTTCGTCTAAGCTGACGCAGTGCATATACAAACTTATCTAATCTTGTGCAAATCATATCGACATGAGCTTGCCAATTACAATGTTTGTCGTAAATTATTCCTAAAAATTTTACATTATCTACTTCTTCTACTTTTTCATCACTATGTGTTATGTTGATTGATTTTGTTTTGCTGTTATATGTTTTAAATTGTATTAGCTTAGTCTTATTTATATTAATTTTAAGATTATTTTTATTTAGCCAAATGACGTTATAGTCAAATAATGCATTATTTATTTCAATTTCATATGTGTCCTTATTTTTATTTTGTATCAAAACAGTAGTGTCATCAGCAAACAATATGCATGGGTGCTTTATTGCATTCGGTAAATCATTAATATAAATTAAAAATAGAAGTGGCCCTAGTACACTACCTTGTGGGACTCCACATTTAACAAAACTATACTGAGAGGTATTTTTAATTTTAGTCGAGTTTAATATCTTTGTTATTTCGGTGCACTGCTTTCGATCCTTTAAATAATAAAGTGTTATTTTTTCTACGCTGTAATTTAAATAACTTGTGATCCATTGTTGTGCATTCCCTCTTATACCGTATCTATACAGTTTATCTATTAATTTGTCATATTGAACAAAATCGAAAGCTCTGCTCATATCTAAAAATAGAGCTGTAATAGGTAATTTATCATTTAAGCTTTCAGTAACTAATTTAGTTAATGGGAAGCAAGCTAAAGTAGTAGAATTATTACTTCTAAATCCAAATTGTTCTCTTAGTATGTTGTGCTTAATGAAATAATCTAGTAAGCGTTTATGTATTATTTTTTCAAAAATTTTTGCAATAATCGGTATCATTGTAACTGGTCTATAATTACTAATATCACATGGGTCATCTTTCTTTAATAAGGGTTTCACTACAGATAACTTTAAACTTTCTGGATATATTCCGTGTTCAATAGACAAATTAATTATATATGATAAGGGAGTACATATATACAGGGCACATTTTTTTAAAATGTCCGTACGTAATTCATCATAGCCTACTGCTTTGGTGTTTTTCAAAGTATTAATAATTTTAAATATTTCTACATTGTCGGTTGGATACAAAAAAATTGAACTATTACTCATTTTTATTAGTTTGTCTATGTCAGAATTTAAATATTGATGTGTCATATTATGTTGAGTCAAATTGATAAAATATTTAATTAAATAATTCCGATATTGTCAGGGGATCACTATACGTCTGATTATTAAAATTAATAATGTCAATGTGTGTATTTTTCGTCATACTCGTTGCACAATCTTGAATTAGATTCCACACAGCTTTACACTTATTTTTTTGATTTTGAATATTTTTTTTGATTACTTATCTGTTGAGCCTTAGTGCATTTTTTTTAGTAGCTTATGATACCTATAATAAATATGTTTATTAATATTTTTGTTATATTTTTCCAATCTGTACTTTAGGTATAACCTTTTATTTATACACGATATTTTTATACCCTTTGTTAACCATATCCTTTTTTTTAGTTTGGTATTTTATTTTTACCTTTATAATTGGAAAACATAGTTCATAATATAAACGCAGAATAGTGTGGAATTCTTTAAATGCGCCATTTACCTGGCCATGAGCGTAGACCTCAGTAAAACTAAGAGCTGATATGCATTGACAACACTTTCTTACATTTTCTACGTTATAATCTCGTCTGTATTCAAAGTAAGATGGGGGAACATTAATTTTTTTTACAGTTATAGTAAGCGTTTGCGCTGTTTCATGATCTGACAATCCTAAGTAGTGTATATTAGCATGTGCCGATCTTATATTACTAGTTATCATATCAATGCAGGATGTTAATCTTGTGGGTGTATTTATGTGCAAAATCATATTATATTTGCTAAGTATACTTTGTAGTTCTTTAGTTCTTTATTTATCTTAAGGATGTCTATATTCCAATCCCCGCAAAGTATTATTTTTTTACGTTTATGTTTCAAGAATAAAATGTTGAGCATCTCTTCCAATTTAAAGAAAAATTCTTTGAGGTCACTTTTTGGAGTTCGATAAATGCAAATTATTGTTATATTATGAATTTGTATTTCTACTCCATAGCATTCAAAAGTAAATGGTTGAGATACAGTTTTTAAATAATTTATAGTATTACATACCATGTCCCTTTGTACCAAAATACATGTTCCACCTCTTTTTACGTTTCTAGAAAACCATGCCACAATTTTGTATCCCGGGACTTTTAAAAGCAATTCTGTCCCTTTTTTCATAAATGTTTCTGAAAGGCAAATAACGTCAACAAAAGTGTTTTTTTTTTTACTTGTACTTAAATCGGTTAATGCTGCATATAACTCTGTCGATTTACTTAAAGCTCCAGCAATATTTTGGTGTAATATTGTGAAATCGAAAGTCTTTTTATTTGAACTAATTTGAGTTGTCAATTTGTTACTAATATTATTAACGATATAATGGATACCTTTCATTGATGAACACAATATTCTGGGAACACGCGATTAAGTTATTTTAGATGGTTATATTCTTTGTTTTTTATTGTATGTTCGATCAAATAAAAAATAAGCAACCACATAAAAACGTTTATTTTGATTATACACCAATCATTAGTAGGAGCGAGTCGACATGACTGTGCCGCGAACTATAAGGCAACACTTTCCCTTCGCACCCCGCCTCTCTCATCCACCAGTATCCTGCGTTTTGAATTGTCGAAGTTCAGTCAAACAATTCACTTTGTGCGTACCGTCTGACCAGGAAAATAGAATTTTGAAAGAAAACTGGTAGAACCACAGTCGCTTTCATTGCAAACGTATTATGTTCCCGGTCGGACTTTACGGTCCGAATTATTTCGTAACGATGTCGAGCTTGTTCGCGAGGCTGCCCCTCCGTTTGGTGTTGCCGCTTTCTGGCGCGGGGGACTTCCTTTTCGCCGGCGCGTCGGTGCTGCCAGTCTCCTCGATGACGATGTCCTGCGACGGTATCGCCATCAGCAGGCTGTCCAGGCTGCTGTTGTCTTTGCAGAGTGTTCGGTCGTCGTCTGCCAACATTTTACGTGACACTGTTTTAAGTACTCCCCCCACCGCCGCTTGGAATGGTTATCGCGTCCTGCGATCGGCGAAGCTTAATACGTATCACAAGCTGTGAATGAGTATTCTAAGGCTGATTCCCGCGTCACGGATCCAATTAATGACGGCATTTTAAAACAAAAAAATTTTATTATCAAAACTTATACTTAATATCTTTTAACCTTACTGAAATGTATATTAAGTCCAAAAACATGTACGTTAAAATTCTATAAAAAGAAAGATTATTCTTTCACTCACTTCTAAAGCTTAATTTGCATAACCCAACCGAAAATTACGGTTGTGTACATGAAAAAAAAATGATCGGCACAAGAAAAATAATCAAAATAATCTTATAAAAGAAGTCCTTTTTTCCACGACGTACGCCAACTCTATTCAAAGCATAATTTTATTAGGTACTGTATGGTCTATTCGTTGACTTCTGTTCAGCAATATGTTAACACAACGTATCAAAAAACGATAAGATTACTAGATGTGATATGTTACTCAATAACGTTATTCTTGTAGCTGATATATTGTTGGTACAATTTCGATTGAGTCAGATAAAATCCTAATATTGGAAAACTCATAAAATTTTAAGTTTTTAATATTCGACGTCAATGCAATAACATGTATAAAAAAACGAAACCAAATACAATAAAAATTTGTTATATATTATAGATATGGTGAGAGCAAAACTCTTGAGAGTTTAAATGAAATGATGCAGTTATTGAGAAGCAAAGGTATTTATTGAGAGTACAAAGCAAAAGGTCTAATGCAACAAAAATTAAGTAAAAGTAAAGATTTACATATAAATATATTTACAGTAAAATGAAGTGATTCAATATCTCAACTATAAGACAATAAAGAAAAGGCAAAAAAGAGAAATTCTGTTACATCGAGCTTCATATACTATTTTCTTCTATGAAAGTCAAATCATATTTAAACTGATACACTTATGGCCGCTTTAAGATACGTGAATTAGCGTTTAACTCACGGAATGTAGAATGGGTCGTAAAACAGCGGCTTTCAGGTCTGACCAGTAAGATATTGCGTGGATGCTAACCAGTGCCAGTCTTCTGCTTGAGGATTTGCTTCAGCCGGAACTCCTCCTGGGCGAGCCTCTGGCGTCGTCTCCTCTCCGCGCGCGCAGCCTCCTCGCTGGCGTCAGACCCCAACGGCTCCTGTCCACGAATTGCAGCTGTAACACCACCTTGAATAATAACCTAAAACTACCACTCGTTTTTGTTAGCACTTCCATGGTTCCATGGCTATTCGTCAAGTATCAAAAGAAAAGTAGAAAATCGGCCAAGTGCAAGTCGGACTCGCGCACGAAGGCATCCGTACCATTTTTTAAAAAACGGCAAAAAAAATCATGCCTGTTGTACGGGACCCTACTTAAATATTTTTTTATTCTGTTTTATAGTATTTGTTATAACAGAAATACGTCATCTGGGAAAATTTCAACTGTCTTAATATGACGGTTCATGAGATACAGCCTGGCGACAGACGGACAGACAGCGGTGTCTTAGTAATAGGGTCCCGTTTTACCCTTTGGTACAGAGGACTTGATCGACGTAAAGGAACTTATTTGATGTAACCCGCAAAAAAGGTTGCTCAAATAAGATGTGTATTCTATGTAATGTATTACAAGTTTCGTGTAGAGGGAAGGAGGTTGCAAATATTTAATTTTTTACAAGACTTACTTTTGCTGTGAAAATTTTAAATCTTACGTAAAATATAACAATTTTAAACCAGCAAATTATCTTTAAATAAATATTAAAAATGTAAATTAATAGTAATACTACTTTGACATCTGATTTAACGAATTTTAGGTCGAATTATGAAGATGAGCAGCCAATTGGAAATTATATAGAGATATTTAATAAAAGCTCCAAGAAATTCTTACTTATCATTTGGTACTTGGGGGAGGCAGGGGTGTACTTTTTTTATAATTTCATTTCAAAAAGGGTACTTCGCAGTGCGAGACGGGACCTGCCATAGGTCCGAAACTAGTCGGTACATACATCGATTAATCTCGTTAATGGCGTGAGCTCAACCGTTTTATCATTTCGTCTCTTTCAGTAATGTCTCACTTTAGTTTTAATAATTTTATACTTTATACCAAGTAATACCTTTAAAAGGACTTCAAGCTACACGGAAAGTTCTCAGTGGTCTCGAATTCACTTTATTAGGCTCTGCAAAAGTGGCCGTACAACGTTATCTAGTATTAGATTTATATTCACGTATTTCCTCACAGCGTTCGTACACTAGAAAAATGAGAACGATTGCGCATGATTTTTACCGCGTAAAGAATTTGGGAATTTAGTAAAGTAGCCCTTATACTGTCAAACTGTCGCTTTGCTCTTTAGGGTTCCCTAAATATGAATAAAATAAAAATGGGCTAGGCCTCCTCTGTACCTAGAGATTTTTAATCCACTGCGAATTGACATACTTGGTGTAACTTCAAAATATTATTGTTACAAAAGCACCGATATTTGAACTACGTGATTTGAATTAAAAGCGAGCGGTCGTACAATACACTATTATGTCAAAAATATAAGAGGCAATTATTTTATTCAGTTACGGCTTTGTTTAAAACCTACTATATTTATTTAAACCTGGCCGTAGTACACAAGTATAATATTTTTCTTCATAGGAATGTGTTGAAAGTGAATGGGTTCTTAAATAGTTTTATTTACCATCAGGCGGAATGAGAACTGAGTAAACAGGTAACATTCAGCCCACCGAACGATTAGGCTACTCTAATACAAGCAGATAAAGGCTGAATAGATCGAGTGAGACTTATCTTATAGGCAGCCTGATACACAAGCCGATAATTAATACATATAGACATATAGGATATGACACAAAAGGTATCTAATTTAAACGGTCAAAATTCAGTATGTACGATTAAATAAAAACACTTCGTTGCGTTTCAATATCCATCTATATAGCCCTGATGTAACTAGCTGCAATATTAATTAGTCGATGTAAGAAATTACTTTTTCATTCACAAGCTGCTGCTGCTGTTCATTTACTGTCGCGATTTTAAAGGCGAAAAAAAAAACGCAAAAATTCATTAAAAAAGTAATGATAAAACCAAAAAAATCAAAAAAGCATAAAAACAAAAGCTAATCAAACATAATAATAATAATAAAATAAAAAACGGTCCAAAACGACAAATGAAACATTCACAAGTTTTCAAACATTTTATTGCATTAAAAACATACACCACATGCAAGTATTTGACACAATACCGCACTTTATAATCTACGTAAAACCGACGAAAACACCGAAAAACCTTTCGCGTCTCAAATCTTAAAGACCATCCTACGTAGTACATCACCAATTCCTAAACGAAAATGGAAATAGATTGGCTTGAGGGCTACACTAAATAATGCGATTGTATTTTAATCGCATTACGGGCTTTGTTAGGGGCACAGATAAAAATAAATATCTATTAGCTTAACGATACCTGAAATCTTAGTTATTTAAAAAATAAATAACTATACCACGTTTTTACGAACGAATTACAAGTATAATATTTAATACGGAAGCCGGTATTTAAGAGGCAGGTATAAAAAGAATAACATTGCTTATTAATTGAAAATAATTTAGACAGTAAATAAAAACTCGGCAAAATCTGAGACAAAAAAAGCCGATTTTTATACAAAATGTTCTGCATGTAAAAATAACTTAAAAACAAACTTTTTTTTTTAAAAAACAGAATCAATCTTTTCAAATAAGAGTACTACATTTTTGTTAACAAAAAACAAAACTGATATGAAATTAATATGGGATCACATGGAGCAAAAACGAACTTAATTCAATAATAATTTTTAAAATCGAATAAAGGAAGTTCTGAGGTAAAAAACAAAAGAAAGAACTGTATTTCAATCTAATTAAAAACCTGCCCCTTTTTTGAAGTCGGTTGAAAGGCGATTTTATTTATGATCTGATCTGGGTATCGTAGTCGTTTTTTTATCGTAGTAGTAATTTAAACTGAACTGCAACAGGGCTTCCACGAATGTCTTTCCAAACTATAACCCGAAACTTCTTTGTGTTGTAAAACGGCCTACCCACTGTGAACCGTATCCTAGAGAGCGTACTTAATCTAATAACACTTATAGATAATAACTCCGAAAAAATTCAATAAAAAATAGTGTACTGCTTTGAGGACTTACCGAATGCTAAACGCTTTTTAGCCTAGAATACATACACTAAAAAAATCATCACTAACTCTCAAGTGCTAATTCTAAACGTCTAATTCTCCGATCGGCTCTATTTCTCCCCGGAAATGGAGACAATAAAAACTACTCATCAGCTTTCATGAATTGACACGTTTAAAAGTCCACAAAAGACTTTGGCAAATGCAAGAACGAACCCGCTTTCGAAAATCGATTCGTTATTATAAAATTAACTCCCGCCGAATTAAAGTCGAATAAAATTTTTTGTCGTTTTTATTCCTTCAAGGGTGTGCCTTTTTATTACACACGTGATAAAAATGGAGGGTGTTGATACATTTCTAAATATAAACTGGGTTTCGTTACCAATTTTGTTAAACTATTAAATAATGAACCTATACATAAGACAAGTCATACACCGTTCTTTTACAAAGAAATAGGATGAAGTAAAAGTTACTTATCCTGTTCAAGGGTATAAGAGTCTTAATCGTTAAGACAATAATCTTAAGTAGGCAAATCGAAGAATATAAGGTATATACCTGAATAAGGCAAGGCAAATATATTATATGACCGAAGAAAAAAGAATCTATAGACCTATTATGTGCACTTATATTTTGAAGAGACGAACTGTGATGCAGACATAATTGCATGACAAACGTGTGCGCAAGAAGACGCCGTAAAAAATGAAGCACAAAAGGTACGGGCACCCTCCGAACTCGAAAGCGAACAGCCGAGCACAGAGAGAATGGAGGAACGGAGGAACGGAGGAACGGAGCGAGTGCGCTCATGACTTGGAGGCGGCGTCCTGGGCGGCGCTCGGCGAGCTGGCCTTGAGCGGGTCCTCCGGGAACTGCTTCTCCACCTGCTCGGCGACCCACTTCTTCACCTTCTGCTCCGTCCAGAAGCCGTCGTAGAAGATGGTGGGCTTGATCCAGCAGCCCTGGCCCTGCGGGCCGCACGGCGCCTCGCCGCGGCAGTCTGCGGGCCGCGCGCACGCGCTCCTGCACTCGCCCGGCCGCGAGTTCACCACCAGGTTCTTGGGCGGCGCGCCGAAGTTGAGGTTCACGTTGCCGTGGTGCCGGTCGAAGCTCTCGTACGCGAAGTGCCACGGGCCCGCCGCGTACTCGTAGTACGCGTTGGGGAACAGGTGCGGCGGCGGCGCCACGTGGTGCGGCGCGCCCAGCCGCTGCGGCGGCGCGTACAGCGGCGGCACCACGCCCCCCATCACGGGCAGCACAAAACTTACGCTCGAGTTGGGGCGCAGCGGGGCCTGCGGCGGCGGCGGAGGCGGCCGCGGTAGACGGTTCGCCGCCGGCGGCAGGTTGGCCGGCATCGGGTGCGCCTTCGCCACCGGCGGGGCGGCCGCGGGGACGGGGGCGGGGGCGGGGGCCGGGGCGGGGGCCGGGGCGGCCTTGGCGGGGGCGGCCGCGCACTCCTTCCTCGGGCCCTTGCCGAGCGGGCTGTTCCTGGGCTCCAGCCTGCCGCCGATGTTCGCGACGTTGGGGTTGTTCTCCGTGTGCGCGTCGGCCGGCGGCGCGTTCGCCACCTCGCCCCGGCCCGCCTCGAGCTGCTCCATCAGCTCGCTGGCGACGCCGCCGCCGAAGCTGAGCAGAGTCTCGCGGAGCGCATTCGTCACGGCGCACTGGAATTTTTAATGGACGATATGTTTCTCGCGCGACTTATTACCGAGCAACATAGGAAAGGAAACAATCCACAACCATATACACCATAAGGTAAGGCACAAAAGCTGGAGAAAATAAGAAATGAGCAAGCCAGTATTGGAAAATGATGTTATACAAAGGAAAAATGCAAAAAAACACCCATATAATCTTGGATGAGAATGATATTTATGAACCTTTAGCAACAGATTATTCAAAAGTAATTTTCAAAATCACATATAAATCTATGGAAAAAGATTGTAACTGAAAATATACCTTTCTAGCTCGATGAATCGCCGAGCCTTTGTTTGGTGCCAGCGCTGTAGCATACCCAACATTCTCGCGGTGGATATCAAAGCTCTTAACCGAAACTGATACAAATGCTGCAACTCCCACAGTGTACTTGCCTCCCACCAAGTCAACAAAGTCTGCAAACCCAAAATTTATGGTAATTTAAGGTAAATCAAATAGTTTAGAAATAAAAATATTACAAATACATATTCAATATTTTATACCTATTATAATATAACTTAATGAGAAAAATGAAAATATAGACTGGTAACTTATATTTTTATCCAACTCAACTCACCAAGTTCCTGTTTGCTGACAGACCAGCTCCAGTTGTTGAATCCCCACTGGGAATGACCGAAATTGATCAGCTGTTGCCTCCTCTGCACTGGCTCCCACTCTTCCTCAAATGCCACAGATTCTGTTGAGGTTGCATCTGGCTGCAAAGGTTAAGTTTGGTAATTATTGGATAATATCATCAACCCAAATGTATCTACTAATCAAGGCTAATTATATTGAGACAAGCATAGAAATTTTAAAAAATATGCACTTGTGTATTAAATGCTGAAGTATCTAATGGGCACTGAATATTATAAATCACAATATAAGTTTTATGAATAAAAATATAAGAATTCCTAAAAAGATAACTTTTTCTTTGAATAATCTAACCGAACTTAACTATAAGCTGAATGTTCTGGTAAAATTTCCGTGTTAATTATAGAAGCAATATGCTTTTTAAAAGGCTTAAGTACAAAACATTATTGTAAAGTAATTTTCATCTAGTTGGTTAAGTATCAATAGCTTCAAAATAATAAGTTTATGATAAAACCGGCCAAAGTGCGCAAAAAATGTCAATAAATATACAAAGATAATAAGAATTAATTACCATTTTAATGTTGCAATTGGCCACGGGGAAGCCCGATTTTCGCTGCATCCTTATCAGGGCAACAACACTTGCACTTATTAAGGTTCCATGAAACTGTTTTAATAATTCTGTTTATTGCGTATAAAATAAACCTCAAAAGATATTAATTTAAATATTTAACAAAACTGCTAACTTGAGTTTGCAAATAATACCCAGCAAAACAAGTAATAAGTATTGACATTTTACGCGGAAGTCGCGGAAGTTGAAGCTGACGTTTAGTTAATACATTGTTAGAGTTAAAATGTAATTATTAAAGAAAAGAGTACTTGGTACATAATTATTCAAGGTTATCGTTAATGATTTAGAGAAAATATGTAATTAAAGAAAAACATGAAAATATATTAAAATAGAGTCGTGATAGCTCAGTGTCCGGGCGCTTGCCTTTAATTCTGTTGATTGGTAATCTCAGATTATTCATACTCTTTTGATATCAACTCTGATCTTCTTGGTTTATGTATTATGTTTGAATTACTTTAAATTAAATTTAGAATGTTAGTTTTATTTGTTCAGACTGAATTGTGTTATATTTGATTGATTCCGTAAAAATCGTTTGAAGATGTAACATGTATAGCTATCTGACATAACTCCTGTATTTTATATTAATGATTACGTTTGGTCCAAAAATAAGTTCAAAATGTTTAAGTTGAAATAAACAGTTGTCCTATCAGTCCTTAAGTGTCTTTTTGGTTTGAGAGCGATCCCATGAGCCACATCCACCATTCAAGAAATTCAATATACCCGAGCAACCAGAGTTTAATCCCTGGTTCCGGCACCAATGAAATTGTTAATTTTAAGTGCTGAATTATCACGTGCTCAGTGGTGAAGGAAAACGTGAGGAAGCCTACATATTTTCGAAATAGTACCAAAAAAAATATACCCTTTATACAGAGCACCCACAACCACCTCTCCGCATTCACTCTTGAACTTTTTTTTTTTGGATTTTTGGCCCGGTATCAACACTCTTAAACTTGAACTTATCATACTCTAGATACAGCGCGTAAGCTGCCAAACGTGAAGTCTTGAGGTCCCAAATTCATAGTCTGTAGGTGATGCAGCGGAGCGGACAACGTCATCGAGGTTTAAACCTGGCAAATGTACTGCCAGTAGTTACTTATATACTTGTTTTTTCTATTCCATTTAGCTTGCTAGGCTAACAGAAAATTACACCACAAAAAAAAAACTTCTTTCGTTCATATTTTTCACTAGTTAAAAATTTAAATGTCAAATTGTGTTAAAAGGAATGGATCTATTTTAAAAGTTAGGTTAGGTTATAGTAAACCTTAAAATCAGAATTGATCAGAATCTGAGATCGGCAAAATAAAAAAAAATAAGAAATTATATTTTATACTTTCTGAAGACACTGAATTTTAATTGATTTCTTTACAAACGGTCGTTAAATTTTCCCAATGTCATGTCTGGACATCGATGGAAGTGTTTTAGAAGGGGTATAACTTTTAAAATACAATAAAATTCATTTATTATCTTAAAATTCAAGTAATAACAGTTAAATAAAAATCTTTCAGGGAGGTCAAATACTTCGCAATTCCATATCACTGAGTGCCATTTTAGGAATACCGATTCGGGTAATGAATATAAGAGCAGGGCGCAGTAAGCCGGGCTTAGCCGCTCAGCATTTAAAAGGTAAGCTTACGATTTATAGTCAAAGCAATCAAATCTTTTTTTTTGGGTTTTGTATAATTTAAAAATGCATAATTTCTAAAGGTAATATAATACATATTATTGGTTGAGAACGGTTTACTTGAAGATATTTTAAAAATAGTACTTTTATATTGACTCATATATATTTGATAAATTTAATTCGTAAATTGACATTCTCACTAGGCATTAAGGCCTAAGAATTGTCAGCTAAACTATACGAAATACTATAATATTACAATGTTGTAGGCATTCAGTTGGTAGCAGAGATGTGCAATGCCAAACTCAAAGGGGCCAACATTGGATCAACTGAAATCGAATTTACACCAGGCAAAATCAGAGGAGGACACTATCTTGCTGATACACAAACTGCTGGGTTGGTATTGAATTTTGAAGATTTACCTTTTAATTATGGCTTTGTTTATCAAGCAATGCAAGCAGACCATGATTATACCATCACAATTTTTTTTTTCAAGTGTATGTTACCATCCTTATTATATACATCTTGAATAATAAAATTTCTGTCATCTTTGTTATTTTTAATTCAGTATGATTGCTTGTGCACATTTTTTACACAGTAATAGACATATCTGCTTCTGCTGATTAAAATGACTTAAGTTACATTACTTATGTACATATCAACTAAAGACACTCTTTAAACTTTAATAATCTTTGTGTAAATAACAATAGTAACTATGATGTTTTAACTGTGTTTTATAATTAAAACATGTAGAAAAAGTACGAAAAGATTGTCGCCGCTGTGGGAATCGAACCCACGTCTTCGGCATTCGCGGCCTGACGCTCTAGCCACTGAGCTATTTGTGTTTTATAATTATAAGTATATGCTAAAAATCACTCTAAGAACATAAGAATGAAGAGGTTAAACTAATGTGTATGTCATGGTTTTAAGTATTACTTGCTTATAATTTCATTACTATTAATTACTAAACTGTAATAATTACTAAAATATAATATTCAAAATTTCCATTTGCAGGTCTATCAGTTTGCTGTTACAAGTGGCTCTGCCTTGTGCCTTGATGGCAGATGGGCATGTCACACTAGACTTGAAAGGTGGCACCAACGCCGACATGGCACCGCAAATTGATTACATGGACAAAGTGTTCAAGTCCACGTTGCAAAAGTTTAATGCGGACTTCACATTGAAGATGCACAGGCGAGGGTTAGTACAGTTCTTGTATTATCTATTAAGCTATTATAAGTAAAAGCAAAATTAACAAAAGAGCAGAAAACCCTAGCTTATTAAATTGTTTACCATTTCTTTAACTGAAAGATGCATGCAATTTAATCTTGTAATTTTATTATAGTACATATAAATATTAATGAAACAATGGATGCCTAAGTAATATCAATCTTTTACCTGTGGTAATACCTAACATTTAATCCCGACTTGTAACATCTTTGTAATATTCATGAACGAATTATTTTTGTTCAAGCCTAATCCTACTTTTAATTATATCTGCTATTAAGATTAAAACTTTCTACTTTTCATTTATAACACAAAATCCCAATTATTTTATATAACATGCATTCAACTTATGTTTTAACCATCTTTAATCTCCAATACCTCCAAGCTCATTCTAGTTCGTGTGAACAAGAACTTTTTTGTATAACTTTATAATAACAGTTTCTTAGGACATGCATTAAAAATATTTGTAACCCTATCCTTTTTTTACATAAAGCTTGTAAGATATTACATTGTCATCAACCAATTCTCGGTGACCATTAATTTGTGTCCCCCCATCCGCAGCTACTTCCCCCGCGGCGGGGGTCACGTGACGGTGGGCGTGGCGCCGGTGCGGAGTTTGGCCGCCGCCAATCTGACCACCCGCGGCGAGCTGCTGGGCGTGAAGGGCTGGAGCTTCGTGGCCGGCACGCTGCCCCTCAAAGTAAGCCTGACATTTTAAATACGCGCGCTTCGTTCTTTAGCACTGTATATGCAGGCTATAAATAAATATAAATACTTTTAGAACACATTTTTACACAACATTTTCTAGTCCCAAACTAAGAAACCGTGTAAACGGATTACACATCCAAGCCGCGCTCACGTTCGTGGGAGCGTTGTCAGGCGACACCGCCATGTTCCACGACTTCCAATATAGCGACTTCTATAATTCATATGTAAACACAGAGAAACTGGAAAAACACTTATGTTACACATCACACAATATTTTTTCAGTAGTGGTGATTGAACTCACACCCTCTGGCGTTAGAGGCAGGTTCACTTTCCACTACGCCAATCGATTCGTGAAATTGATTATGATCTGTGTGGAACGGGTAGGTCTGTAAGTTCTAACGACCACTGTGGCTTATTAAAGTCATATTATGCTGGAGCTAGATTGATTAATAGCTATTTTCAGACTATTACGATTTAGGTTGTTCTCTAACAGGTTGTATTTTTTTTTAATTTTTTTATGTGAGAAGCAAGTTGGTGGTTCACCTGATGTTACTTTATAACCGTCGCCGCCCATTGACATATGCAACACCAGTAGGGTTGCAGAAGCGTTGCCACCTTATTATAAAGTGGGCCCCGGCTACCTGACTCACCAGACGAAACACAGAAAAACACTTCCAATTCACGACGGTCGCCTGTGAGGTCGTGGTACTAACCCGGACGGACCTGCCTGTGAGTGAGGTAACCGGGGCCCACTTTTTTGAAAAGGTGGTAACGCAATTTACGGGTATTGCAAATGTCAATCTAATATATAAAATTCTTTTGTCACGGTTTTTAATTGAAACCGGCTCGACCGATTTTCGTGAAATTTTGTTTGCATATCGGCCAGGGTGGAGAATCGGACAACATCTATTTTTCATCCCCCTAAATGTTAACGGTGGTCCACCCTAAACAGTTTTTCTACCCTACAAATTACCTAGAAATAATTTATATGGCAGAACAACGTTTGCGACGCAGCTAGTGTTCATATATAGTTGTCATCAATCATAATCATTTAACATCAGGTGACCGCCGGCATCTTTGCTACCTTTTCACATAAATAATGTTTCAAAATAATAATGGCGGCACGATCTCCGCAGTTGGCGTACGAGATGCGAGACGCGGCTCGCGACGAGCTCGGAGCCCTGAGATCGCCCCACCTGGACATCCACTGCTACAAGGAGGACAGGAGTTTCGCCCCGGACAACTGCAGCGGAATCATGTGAGTACTGAATACTCAACGCACACACACATATGTAAGTTTGTTTGGGAGAGATAGCTCTTCAGCGATAAGATCGCTTTATTGTGTCTACCTCATAAGTTTTTCTTTTTGTAACATTTCTTTTTATGTTTCTTATTGCATATGTCGTGGGTTCGATTCATCACGCATACACAAACGTCATAGCTCACACGTTTCTTATGCGAAACGTTGGCAAGCGAGCCGACGGTCCACCTGATTTAAAGAGATTACCGCCGCCTGTGGACCTCTACTGTTGTAGACTAAATGTTGTAGATTGGGTTACAGATACGTTGCCTTTTATATAGCGTGCCCTAGATACCTCACTCACCAGACGAAAGGCGATGGTATGAAACCTCACTACAATCCGGCAATTTTAGGATGGTTTTACTAAATGTAAGAAGATCGGAGCGCTTCGGTTTTTCTAAAAATGTGAGATGATGAACAAAATCTTTCGGCTCCGTAGGGATGGAACCTTCGTAGTTTTGAATACAGACGCTTTAGCAAGTAAGCTAAGCGGCCGAAGACCTTACTTACGGCGCGAAACTTTCGACGTCTACCTATTTACGGTCCCTATTGCATTTATACCAATATTTGGCGCCATCTAGTGTGCATATTTTTCAGTATAAAACACCTTACAAAGATCATTTACAATTAAAAATTTTAAGGTTAATATTTATGATAAGCCTTTGCACTAGAGAGTGCTTAAGTATTTATAATGTTCGGCGATAAATATTGCCCATTGAGTTTTGGGCCGAGACAATCGGCTATAATACCAACGTGATGTTAGTCTGTCGTTGTACAAGTGTGCAACAGAGATGGCGCTCTACGGAGCCCAAATTGGCCGATTGTCTCTTTCCAAAACGAGGATGTTTTAAAAAAGCACTCCTTATATTAGAATAACATCTGTGTTGCAAGGGCTTTTTACATACATAAATTTAACGTGGACAAACACCCACATACGTAACAACTATCTGTGCGTCACACAAACAGTTGTCCCGTGTGGGAATCGAACCCACGACACCCGGCGCCGTAGCCATCACGTATGTGCAATATTTATCGCCGAGTTATACAATAGTGTCTCTAAAGACTTTGGTTTGTACGTGCACTCCAGTCTGCGAGGTGAAACATCCTCTGGGTGCGCTTTGGGGGCGGACGCGTTGGGGCGGCGGGGGGTGAGGGCGCACGAGGTGGGGGCGAGGGCGGCGGCCGAGCTGCGGGGGGCGCTGCAGGGGGGCGCCTGCCTAGATCCGCACGCACAGGTAATTACTTCCCTTATGGTCAGATCATCGTTTCAGCCTGTTCTAGTACAGTGTTCTAGTAGTTCTATTTAATATTTATTAGCAAATACGCCCCGTGACCCCCTGGCTTCGCACGAGTGCTATGCAGATATTGAATTTCTCCGCTTTTCTCTAATATGCATATATGCTACATATAAGCCTTCCGCATGAATCACTCTATCCATTGCTGACAACCGCATTAAAAATCTGTTGCGTAGTTCAAAAGATCTAAGCGTACAAACATCGGGAGCGACTTCAATACTATGTAAATATGTTTGAAGTATAAAAATTACCTTATATAATATAGGGAACACTTCTTAAAACTTGAAAGTTTCCTTTGGCATCCTTTACTTTGATCATTATCATCATTTCCATCTGTAATTCCACCGCTGGACGTACGCCTCCCCCACAGTCTACCACCAAGCATGATCTCTTGATTTTAAGTGATCCCCACCGCACTTGGACAGCCAAATATGGATGGTTGCAACTATATCAACAAACGAATTGCAAAAGTATAAAACTATTTGTTCATTACTTATTACTACTTTTAAAAGATTTTTCATTCGACAATAGATGTTTATTTAAAAATTGTTGGCGCTTGCTTTCAGGACCAGGTGATAATTTACATGGCGTTGGCGGAGGGGGAGTCTGCGGCGAGGGATGCTTAACCATAATATTACTTTTAAATTGGTCAAGCGGCAGACTTGTCACTGAAACCACGACTGATGGAACAAAGCCTGATCGCTTTTGAACCTGAGCCTCTAATTGCTGTACATGATGTACAAGAGGCATATATAATTCAAAAGCCTACTATTTAAGACCAGGACTAAGACATGTTACTGGTGGAAAAAGACCTTTCCCCTCATCGACTCTTTGTATACACCCATATAGTATTTTTGTCATTACCAAAGAAGGCATTCATAAAAATATTAATGTGCTTTTCTTTCCTAATTTTCAGACAAAATTCACCATCCAACCAGACGGCGACCTTAACATCATAAGATGCACCGGACTGGGTTTCTTAAACCAAAATATGCCACCGAAATGATAAGGCTCGAGCAACGAGCAGGGAAATGCAATGTTTAATTGAGCTTCAGTGCAACAAGGAAACTGCAGACTTATTAAATATTAATTAATATTAATATGCTAATTGCTTTGTTTATAAATCTGACGTTTCTTATATCAAATGTCGCTTGTGTGGAATGTGTGGGAGTCTACTAAGACTGTATTCCTATTCGGTTACCACATTGTTTATCATATTAAATAAAAACGAGCAGAAATACTGATTTGGGCATGTTACAACCTTGCTAAATCAGGGATAATTCTCTTTGAGAATGTGGATAAGTTGAGGCAACTGCACATCATACATTTTTTCAATCCTCCAAAGTTATCTTCCTTTCTATATTCCCCTTTCTATAAATTTTAATTCTCTTTTAACCTTCACATCTTTATTTTATTTTATTTCCCCTCATTTGTTTATGTTTTGTGTGATTTTATTGCCTCAAATAATAATAGGCTGTTATTGTTTGTCTTTAATAAGCCTTAACCTAATTAATCTGAATTTACACCAACCGTGCCTTTTGTTTTAGGAAAATAAACAAACACTGTTTCACGCAGAATTAATATAATATTAACTTCAACTGTGTTATCTAATAATTAACATGGTTCATCTGTTTGATATTTTATAAAATAACCGCCAAAACGACTGTATTCTTAAATGATTATTGTATCCTTTGTATACTGTTTTCATATTAAAAAAAAATGTTTTTTTTTATAGATAACGTACCTTAATGGTTACGACAAATGCCTAAAATTCTCCTCCTAGAAACTAAATATTTATAATTTGTTTCTTCATCTTATAAATTTGAAAACCTAAAAGCGACACTTCTAGAGGTCTTGTTTAAGTTAAAGTGGCGTGTGAACGGTGGATATTTAGTGATGACAGCCGCGCATGAATATCGGCAATGCCGGTATGGGTAGTAGAAACATTGGCAAGCTTTACAAATGTCTACAGAAATTATCTCAGTTACCGGAAGTAACACAAAGGTATGATGATTCCACATAGCGTGGGCATTCTGTTAGGCTGGTACCTTCCTGTTCCGCCTGACCATTCGTGTAGCAAAAAGCCTTGAGTATTAAACACATTGAAAATGATTTGACAGTTTTATCATTGACACCTCAGTCCTCACCCCCATGAACTCCTATTTAGTCCTAGAAGATTTGATTGATCGAAATTAATATTATATACACTAATATATTTATATTAAGAGCGATGTGTGTATGTCTTCCTTATGGACTCTACTAATACGGCTGGACCGATTTTAATTAAATTTTCTTATGAAGTTTGGCTGTGGTCGGTACCAAAGATATTTTTTTATTAATAAGTGATATCCATGTGAATCTGGGGCGAGTCATTTTTTATATTCAATCTGTATGTTACGATTTCACATCAGAAATAAAAATTATGTGCAAAACGAAAGTAGCTTAGCTTACCCAGTAGTGAATGAATAAAAATGCGTTATGCAGCAGTCTGAACTTATTTCAATTTCAAATAAAAAAAATTCTCATCACATCAGTATAAGAATTTGTTTACTTATTACTGCCTTGCTCACACTAACAAAAACACATAGGCAAAACGCGAATATATGGACAAATTGATGGAGTAGAGAAGTTAGAAAAACTAGCTCCAATGAGCTATGATAACGTATTCAATCAATTCAACTTCAAAGGCTTGTGGAGGAACATTGTGATTAGGTCTATCTATTTCGTGTACTATGTACAGTGTGCACTAATGTAGTAACTAAAGAATAGAGAACTATATCGTAAAGTCGTAATTCGTAGTAAGTCCGTAAGAATTAGGAGCTATTTTATAAAGGTTTCTAAAAAGCCACTCAGACAGCGACAACACCCCACCCTCCCCCGCCCTAGAGCAGGGGAGCGAACGATCATCGAGGGCTGGCGGTGGAGCACCGCCGCCCGCCTCACGCTCAGGGCGCCGCGCCACGCCTCCTCATCGCGGCTGGATTGATCTCACATGGTGTGAAGGTCTCGTGAAGAGCTTACTATAGAAATGATCCTATGAAGTAAGGTCTTACCGTACAACGCTCTCGGCGTCCACCTCATTGCACGCGCGAAAATCTCTACATCGCGTTGAACGAATCCCACGTCGACGCTGCAGTGACATCTAGCGCCAGTTATGACTGTACACATTATGAAGATTGGCATAAACGACATCTACTGATGCACTACAGTACCATCTGCAGCCCGCTAACTAAAGAATTAAAGAATGTGAACTATGGAATTTACAATATAGTCAAATGACTCTAATATCTATTTTAAATCCCCGTCATTTCAAACATTACAGCGTTCATTGTCGTTATTCTATAAAAAAAAAGGAAAAGAAGTAAAGCCTGTAATGTCCCACGGCTGGGAAAGGCCTCTGTACGACGGTATCAGTAAGGTGTTTAATCTTAATCTTCTATGCTAATCGACATATCTCTGAAGATTGGTAAGTTGAAGTGGCATGTGTCGGTTATAGAACCGACAACCGATGGGGAAGAATGCTTGTAGGCCAAATTGTAGGACCAAACCCTCTCCCCCCACCCACTAGATTGAGTGTCGACTCGAGAAGACCTTTGCAAATGTGTGGGAAGTCGACGGATGCAAATTAATCAAGATTAGTTTAAACTGTGGTAGGGCCACGCAACAGCTTCGGTTTTGCACTATTCGGCGTCAAGTGGAGACTAGTGTAAAGTGGAAATGTGTAGTGGTAGCCAGGGCCCACTTTATTAAAAGTGCGTCAACGCATCTGAAACCGTACGGGTATTGCAAATATCCATGGATGGTGGATATGACTTAACATCAGGTGAACCGCCTGCTTGCTTGCCACCTTTCTTAAATAAAAAAAACATGTCTTCTATGCAAAATAACTAATTAAAAAAATCCAGTATACATATAGGATAATACTCTTTTTTTCTTTACTGTATATGTAGTTACATATAAATATTAGAACTAGCTCTATATACTCTAATCACTGATAGTGACCATCTCCGTCATCCGTCGTCAGGCAATTTGAAAATGGACTCGAGACGAGTTTAACCCTTTCGCTCCGGGCCATTTGCTAGATTTCAGTGCAATATATATAGATACCTAATAATTATTTAACAATTTGTTTTTTTTGGCCCGGCAAGGGTTAAACTCGTGTCGAGTCCATTTTCGAATTGCCACCCCCCTTAACAAATAAATTATTACCACACAGTGCCAAATACAACTTGAACGTTTTCTACCGTTGGCGCCAGGGCCAGATTTAGAGGTCTGGAGGCCTCGAGGCAACAAAGGAGTGGAGGTTCCTTGGTCCCAAATTATTTTCTATTGATTTCTGTTAATATTTAATGTAATCATGTTTGTTCAAAGTACTGTAAAAAATAGAAAAGGAAAAGTTGTTTACTATTGTTTATCAGTCTGAATTTGAATTTTTTTTTCGAATTTTATTGTGGGGGCCCCAGGGTTGATGCCTCGGTTACCCTCTCCTAAATCCGGCACTGGTTGGCGCTAGTCGTCTTGGCTTTTGATAGAAATAAATATGTAGTCAACAGGCAATTTAATTGAATGTGGATTTACTGCTGTAAATTATTTACTGGTAAAAAAAATTTGCTGAATATAACACAAGGTGGAAACTAGAGACTGAAGATGACCAAAAATCTTTATTAAAATTATTTGGAATTTAAATTTAATGTGATTTCTTCCTAAAACGTATTATTTAAGTTTCTTAAGTGACAATAAATTTTTCTAACATCAAAAATTATGATTTGTTGGAAGATAGAAGGTTATAAGCATATTGCAACGGTCTATAGAAGGAACAGCGCACGCCGTGTTTGGGGTTTTCTCGTCAGTCGTTGTAGCCTGGGGAAGCTCTGCCCGAATTAATATCGATCGTGTGGATTAGATAATAGATTTATAATTAAACTTCTACGTAGTTTGGCCAGTAAATTCTTTTAAAAAAAATCAATTATCGTTTCTTTTTCTAAGAGTATGTTATTAGATAGGGGGGGCATAAGAGTTTTAGAAAGGCAATGGTGGGCCATGGCACAAAAGAAGTTGAGAAACACTGATCTAAAATGGTTCTTTCGTCTGTACTGTATTAATACTTAGTGGTTTCATAAAAGCGTAAACACTAAACGTAACATTATTAAGTATAACGTAAAATTGTAGTAGTAATATTTGAACTTAGGTGGATAAGTTACGGTCAATTTTGCTTCCAATCCTAGACGAGGAGCCGAATCGGAGCCGGTGTTGGTTGGAAATTTTCGCTGGGACTTAGATGAATTTTTGGGCATTTTTTCTTACCGTAATACCTGTATTTAATCATTGAGCTTAGTGCTTTCCCTGGGTTCATGGTCTTATTTGTTTTTCTCTTGGCAGTTTGGCAGACTACAGCCTGCACTACATAGTTACGCCTGCAGTACTAAGAAGGAGATTGCCTGTTTAATACGTTATTCTGGGATTTCTACAAAGATGCGCCTGCGATTGTTATTCTATTTTAATAAAACAACTTATATATTGCTGTCTCTGTAGTATATTGATGCATCAGTAGATGTCGTTTATGCCAATCTTCATAATGTGTACAGTCATAACTGGCGCTAGATGTCACTGCAGCCTCGACGTGGGATTCGTTCAACGCGATGCAGAGATTTTCGCGCGTGCAATGAGGTGGACGCCGAGAGCGTGGTACGGCAAGACCTTACTTCATAGGATCATTTCTATAGTAAGCTCTTCACGAGACCTTCACACCATGTGAGATCAATCCAGCCGCGATGAGGAGGCGTGGCGCGGCGCCCTGAGCGTGAGGCGGGCGGCGGTGCTCCACCGCCAGCCCTCGATGATCGTTCGCTCCCCTGCTCTAGGGCGGGGGAGGGTGGGGTGTTGTCGCTGTCTGAGTGGCTTTTTAGAAACCTTTATAAAATAGCTCCTAATTCTTACGGACTTACTACGAATTACGACTATACGATATAGTTCTCTAGTCTTTAGTTACTACATTAGTGCACATAGTACATGAAATAGATAGACCTAATCACAATGTTCCTCCACAAGCCTTTGAGGTTGAATTGATTGAATACGTTATCATAGCTCATTGGAGCTAGTTTTTCTAACTTCTCTACTCCATCAATTTGTCCATATATTCGCGTTTTGCCTATGTGTTTTTGTTAGTGTGAGCAAGGCAGTAATAAGTAAACAAATTCTTATACTGATGTGATGAGAATTTTTTTATTTGAAATTGAAATAAGTTCAGACTGCTGCATGACGCATTTTTATACATGCGCAAGTGACTAACCTACTTCCATATTACACGTAAATTAATTTTCTGATCTCATAAAATTGTGATTTAAAAACACCAGATTGGATATAAAAAATTACCCACCCTGACTTTACAAGTCTCATATCTCTAATTTATCAAAAAAATCTGTGTATCCACTTCATAGGAAAATCTCATTAAAATCGCAGCCGTTTTGGAGTCGATTTACTTTTTATATTTAAATATTTTTATCCGTACAATTTGGGATCTATTTATTATAGTATGGCCCCTAATTTTTTTTTCTTCTAGGACTAAATAGGAGTTCATTTGATAACGTGTGAATGAAAAGACTGTGAAATTGTTTCAATATGTTTATCATATATAACTGATACACCAATCGGCAATGGGCTCGTCGTGACGGCCCTGACATCTGATAAATTCGTATTGTGACATCTAATACTAAAAACAGGGCGCACAATATTATGCCAATTACAACCTATAATACAATAACAGCGAAGTATGGAGGTTTCATAGAAGGTACAAAGGTAAACAAAAAAAATAAACAACTTGGAACGCAGCCAGTTACCGAAAAAATTGCGATGGTGGCGGAATGACAATAAATATATAAACTTGAGAATAAGAATATAAATTACAGCTAGGAACAAAACAAAACAGAGCAATATATACAATGATTTCTTTGAGAAATAATAAAAAAAAATCTGAAAAGGTTAAAACCAAATAAAAAATAAATAAAAAAAAACACAAATACATAGAGCAGAAAAACAAATACCAAGCGTCACATGTACCTAAAACATTTAATAGCAATTAAATTATTAGAATAAGGGGCGCGGAGAGTTTAAGATGCTCAAAAACCACAATCACCAATGGAAGATACCTATGAGGGAAGCACATGCACATTATTCAAACACTAAATTTCGAAACGCACATTCAAACCGCTACAATAATTATGGCCGACGAAAACGTCGGTCGATGAGTTCGGGGGAGTCCCCTCGCTACAGCCGTTGCAAAAAAAAAAAAATAAACTCAATCTCCCGTTTGACGGCCCCGTGTACTTAAAAGGTGTGCGGTGCAATTTGTGCTTTCGCAACGGTCTTGGTCTTCGGCCCCGTCCTCCTACTCGGTCTTCTTGGCCTTGGCGCCCTCGGAGACCGGCTCCTCGACGGCTGGCTGGTCTTCGTAGCTGCGGGGGGAGGGGGTTTTACGGTTAGTACAACACTAGTAAAACGGTACAAGGTCTGCACAGAGTAAGTAGATATTGTTCAGTACTAAATTTTTAGGGGATCACATGGGAACTAAAATGATTTTTAGAAATCGGTTCATAAATGACTCAGTAAGGAACAAATATTAAAAAAAAAAAACAATAGTGATTGTATTTTTTAAAATACTTTCTGTTTAGCAATATTGTGAATGTAAAAAATATGAACCAATATAGTTTTATTGTTCCATACGGTACTTCTGTAGGAATACGACATATTGCGAGCCTGTAGGTGTGCGCATGTGAGCGTGCGTGTGGGACGGGTACGAGTGCGTGTGTGCGCGTGCGTGTGGGTGCGGCGGTACGCACTTGAAGAGGGCGTTGATGTCGCCCTTGAGCAGCGCCAGCGCGAGCGGCGTGGCGAGGCAGGCGGGCACCAGGTAGAGCAGCGCGGGCTGCGCGTGCCGCCACACGTGCATCACCAGGATGGTGGCCAGCAGCCCCGCCACGTACGCGGCGAACGTGGCGCGGAAGTACAGCTCGCTGCCGCGCTGCAGCGACTTGTCGAACCGCAGCAGCAGCGCGATGAAGATGCCCGGCACCACGATGTCGCCGAGGCCGAGCATCGCGAAGTTGCTCGCGCTCAGCCCGTTCGCGAGCAGGTCCTGCGGGAACACCACTGCGCGACGCGCACCGTCACCACACACCCTTCCATGCCCCGATACTTCGGCGCCTTCGCGATTAACAACAGGCGGAACATTTCAGAATGAAAGCGTCTCAACACATTGAATTTCTCACACTCACACTGACTTTTTGTATGGAATGGAATAAATTGACATGATGTAAGATTTCCGAGAAGAAACACAGAGGGCCTTAAGACTTCCATTTCATACCGGCCTACTGTGAAACAGTGTTCCCTGACGATCCTGCCATGTCGTGCAACAGCGGAATCCATATTTAACAGCCACGCCGCCAACGGTCTTCTGTGACCCATTAGACCGCTGGTGTCCGTGATATGTCACAGAAGACCGTCGTGAAGTAGCAGCTCGTCCGCTGCTATTATTATTACCTCCTTTTACTAGGTTGCCTGGAAGAAATCGGTATTTAGCGATAAGGCCGCCTATTCCACAGTTTTATATTATTTCCTGTCGATTACTCATCATCATATCCGTTGTTAGTGTACAATAAAGTACGTTGCTCCTCTGATCGGAAACCGGGGCCAGTGGGGCGAGGCGACTCACGCTTGATCGGCGCCTCGAAGGACTTGGCGACGGTGACCATCACGTTGGTGCCGAACACCCAGAAGATGTCGTAGAGGAACAGCCCGCTGAGCAGGATGCAGCCGGTCACCACGTTGTTCAGGTGCAGCAGCTCAACGCCGTTCACGGCGAACGCTATGCCGAACAGGTTGTTCGCGATCCAGTGCTGTAAGGGCGAATACAACACAAACTATTAAGTAAAAACAATTCAGCTCACCTTTTTTTTATGGGAAAAGTTGTCAAACGAGTAGACGGTTCACCTGCTGTTAAGTGAATCCGCCGCCCATGGACATCTGCTACACCCGAGGGTAGCAGATGCGTTGACAACCTTTTGGAAATTGGGCTCCGGCTACCTCACTCACCAGACGAAACGCGAAAGTATTTGTCATACTTCACCTTTATCACTTGATTGGAAATTTAATTATAGAGATATAATTATCAATGCATAGTATAGAACAAAGTCGTCCCAATATCTGTCCGTCCCTATGTGTGCTGAGATCTTTAAATCTACGCAACGGATAGAGTGATTCAAGAGGGAAGTTTATGTGTATAATACATTGCAGCCGTGCGATACTCTGAACGGCGAACTGCCAGCTCATTTTCAATCGTATTTCCTGACGGTATACGGCGACGAACTCACGCATTCATTCCGAAGGTGCTTGTCACTTTTTCATATAATATATGTTTTTAAAAGAGGATTCATTCCTGCTGGCTGGTTGTCTTTAAATAAATCTATGAAAATATATAATTTCATTTATAAATTAATTTTATTATTAAGGCTCTCGAACATGAATAGTGGATTGAACCGTGATTTTATTACGAGAATAACAATCATGGATGTAATTAAGATGACTTACGTCACATTTATTGCCCATTCAAGGGCTTTACGTGATAGCGTCGTATTAATCTTACGAGCTAGGAATTGTATTCAAATAAACAAACGTTTGCCTTCATATGATGCATTGCATTTATAGAGAGCGGTTATCGTTTCTAATACTATTACAGATTTGTTACAATCACGCTAAAAATGTACTTTATAGGAATCCGTTCTCAATAAATAAATTCATCATTTATTAAGAAGGGATTTCTTAATAAATCATAGTCATGGATTTCCTGAAAACGATTTTTTTCAAAGGTCTCTAAACGTGACTAATGACTTGTATATTAGTCCTGTCTAACAATTTAAATATTAACCGACGCCACAATAGCATAGGGAATCTGTTATATCATTTTAGGTTAGCAGAAAACTAAGTATTTATTTGACGTTTATCGATTGGCTACTAAAGAATGTATTGTAAACTGAAAATGTATGGAAGGTGACAGAAAAAAATTTTTCGTAAACTGAGTTTTTTTTTGTAAAACCGCTGCTTTACGTAATTCTTTCTTTAATCGTCGGCCACATTCTCTCACCTTCTTCAACAGGTACCAGGCGCCGAGGCACAGCGAGATGAGGAGGCAGATCACGTCGTAAGAGGTGAACTTGTAGTTGATGATGTCCGAGCGAGTGTCCCTCTCGCCGCGGGTGAAGTGCACGTGGTAGGGGACGTTGGGTATCGAAGCCGGGACCACGAGAGCGATGACGGGGCTGGAAATGTACGAGGGCACAATTTTGTTAAGAGTATAAGTAACAGCCTATAGAGAGTTTTAAGGCATAGTACACCACGCGATCCTACTGTTAATTAGCGGACTTGTTGCGGAATTGTTTTGTTAATATCTCAAAATTGTGCAGGTTTCCTGACGACGGCCCAGCAGTGGGTATATACAGCGTGTCTTTACAATTGCGACAATAAATGAACACACATATAGAGGATAAATTTTTAAAATTGTATTAAGCATTTACATTCTTTAAACATCAATATTTACAGAGTTATTAAATTTTCCAAAACAACGAATTTTAGAACAACCTTACGTGTAAAACTCTAACGTAAAGTTCATTTGTATAGGTCACAAAGCTTAGGAATGGGTTGAATGAATTTGATAGAGACAAAACATACTGTTAGAAGCAGAGGCTTGTAATGCGACGCTGTGGCAACAAATACAGTCTCTGAATGTATGAATCAGTCAGTTGTAGTTGTATAGGATGTTACAAATTTTGTTCCTTTTTTACTTCATTATTTCGTTTGAAAAATATTTTTAAAATTATGGATTTTTTTAACGTTAAATTTTTTTTATGTTTATTGGCAAGTAGCGTTAGGCGTGTGTTCATTTATTGTCGCGATTGTAAGGACACACTTTATATACAGATATTGCACTTATCGGCAACAAAATCTACTATTCCTTTGTAATTTTTTTGTCAGCAATAAACGTTGACGATTTAAAATGACTTTAGAAATTGGTTTTATATGATTATGAGTTATCGCGCGGTGGGGCTGAGGATACGAGGAGAAAAACACGTTCTATGATAAAATTGTTGCAAAATACGTATTAATACTGTACATTGAAAACCGTATTCCGCCTTGGTCTTTATCTTGTCGATTACAATAATTCTGTGAGATTTATACCTTATTAGTATTGCAATGTAAACCCAATATATAACAAAAAATGAAGAAAATGACATGATTTTTCAGCTGGAACCAAAACCTAATCTTACTTAAAGTTATTATACTCAAATTTTATTGTATACTGAAATTTTTGTATTTTTATGTTGCATTTGGATGCAAAGTGTATACATATAGGCAATTAAACAGTGACAAATAGAATAAAAAAAATAAAGCCAAGGAATATAATATAATTATTAATCAATAAACTTCCCGTCTCAATTGCAAGAAAAATAGATAACATAATTTTTGAGTACTAAGTATTAGTGAGCCCAAAACAATGCCAAAACTAGATTCTTTGTCTGAAACTGAACCTTTGGTCGGTCACTAATTTAAATCTAGGATATATAGAAAATATATGCAATATTGAGTTATTAATGGTCGATTTATAACTCTCAATCATTGTAAACATATCTTTATAAACAATTAATCTACCAAATAATAATACAACAAAACCAAATAATATGTTAAGTATTTAAGAAGAAGGTATTAAAATTATATTTAATTGCATATTGTTAAATACAAATAATATTGTTAACTCATACATTATGTCAAATTGGGTCTTCTTACCTCAGAAGGTGACTCAGGGCCAATACACCAAGGAAGAAGAAATATCCAGTAAGGAGAAGATTGATATATTCTTTAGAGAAGAACTGGAAAAACACATATAGAGCGAAAAGAGCGCATGATGCTATTAGCGGGAACATCAGGGCATCCTTGTTAGACATTGTCTCGGTACGCTCCCCAGACTCCTGCAATATGATAAGAGATCATGAAATACATATCAGGACTACATATCTATAGAATTTATGATACAAGAGTGATATTAAAATAAAATGGTTTGGTCAGTATAATGAAAACATATGTTTTGTAATTTTAATGAATAAATTCATAAATAAATATAATTATGTTAAATATAAATCAATCAGTATAACAGTGTAAAGAATATGCAGCGGCTAAAATCATCATTAAAGATGATGCCGACCCGCACGAAGGTAATTTCTGTCATTAATTTTCTTTTTTCATATTTTGCTGTGATAAAAACATATCCATTTTGCACAGTATTTTAGTGGCAAATAAACAGTAAATATGCAATATGCATAAATACTGAGGCCATCGTACACTACTCTTAACATTTTCAATAGCTTTGCGTATTGACGAGTCGCCGTGCCACGATGACAAGTCGTGTATCCATGTTATTGGACCAGAGATTTGAGGTAGATCATACTATTTTGAATCGATTTTCTACCAAAAACATTACGTTATGCTTACCTTCTGCTCTTTTAGGTACTTCACAGACCGAAAGGAACCGAAAAATATGGGTAAAACAGCCATAATGACCAAACTTAAGTACGCGATCGCAATGCCCTCGATGCTGCTTGGTGGTTTATCCGTAGCATTCGTTAAGGTTTCCTTAACAGTTTCTTCTATATTTAATGGCAATTCTGTAACGGATTCTGCCATTTTGCTAGATTTTTAAAAACAATAAGTACAGAAACTACAACTGCTCTCCGAACCCCGCTTTGACAAGATAATAAATGACAAGAAAATGACAAGTGTACAGTAAGACTTATAATGTTGGCAGAAAGAATTAGCAATTCGCATTAGAAAAATTATTTACATCAAAATATAATTATATATAAAAAAGGTAGTGTACAGAAGAACTGAAGAAAAAAATAACGTATTATTATATCTTTAAAATTACTTAAGATTAAAAATTAATACATGAAATATTCCCATAAAAATAAAATTAGTGTCTTTAGATAACAGGTATAATATGCAATGACGGCTATGATATAGATATGCAAGTTTGTAATTCAAAATATAAATTTAAATATTAGTTAATAAATTTAAATTCAGAAAGGTAATCCTTGATGTCTTCAGGTTGGTACTTTTGTAAAATTTACTATTGTATGAAAAGAAGGAAAAGGATTGGATGATTGGTTGCTTGTTCGTGGTCCTGAAGTAATATGTGTCGAGTGATTGGATGGCAGTAGAGTAAAACGTCATATAACGCACTTCACGTCATTCATGTTGTTATTCTCATTCATAACGTCAAGTCAAGTTAAAGTTATGAAGTTACTGTAAAGTCTAAACGTGATGTTGTCCATATGTTTAACATTTGTAAATTACAAATACAAATGTTTATTCCCGGGCGTCATAGTTCAGTGTAACTTATTTTGTGATGAATTTATCTGTTTCTAAAAACAAGTAGAAAAATGGAAGTGTCTAGTGGCGCTGAAGAAGGTTTTGTCCGCGAATGGACACCGTGTTCCCATATATTAAATTTAATTCCACCCCGTATTCAAACTGGAATATTTTCCAATGAACTGTGTTTAACCTGTGTCGATGCAGTTAGTGAATATATAGCCCTGGGCACGAATGTTGGCTTGGTATATTGGTATGATAGGAAAAAAGGAAATATCCAGAGGCTTCGATGCGAGGTGAGTTAGATATTATTAGCCATAGTATTTCAGAAAAAATTATTTGTTACTGGTTGATATCGATATTGAAATAAAAGTGGTCACATGGATTTAAACTATTGAAAACGTATTGGAAAACAATCGTAAAACTTCGTTTCAATAGGAAGCAAAGTACCTAACTTTCTTTTACCTTGTGCCACTTGTACTTGATTTACATTTTAAGACAAGTTCAGATCCGAAGTTTTGACTATTTAACTAATTGCTCAGTAAACTAGTTTAATGCTGACCTGTTTATAAAATTTATTCTGTAAATATTGATTTTTTTTGATAATTTTATTGTTAGTATTTCAATTAAGGTTTTTTCACACCTACTATTATTAGATAACAGTATAAGGTGCTAAAATACTTGGAATAAAGGATATAGCAAGAAACAAATCTTTTACATGTAAAGTAGTCATGGCTTCATAATATATTAATAATTTTTATATCTTGTTGATATTTATTATTAACTATTGTGGCCTAGTAACAAGATAAATAGGAACATATTAGAATCATGAGGAATGATAATATCCTAATGCCCTTCTTCATTAAGGTTGGACAATAAAACATAATTTGTTTACAATCTGAATAAGATACAAGTTTGTAAACATTACTGTGACATAAATAACAAGAATTATATATTGTATGCCTAATTTTCCTTATGCCTGAGCTAGTATTTGGCACAGAGAGTATCCTCACTAAGAGCTTGTCAATGAGTAAACTTTCTCTCATGATGAGTTCCATAGATATTGTTTCCTGCTTTATTTGGTACATTTTGGAAACCAATTGCAAGAGATCCTAACTTTTCAACTTGTATTGTTTAAACTTGATAATCTTGGTGATGTAGTAGTTAAATTATTTTGATTAAATATAATCAGGATAGGAAAAAGCACCTTCGTACCTAAAAAGTTTTATTAATTTTTAGGGAACTTGAGAAGGATTAACTTATCTTTGTTAGCCTAATTTTCTGCCCATCTTGTTAAGATTGCTTTTTCTTAGTAATGGATACAATTATGTAATGGTAATTTAACTAAAATACTTAAACCCAAAGCAATGGTTAGTGTACAATAATTTAAAAAATAATTAATATAAAGATGAATTTAATTTATGTAATATATCAAATAACACAAGTATCACGCAAGATAGTGAATAAGAATGTAGGTACATGTTGTTGTGATGAATGCACTTTACCGGTTTTATCTGAATTCCTTCAGATATATCAATCCTCCACGGAAATATAATATCAATCCTCCGCCAATCCGCAGTAGGGCCGCGTGGTGGAATATGCAGTAATATTTATTTATTTTGCATTACCAACAAAATTACATGTGTGCAGAGTTTAATAAACACATATTTTATAGTTGTCACAGCATTCAACAAGAGACTTTGTCGTACTCATGGTATAATCGTTTTAGACTAATCTAAGGCAAAAGAATATCCTCTGCATAGAGGAGGCCTGTGTTCAGCAGCGGGTCATGAATAGACTGCTAATTTACTTTTATTTAGTATAAATTCATGAAATGTATTATGCAACACAATCGGCTCCCACATGTTCTTTTTTAAGCATATTGAATAATGCCACATATCAATAATATATGTGTAGATGTCTATTGAGTGCTTACTCCTTGAAGAATCGAATTCTAATCAAAATATATAACTGGAAGCAATGATAACATAATGAGTACGAACGCGTACTTATATTACGTAGAGTTGTAATTGTACGATGAAGATTTTTAGAAACTTTTCCTTTTGCTGTAAGACCTTGTTTTTTTCCAAATTCTAGGTCAACGGGTTTCCGGCCCAATATCTATAGGGTAATTCTGGTTGACCTAGAATTGTCAATTTTGGTTAAAGCAAGGCAATAACAAAAATTATTTTATGTAAGAGGTTTTTATTTTTCTATATAATGTGACAACTGTAGATGTATCTATTAAATACATAAATTATCGTCGGTTTGTCCGAATACTGCCCTAAAACTTTGAGAGGCCCATGTCTGAGTCACAAAAAATGTAAGAAATACATTTTGAGATTTCATACTTTTTGTACCGGAATAAGTCGATCAATCGTTCTCACACGATTTTAAACAAATTTTTAATCATAAGGAATCATAATTGATTGTAGACGCTGAAACGTGCAACATTCTAATAAAATGAAATTTCATATCTTGTAAAATTTCCACAAAATAAACAGTTTATGATACGTCTTTGATTTGGTTACGTCACTAGGAACTATGCGTTAGTATAATGACAGTTTTAAATACGTGCGCTTCTGTGTAATCGATAAAAATATTGCAGGAACATTAATAAACGAATCAATGACTTTTATCTTTAATTACGAAACGATAAGTGATCCAAAATCGAAACGATAGATAATCTTCGTTTCGTATTTCTGAGTAGATCCATAGATGCTTCTCTGATTTGTATGACATTTGTGGACCTGAGTAATAGTTTTTATGCGATAATAATAGACAATAACAGTTCTCCACCACACCCGCATAACGTATTACATAATATTATGTATCTGCTGTTTTATTATTTTTATGACAACAAAAGTTCAATGCATCGGAAGACATATCGTATGAGACCAGAGAATTATTATTAAAACGATACGACTCCAATACTCTATACGTAATTAAAAATTAATGCATACAGTACTTCAAAATAAGCCGCGATAGCTCGGTGTTCGGACGCTCGCCTTTAATTCAATATACTCGAGCAACCTGAGTTCGATCCCCGGTGCCGGTACCAATGAAATTGTTAATTTTAAGTTCTGAATTTATCACGTGCTCAGTGGTAAAGGAAAACATCGTGAGGAATCTTGCATTTTTTCGAAATAATAACAAAAAAAATATTTCGAACATATATGAAGTCCGCCAATCCGCAGTGGGCTCGCGTGCTGGACTACGCTCTGATAAAAAAGGAGGCCTTTGCCCAGAAGTGGGATATGTATAGGCATTATTTACGGTAATAAAAAGATGTTCGTTTATGCTTATCTAATGATTCGGTTAGTTTATGGGTAAAATGATGCAACCGAAATAATACAAAACGTAGATCTACATTTTCTTGCACCTCTGGCGACCCTAGTGCGGGTGTTTTACCTACGATACGTAGCGAGTTATTCCTTTATTTTACTTAGGTAGAATTGAAAGCGATCGCCCGGAAACTGAACTATCACGGCTCTATTGTCTTTATTGTCTGCTTAATAGGTACTTTAACTTTGTAACAATTATTCACCCTTCCCGAAGATCCATATTGTTATCAGACGCAATCTTTCTACGTTTCATTCGATAATCGTGACCTAAATGGTGGAACGGGCAAAACGCTTCAGGTCACTCACAAACGGCTTAGGCAGAGATTGGTTATGCCCCGTCCATGTGACGTTGGACTTTATAGACGTTGACAACGTATATCGCCCCGGCGCAGAATTCTTAACAGAAAAAGAAGGAATTGATGATTGTGTCAGTCAGCATTATTGAACTCTAATGGGAATCGAACCACCACACACACCTAAATAAACACACACCATTATGTGGCTCGTTGGACTTTCTAACACCTGTGCAGTGTCAGACGAACCACGTAGCAACAGTAGCAATTGCTACGGGCCAAGAGCCAAATGGGCCCCGCATATTTAAAGCCACTCATCTCTGCCTGAGTTTTAATTTTTTTAGTGAAACTTCACTACATAGTATAAAACCAAATCGTCCCGCTGTCTGTCTGTCCCTATGTATGCTTAGATCGTTAAAACTACGCAACGGATCTTGATGCGGTTCTTTATAATAGATGGAGTGATTCAAAAGGAAGGTTTATAATATATAATACATTGCACTCGTGCGAAGCCAGGGCGGGTCGCTAGTATTAAATAAGTAAGAGTATTAAATTTTTGTACCACTTTATACTTAAGTATGGCTTGCTTAATCATAACATACTTAATAGCAATTCTATTTACTTGTCAATTCAGAACGAAACAGGGTTATCTTATTAGAATATTATGTTACATAAGATAGTATTCTGTTTAATAAACGAAATAGATGACACACTTGTCATGTGCTAAAATAACGTAATAAGCGACCAACAGCGAGTTTTTATTGTTTTTTGAAGAAATGTGTTTTGGTTTGGTCACAGAACCAATAAGAACCGGGTTTTCTGATTGATGTTTGCATTTGGAACTACATTTTAACAGCACACTGTCTTATCGACACAGCTAATAGTCACTCTTACAAATAAAATTTTTACTTGAGCATAAGCACTTGTGCAAACATCAAACAGAACACTACTAAAGACCGTAGATGCCCGAGTTAGTCTGTAGAATTCAACCTTGGATTCCAAAACCAAAGTCAACATTTATTTATTCGATTAGGCCGCTTGTAGTGAAAAAACGATCACTGATTTACGAAATTAGACCAGACGGGAACCGGTAAAAAACTGTGTCGTCTTATTATCTTCTTTTTTTTTTTTAAATTAATTACTACGCGTTGGTCATCCGCGCCTGGGACGACGCGATCTTTGCTTGAAACGAAACTAAGTGACACCAATTCTGCTGTTACGTAATAAAAATAAACACCACGGCCTTACGGAAGACGGGCACGGAGCGGAAGTATTTATTATACTGGTGGTAACCAGTCCGCTGGTTGATATAAACGGGACCCAATTCTTTGAAAGTTGGTAACGCATCTGCCATCCGTAAGGAGTTTTAGACGTCGATGGGCGGCGGTAATCACTTACATCAGGTGAACCGCGAATCACAAAAAAACGACATAATTAATTTACTCCAACGTCGTGACTTTGAAGTTGTAAAATTAATTAATTGACAAATAAATAGACTGACAAACATTAATCGACCGACGATGAATATTTGTCAACTCAGATTTACAGCAATGCAGCGCGCCAATTTATTAAAGAATGCTTGTAAAATCTGGCCGTATGAAGTCGTTGAGGATCTTTATACGTACTTTAAATGCATTAAAAAGGGTTCGTTTCGCTGCAGTAATGCCTAAAGTAGAATGTATAGTTGGCCAACTGTCCGGGCCGGCTCGTTAGCCAAACAAATTCCTAACGGGGAAGTGAAGGGGACGGTTGGGCCGCCTGTTTGGCACTACACCTTTATGTAACCATTCCTTTTGACGGCCGCATTCCGGACACGGGGCTTGCTTAGTCTTTCGTAATTTTTATAGCAAACTAACCACCCGCCCCGGCTTCGCACGGGCGCAATGTATTATACGTATAAATCTTCCTATTGAATCACTCTTATCTAGTAAAGAAAAACGCATTAAGATCCGTTGCGTGGTTTTAAAGATGTAAGCATACATAGGGACAGACAGACAGCGGGATTTTGTTTTATGCTATGTAGTGACGAACAACCTGGACACGCTTAGCTGTGACTTAATTTTTCTTTTTTGTTATTTCGGCATTAGAAATATACAAAAATTCTCTTGTTCAATAGCTATGATGTCAATAAAAGTCAATTTTTTTGGACACAAACATGCGAAAGCTAAAATGTAAATAATATTATACCTATATAGCTCTCAATTTCACGATAATGACGCGGGAGCCCAGACATCGGTGTTAATTTTATCTTAAATTATATTGTTAGTCAGTCTTGTGTTTCTTAGACTGTTGCCGCTTAGGTATTTCCCCAAATCCCGTTTTATAAGGAAAATTCCTCCATGTTGTTAGAGTCATAACCGGCTAAAAGGATCTTCTATGCCTTTATGTACCTGTATATGAATTCAAACTGGTGACTGGGAACTTATTTTGTAATGAAAATAAAAGTAAGGCTGAAAAAAATTTAAGAATTTACGATCTTTTTAGAGTTCCGTACCCAAAGGGTAAAACGGGATCCTATTACTGAGACTTCGCTGTCTGTCTTTCTGTCCGTCCGTCACCAGGCTCTATCTCATGAATCGTGATAGTTGTTAAACAGTTGAAATTTTCACATAATATTATGTATTTCTTTTGCCGCTATAACAATAAATATTAAAAAACAGAATGAAAAAATTTAAGTGGGGCTTCCATATCACAGATATGATTTTTTTTTTGCCATTTTTATAGATAATGGTACGGAACCCTTCGTGCGTGAGTCCGACTCGCACTTGGCCGTTTTTTTTTTTTGTTTCTTTAAATTCGAGGAATACAGTGAGTTAAAATCGATCCGATGTTCATTGGAGATCTGAAGTTTGTTTCGAAAACATAATTCGAATTTATAACGTGAAATATCCACTGTCTCAGTTCACGGTTTGAGGTGAAAGGCCCGTCATCTGGCTAATGGTCTTAGTGTTAATTACTTAGTTATATATGGGTAGCTCTAGCTATTTCTTATTCCTGTTTACCCCGTTAAGGTTAAAGACTCTAAAACCACTCCAAAGGGACACCTTAACCGGCCCTGTAAACATTAGATGTGCCGTGAGGTAGATGATTTCTCCGTAACACATTACGTAAAAACATCGCAATTACCTTCCCGTCCGACCGCTTTCTAGAAGTTATCCTTTATATCATTATTATCTTGTGTTTCCTATCTTGCTGTACCTCTACATAAAAAATCATATGTACGAAATATATAAATTATTAATTTGCATTTACATGACTATATATAAACTCTATTACTGGTTTGTGACGTAGCATTGCTTTAGGCCGTATATTATTCATTACTAGATAAAAAATGCATTCTGCCACTTTATAATATTAGTATAGATTAAAGTAGTAAAGTGTGAATTGCATATTTGCATTATAACAAACCCGGGAAGTATCTCAACGTCTAGTGGTTTTCACGCTGTTTTATGATGATACGTTTGATAATATAGTAACTCTATCAACAATAATAATCTAAACTATAATGGACGTCATGATTTCTCGTGTTTACGTGAAAACTAAACACTTAAATGATACTACTTTATTCCTTACGTTTAAGTTTCTTTCTTATCTTTACCGCTATGTATATATTATAATATTGTATTTTCTGTGGAAGGGGTCGGGTAGTAAGTCCCAACGACCTCTGCGACCTAGAATGATGTATTGTAGCCTTTCCTGCGATAACTTTGCTCCCTTACTGTAGGACAACACTATTCTCACCCACTCAGACTATAGCTACCGATCTCGGGCACCCTGGTATCTGAATGCTAAACGGGTATTGAGTGACAGCCTTAGCCGAGGCCTCACTCGGGGGCCCTTGAGCTTGATCACTCCATGGAGCGTCCGCCAAAGGGCTCTAAGGGCTTGGTGGCCTCCCAAACCGGTGATGATACTAATAGCGTGACGGACCGAGCGCCTGGCCACCTCAAGTCCGGTGGATCCGTAGAAGCCTTCCAAGGCTAAAAAAAAGAACTATCCTCTGTTGTAAGGACGTTTTACATGCATAAATTTTAAGTGAACAAACACCCGGACTCGTGCATAAAGGGTTCTGTACCATTATCCATAAAAAAGGCTAAAGGTTATATACCTAATTTTTATTCAGTTTTTTTAGTGTTTGTTGTAAATAGCGGCAACAGAAATACAACTGTCTGACTATAACGGTTCTTGAGATACAGCCTTGGTGACAGACTGACAGATAGACAGACAGCGGAGTCTTAAAAATAGGGTTCCGTTTTACCCTTTCGGTACAGAACCCTAAGAACGGTTAGACTTGGTATAAGTAAGTTAGCAGTGATTTATTCGAAAAATACCATTATTTCCAGGCATCTTCCAGCCCCATAACCTTCGTGAAGATTGTGAACACCGTCGACTATATGGTGGGGGCGGGGAACGCCGCCGGGCAGGTCACCGTCTTCCAAATACCGAAGGAGCACCCCGAGAACATTCCGGACACCTTGAAACCTAAGGTGGAACGGAAAGTGGAGAGGTAAATAGACACAGTTGGGAGTAGTACACAAATATCGCATCAATGCATGATACAATAACCATTTTTTTGCTAACGAAAAACAAAACCGACTCCAAATATCTCGCTCTGTATTCATTTTATAATTGATTTCCCCAAGTATCTCCGGAACCCAAGATCCAATACCAATGAAATTAATGTAGCACCACATGGGAAGCACCAGCATTCAAATAAAAAAAAAAGAACAAAAACGAGTCACTCAGACGAAAGTTCTGAGGTAACAAACATAAAAAAACATACAGTCGAATTGAGAACCACCTCCGTTTTTGAAGTCGGTTGAAAATGGACGAAAGTCGAGAATCGAAGCCACGTCCTCTGGATTCTGGGCGCGTATCCGGAACACGTGGGTTCGATTCCCGCTGCGGCGAAAATCTTGGCGTCCATTTTATCTACAAATGTTAATGGTTCATCTAAGGTGGAGCGATTAGCATTATAAACGACTTTAATTAGGTAAGATACTTCCGAAAATAACCCAACTTATCAAGATTATTTTATAAACTGCTCTTGCCACAGTACTCATTGTCATGCGTTATTTCGTTTTGAACAATTTAAAAACGAGTTCGTTTATTACGTAATAATACAATTGCCAATTGACATGCTTTAAAGTTATTAAACACATATTAATTACTATTAATTGTTTGAATAAAACTATTTGACGGATTTCATCCCGTTTGATTCTTAATTGGCCGACGTTTTTGAATATCTCATCGTTCATAGTCTCGGGAGTTTAAATTTAAAATAAACTACAACAATTCGTCCAATTAAAATGTTTTATTAGATTTATCGTGTTCATTGAAATATGTGAAACCATTCGGACGTTACTTATTTTTCTTTATTTTATGCGAGCAGGCGGTTCACGTCATGTTAAGTGATCACCGCCGTCCATGGATATTTGCAACACCCGTGGGATTGCAAATGCGTTTCCACCTTTTAATAAAGTGGGCCCCGGCTACCTCACTCACCAGACGGAACGCAGAAGTATAGCGCTTCCACTTCACGCCGGTCTTCTGTGAGGTCGTGGTACTTCCCCGGACGGACCTGCCCATTCGTGCAACAGCGAAGACTGCCACAGTTACATATAACCTTTACGGTCGTTGCTACCCTATTAGTGCAATTCGTGTTCTACAAGTGTGCCCTCCATTTATCTGGACAGGTACACAATAGGCGACCTGCACAAAAGCAAGATAACAGCCATAGAGTGGTCCAAGAACGGGATGAGACTGTTTTCTGGCGACAAGAACGGTGTAATCATCATGACTGAGATCGACTTCTACATGGTGAGTGAACGAACGTATGGAGTGCTTTAAATTGAATGAATTCCTTATTTCGACAACATTCAACGCTCTCTACCATTCACCGTTCGGAAATCTATATAGGTACCTATTAATAACATAATCATAAATTAACGCTAATTGACGTTTTTTTTTTAAGTTTCCGTTAATTTTTTTTTGTTTTTACACTGTGTCAAAGTACGCATGAAAAATATTATATCCTCAAACGTACCTGAATTTTTTAACACAACGCGTTTAATTGTACCCCTTTTTGTCATATTTTGACAATAGTCAGTTTTTCATATTTAATTTTTAAAAAGAAAAATACTTTGACCGCCTAATTTATACTGTTTCATATGTAATTCAATTGCGTCTGTATGTATGTCAGTGTTCAGTCGTAAGTAGTCTTATTACGGACAGATAACACTGATAACCGTATGTGGCCTTCACACATATTTCAAAGCATAAAAAAACATTACTTTAGTGTGTGTTTCAGTGTTCGTTCATTTTGAGGTCTGCATTTTGAATGGAGAGAAAAGGAATTTAATTAAATTTCTTGTAGCCTCGTAGCATTGAGAAAATTTTGATAATGAATTTCCAGAGTAATCTTAATGGTAATTGTTAATTAACTAAAATGTCCCAAAATGATGGTGTGAACAATGATGTGTGGAAATTACTCTTGCTCTGCACTTGCAAGTCCCCTGGCTGCTGCTAATTTTGTACTTAAAGGCTTTTATGTACTTTTATAATTAAAAAAGAAAAAGATAACACGACCGCAGAGTTTTATGCCGGTTCTTTTCTGTTCAGGTGTAGTTCAGTGAAGCGGCGGTAGTTTTACGACGTTCAATAAGAGCTTAAAGTAAGCCTATTTTGAATAAAGAAATTTTGACTTTGACTTTTATCAGAGGTATAAGGTAAAGGTTTACAATTACTTTAAGTTAAATACGACATTGAACAATATTCTGTTGGCCGCACAAACGCTCCGAGCGACCCGTATCGACCTTGCGAAAGTAACCATAAAATATGCTCTTTACTCGTGATTACACAACAGTTGTCTTCGCTATTTCGAGGTCACCAGTTAGTGTCCTGTAATAGTTTCCTTGAAATGACAGTACCAGATTTCTCTGCCCACTCTGTGCGGGTCGAAAGACTGCGATTTTTTATTTATCTTCACCGTCACAATCTATAGCGGTAGTGAAGCATGTCATGGAATGTTTTTAAATTTTATGTTTCCGACTTACAAATAATGTGATACGTAATGTAATTATTGACTCGCACAAACAGAAAAATAGATAAGTCAGGCCGTTGTACGCAGATAATGTCCGCGGTTCTATATGATTGTACCGGCTCATACAATTATGTTTATATAAGGGTTTTGAAAGATATAAAGTAATTGTTATGCATAGGAATAAACAAGGAAATTGTGTTATTTTTTTTTAATACGAAACTGACTAGTGCTTGACTGCCATCCCACATGATGGTAAGTGGCGATGCCACAAAGCCTATTCACTCTTGCTTATTATCTCGATATCAGTAAATTAATAGTGTCAGGTCATAATAGACAGCGATATCTGCACACACGAGTAGCTCATGTTTTAGGATCGCTGGTCGATGTCTCAGCCACTGCTGTCTCATTTTCTCTTTGTTCTAGTCCTCGAATATTCTTCTAGATCCATTCGATCTCAATACGCGAATCTTCGCTGCGCCAAAAGATATTAGTGAATGCAGATGGAAAGTGAAGGAAGCAGTTTTAAGGGTCTTGTCTCCTCTTCTTATGAGTTACGGCTATATAACGCTTGGTCAGCTTGTCATTTGGTAAATGGTCGCTTGAGTGGTGAAATAAGTAGTAAGAGAAACATTTCTATTCTTGAGGGCACTTTTTGAAGGACGTTAAGTCGTATGGTTCGATGATACTGGTGGTCACAACCAAGTCCATAAGATCGTGTGTGTCAGAGTGATTTACTGGCTTTCTCCTGCCCCTACCCTACCTAAAGTGGGGTCGGCAGAACATATTAAGGTATGTCATGTTGTTAATGGTATTGGCTATGTGTTTTACGACCGGCCGCGCCGTAGGCAGGCGGCCTTGGGATTAAACAACCAGATCCTGAAAAATTATCTGTGGGCTATTTAATACTTGTCTCGCGTGGGAATCGAACCCACGACTCCCTTTCTAGCAATTGCGCTTAGCAACCGCGCCACCATCAGCAGGTGACATGAAGGTGGTTAACGGGATGCTACCTTACGTTTCAGCACCTCTGCAAGTCTATGGAGATTGTGAATGAAGAGTACGAGATAGTGCAGATGAGCTACCACCAGAACACGCTGCTGGTTTCCAGCCTGTACAGGACCATACTGTGCGAGCGGCGGGACGCGCGCTGGCTCGTGAGCCAGCTCGGCAAGAAGGAGAGGAAGAGGTGAGCCAGTGTGAGAATACCTCTCAGGATAGTCACCTGACCGCTAGGCAAAGTGAGACCGAATTGTTTCAAGGCATTCGTTTGACAAACTCGACTTATGTGGCTTGGTCCTAGAGCAAGGATTTGCGGTTTTCTATAACAACTCTTCACATAAAAAAAATGTCTATTTTGCTATACGGACCAATAACAGGTCTGTAATCGGTGCGGTGCGTACGCACAGTAAAGTGTCGCCCCACTGTTGTTTGCGAATGGCATGGCCTGCCATTACGAACGCAGCGGGGAATGCCTTACTTTTTTTTAATGTGAAAAGTTGCCAAGCGAGCAGACGGTCCACCTGATGTTATGTGAATACCGCCGCCCATGGACATCTGCTGCACCCGAGGGTTCCAGATGCGTTGACAACCTTTTGAAAATTGGGCTCCGGCCACCCCACTCACCAGACGAAACTCGAAAGTATTTGTCAACTTCCACTTTAAGTCAGTCTTCTGTGAAGTCGTGGTACTTACCCGGATGAGCCTGCCCATTCGTGCAACAGCCGAGGCTGCTGCGTGGCCCTTTTTTTTGGTATCTTCGAAAGATACCCTGTCAACTTACATGACAGGATAATGTGGGGTTCTTACCCACTAAAACCCCTTCGGTGGCCACCTTCCGTACATTTGGAATGACTCCGGGATCTCCCATGGAACGCACCGGTGTCCCTCGGTACGACGCCAGAGCACGCCTCGGAGAATGATAAACCTTCTCCGGTTCCCTCTCCCTTTTGCAACAGCACGAGACCACTTCGTGCTGCTGCCAATCCGTGTCCCCTTTTATTGGCCTTTTACGACAGGCAGGGGATACCTTAGCCCTATTCTATGAGCCCGGGACTAGTGCTGCGTGCGTGTGGCCCTACCGCCGTTAACCTTACGCGAGTACTAACGTGCAAACACACTCGACACCGCTGTCCAATGGCCGCAGCCTGTGCCGGCTGGGCGCGGTGTTCCAGCACTCGTACGCGCGGGGCGGCGCCGCAGCGGCGTACTGCGCGCGGCCCGGGCTGCGCCTCTGGCGGGCGGACGCGCGGGGCGACGTGCAGCACACGCTGCTCTTCAAGGTGCGTGCGTGCGCCGACGCAGGAGTGCGCTGGTGTGCGTGCGGTGCGCGTGTGTGGGACCGAATGCGCCGGATGAAAGCTGTGCGGGTGTGCGCTGCGCGTACACACGTGCAATGGCGGCGGTGTGCGCGTGTAAGATTGTACTAGTGGGCGTGTGATGGCGCAGACGTGGTGCGCGTGTGTGAGAATGTGCCAGTTTGCGTTTGGTGGCAATACATTGTGGATGTGCGCTATTAGCGCTTTCTGGTTGCCAATACGCGCGATATGGTCTGGTGCAACCAGCCCGATTGGACCGATAAATGTGGAAGGGAAACTGGTCACGACTCCGAAGCGGAAGACGTTTTTCCTTTATGTGAAAACGTGGCAAACGAGCTGGTGGTTCACCAGCATGCTAAGTGATAACCGCCTCCCATTGTCATTTGCAAGACCCGTAAGGCTGCAGATGCGTTACCACTTTTTAATATATTGGGGCCTGGATAACTCACCAATGGAAATGCAGAAATGTACAACTTCCACTTCACGCCGGTCTTCTGTGGGGTCGTGATTCCCCGGATGGACCTGCCCATTCGTGCAACAGCGAAAACTGTTACATGGCCCTTTAAAAACATAAAACTTATAAAAGTTTTTCCAATCCCACCGGTACATTCGAGTACCCCCGAGGAGCGGAACACATCGCTTGTCTCGCCAGGAGGCGATATCCAACCCGCTGACCGTGGCCGAGCTGCTGAACCCCGCCCAGCGGGGCGCCGGCGGGGCGGCGGAGGGGGGCGGGGGCGCGGAGCACAACTTCGGCCCGCTGCACGTGTTCAGGGAGCACTTCCTCGTCACACACGACGAGCGGCTGCTCTACGTGCTCGACCCGCGCTCGCTCACCGCCGTCGCCGTGGTCGACGACCTGCGGAGGTAAACGCAGCCTTAACGTCTAAGCGTTAGGGGCGATATTCGCCGGCTGCTCTACGTGCACGGGCCACGCTCGCTTACCGCCGTCGCCACGGTCAACGACCTGTGGAGGTAAACGCAGCCTTAACGTCTAAGCGTTAGGGGCGATATTCGCCGGCTGCTGTACGTGCACGGGCCACGCTCGCTTACCGCCGTCGCCACGGTCAACGACCTGTGGAGGTAAACGCAGCCTTAACGTCTTAGCGTTAGGGGCGATATTTGCCGGCTGTTGTACGTGCACGGGCCGCGCCGACGTTGCCGTTGACGACGACGTGTGGAGGTAAACGCAGCCTTAATGTCTACACCTTAGGGGCGATATTAGCCGGCTTCTGTACGGGGGTCGCGGCCGCAGCGACGTTGCCCTCGGCGACGACATGCGGAGGTAGAGCAACACCTACTATGGCTTTATAACCGTGGCGAACGACGCCGGTGGTGAAAGATCATCACGTCAAAATCAATATGGTGTTTTTTGCTCGGCTCTGTTATCCTGCAATAAGGGGGGAATTTTCTCGACGGGAACACTACAATATATCCTTCTAGGTGCCAGTGGTCATCAGTGGTGGGACGTACTACCTAACCACTCCCACACAAAAGTACAAATACAGAGGTGTTGAGTGTAGGGAATAATCGATTGACTTGTTGAAATCGGCAGAATTATCTCGGTGTCGGTGAACAAGGACGAGATCTTCGTCCTGGAGGGGCCCCGCTCGTTGCTGAGGCTGGCCCACGCGCCGGAGCCGGCCGCTCTCGCTCAAGGTAACGCACTTCACACTCGCACGCACGCACGAATGTTCACGTATAGACTAAACATGTACACGCCCTCTGACGTGCACACATATGTATACACACGCAAGGTAACGCACACTCGCAAAGATCCACTACACATGTACACGCCCTCTGACAACTCACACTCGCACGCACGCATACAGGCAAACATATATACTATATATGAACACGCCCTCTGACGTCTGACATAACGCTTCTAGGAAGTAGTAGTAGAAGTAGTGGACCGTTTACGGTTTCACTGAAGTCAAACGAAGAATATTTGCGGTCAACAACAAAGTTGTTTATAAAACAGTTACCCTTTGGTACAATGATAACCGCTTTTAATTTTAGAATGATTTGTTTTCATATTGACATTTGACGTAGATTATGGATTACGCTCGCTCATATAGAAAATATTTTTTAAAAACAATTAGTTCAACGCCTTTTAAGATTCCTGGTATTACTAAGTCTAATATTACTACTATTATAAGTTCAAATATTTACTAGTTTTGACACAGATGGAAACAGATATTACTCATGCAAACAAAAAAATTTATGTAATAAAAATCATTATCAATTATGGTCACTTTTCTGTGACAATAAATCCCATATGGGTTTGTTTAATGTCACAAAAGTTTATATGAAAATAAACAAAGTGAACAATTGTATGTACTATATACATTTATGAGCCTTATTTTATAATTATTGCTTGATGATTATTTATTTTATATTTGTAGCTACAACGGTTCCACCTCGACGCTGAAGTATAAGTAAGATGTGAAACGTTTATGATCTGTGAAACTACAACATGCTTGCAGATCTTATGACCCTTATCATTTATCATTTGATATGTATCTTCTGCAAACATTCCAGTACCAGGATAAATTAAAAATTACAAAAGCGAATCGATCCTTAATGATTTGTTGTTTCGTCTATTTTTGTATATTTATTATTATAGGATGAAGAATTTAACTTTCACTAAAGGACTATTAGGGAATTTAAAATCCTTTAATATATTGCTGAATAAATTAAGTTTAGCAGATGTTACTTCAAAATGTCTTGATTGTTGAGCATCTTTATAGTCAAATTTGTTTTTTGTTACTTCAGAATATGTCTACATATTTTAATGTTCAGAATATGTTCTAAGCTTAGTCATTTACTTAAACTTCAATTTAGTTAACCTCCATACTTTATTATTATATTAGACAATCCTTATGGGTGCTGTTTTTATACATTTCTGGCATATCGAAATCAATGTTGTGAGGAATATCCGTCCTTTGTGATAAAACCATTTAAATTAATCTTTCAAAAAGATGATGATTGACATGACGAGTGAGACATTTACGTTTATCGGATTTTTTTAATCGTTTGTGCCTTTCGAACAGTTTTAAATCACTCCTATTGGTGATTTTCTAGTATTTTTATTGTAACAGTATTTTTACTTATCTTTTGCTATTACATTAGATTTTCCGCTTTCCATTTATATAGTTAGTGCCATAGTGGAGACTAAAATATTTCAACTTGTTAGTTATTTTACTTATGATTTCGCATGAAAGTCAACTGTTCTTATTTTGTTAGTTGAAACGAATGTAACTTGAGTAAGTAAATTATTTCATATGTACTTATGATTTGTAGAATGTACTTATGTAATGTTTATTTTTTTTTAGCTTGTTTTGATCATAATATTAACCACTGTATGTGATAGGATAAGTGCCTTTAACAATACCAAAATGGGACCAAAAGATGCTTGTTATTGTTTTTTTTATTTTCTTTTGAATAACAAAAAACAACATTTTGTTTGTCCTAACAACGAATGATTTAGAAGTAAAAGGAATATGTACATAAAAGCACAAAAATGTGATATTTGTTTAAAATGACCATGAGTTAGTTTTGATTTAGCTTTAAGGTTAAAAAAACTTTATAAGAACATTTGAATAAATAGTGGTTAAAACCACTAAAAACTTGAATAACTGTCTACATAAAATACAATTTGTTTGATAGTAAATGTTAAGAAATTGAACCTTTACAATTAAAAACCATTTATATAACTAAGTACTTAGCATATTGTACTTAATTTTTACTTTTTGTAAAGTTTTATGATTTTTTAAGCAGATTAAAAGTTGTGTTCCATATGGGAAAATGTATTATTCTGCAGGGACTTAAAAAGGATTTTAACATTTGCTTAAAATGTTAGCGACATTATATGACTTTGATAATACAGTGAAGAGTAGTTTGTTAGTAACTTAATGTTAAATATCTTTCCTCAGATTTTTTATTTATTTATAAAGGACTTTTTTTGGTCAATATAAATGCCATTAATTATCTTCACAACTTAATTTTCCATTAAAATTTTAGTGTGTAGTTGGACACTAACCAGCAAACATTATTAATACATTATTATGTTGAATATAGTTAGTTTTTATTTCATTTTGTTCTGAAGTTCTATGTGCCTTTGTATTTTTTAGAATGTCACATTGTACCTTAATTAAGATGTGGCTGTATTTTGTAACATGAACATGTTACAAAATTCAGTTATTAAAATATATTTGTCGTATCGATCATTCGGAGTACGTTTAAATTTTAGATAAAGCTTTTTAATGATAAACACAGTTATATTCGTTTCATGTTTCTGTTTGCATTTACCCATTATATTTTGTTTTCATTTGCGCATTATTTGTTTACTTTTGAACATTTTGTTGGTGCTATTGGGTCACAGATCAATAATTGTTTTTGCATTGTTCTGTACTCCAAACATTCAACTGTAGTTGACGACTTGGCCATTGTACTTATATATGAATATACTTTTTGCAGTATTTTTGTGTTTTTTTTTATTTACCATTCATTTATACACAGAGCAACACCTTGGCAGCTTTACCTTTTATTTGGTACCGCACAACTTTACAGTCTATGTAGGTTATTTTATTTTTGTCGCTGTAATTTGCCTGCATTTAGTGTATTTGTGTATATAGGCAATGGCTCCACAATTGTTATTGTATGCATTAAAATATCAGCAAAAATGTGTTGTTAATATAACTTGCTGTAGATTTCTACTGTAATATTTAAGCAATAGAATTACAGAAGCAAAATTAAAAAAAAATTAAAACACTCCAAATTAGGATTTCCTCTAAAATGCATATATGGGATTGAGCCATAAAGCTGAAGCAGATGGAAGCTTAAAAGATTCCGAAACAACAATTTGCTGATATAAGCTTAGCATCAAATTTTGGATTATTTGAATACATATAAATTTGTATAAGTCAATTGAAAAATCTTTTCTTAAAACCTAAGATATTCATAGCCCTAAAATAGATCTTAATTTGTTTTTTCGTATATACTGAGACTGTGTGTAAATATTACTCATAAGTAACTCTGAAAAAACATTAAGTTTCATTATAAATTAATATATTAGTACTGTAAAAACTATTTTATGTTATATATTTAAATGTAATGTAATAAGCGCCTTCGCAAACGCCACTACAATACTATATTAAAATTGTTGCTAATATTTTTCGGCAGGCACCAGTGTCCACTGCACTATTTGAGTATTTGTTTAATTTATGTTGTTGAGTGAAGCATAATATATAAAATTCTCTCCATCGTATTACAATAGAATGACTAATTTAAATGAAAAAAAAAAAAAACATCGATCATTACAGACGAGACGCCCGGCCTGATGACGAAATCGCTCACCACGTCGCTGCAGCAGGCGGTGAGCACCTTCCGGGACCTCGCGCACCTGGAGCAGAGCGTCCCGTTCGTCGGGGGCGTCCCCGCCCAGCCTGTCGCCGCCCCCGGCCGCCTAGAGCCCGTCGCCGCCGCGGAGGAGTGCTTCGAGCTGCCGCCCGTCAAGCGGCTGCCCGCCGGCCTGGGCGGCAACGTGCTCCAGTCCATCGGGAACGAGTTCCGCGACGCGGCAGGCGACGTGGACGAGGCGAGGCGCGCCAGGTATATAGCAGGGGGACGTATATAGTTAAGGTGGTAGGACCACGCAACGGTGTTCGCCGTTGCACGATTGTGCAGGTACGTCCGGGTTAGTACCACAACCTCACGGAAGACCGGCTTGATGTGGAAGCCGGGGCCCACGTTATTAAAAGGGTGGCAACGCACCCGCAACCGGTGTTGCAAATGCCTGTGGGCGGCGGTTATCACTTGAAATCAGGTGAACTGCCAGCTTGTTTGCCACTTTCTCACATAAAAAAACAGCGGGGTCAAGGTGGGCCATTCCCACCCCTGTATCGTCTAGTGCCCACTCCGGGATTTTGGGTTACTGATTCGAAATTATAGGCATCATAATAAACTTCACAAAACATCATTAAAATTAAACAATATGTATATAGATTTCTTGGCTGTAGATAACAGCCAAGAAATCTATGTACATATTTAATTTTTATTACATAATCTTTTATAATACACTCCGTTTATTTACTTTTGAATGCACAACATACTAACTACTAATTAGTTAGTACTACTATTATAAATTAATGAAAACTATTAACAATGACGAACTGTTACTTTTTAATGCGACACATATGTAGTAAATGCCCAGGCCCGCCCTGAGAAATAACCCTACGCCGATGCAGGTCCGACGAGCTGCAGCGCAAGCTGAGGCTCTACGACAGCATCATGGAGCGCGGCCACGACGCCGAGCTCATCCACAGCAGCCGGCGCAGCAGGCGGCGCGACGCCGGTGAGGGGCCGAACACCCCCCGCAACGCCACCCCCGCGCGCCGCGCCCCCGCCCAGCCCCCCGCACCCGCAGCTCCCCACGTCTACGGGTGAGTAGTGGGGGAAAATTATACTTACTTAAAAGTGATCGATCGAGGTGCAATTTATATAATAAGTCTTTTTTGGACGTTCGTTCATCAATGTACAGTGTAGCCCAGACTAACCCGAATGGACAGATAATTGTCATAACATGGCAAATAATTGCCGAGTGATAATTATTAACGTCAACTTACGTATTGCACTTTAAACGCAAGATGGCGCTGTTTTATATTTCGACATTCATTATAATACGAATATGATTATTGCTCTCTGTCAAAAGATGTCGCTGTAGAATTTACTTTAGAATCCTACCTCGCGATGTAGAGATTTTCGCGCGTGCAATGAGGTGGACGCCGAGAGCGTGGTTCGGCAAGACCTTACTTCATAGGATCATTTCTATAGTAAGCTCTTCACGAGACCTTCACACTATGTGAGATCAATCCAGCCGCGATGAGGAGGCGTGGCGCGGCGCCCTGAGCGTGAGGCGGGCGGCGGTGTGCTTCACCGCCAGCCCTCGATGATCGTTCGCTCCCCTGCTCTAGGGCGGGGGAGGGTGGGGTGTTGTCGCTGTCTGAGTGGCTTTTTGAAACCTTATATATGTATTTGCTAATTTAATTCTTATACGGGCTGTTCAAAGGTCTGGAAACCTCGGGATAGGGACGGTCGATATTAAAAAAACATCGATGTCATAATCGGAAGCCCGACATCGATGTTCTATATTTATCGAAAGCCGATTTTTGTATTATTAGTAATTGACAAAGAAATAAAATACATTGAAATGATTCGAATTCGAAAAAAGCGAATTTCCCCGGGGCTGTTGCCCCGGTTGCCCTACCCTAAATCCGGCCCTGTATCTATCTATCTATTTAAAGTTAGGGCGGGTCTCATCCTCGTTATCGCTGAGTGGCATTCCGAAACCTTTTTACAATCACTTAATTATCGACGAATGTTAGAACTTATGAGTGAATATAGGATAAAAATTACGGTAATGCTTTCTTTCTTTAATAGTAATGACGAGAATGTATGAACACTCAACATGGTTACTACTGCTATCTATCTGTTCCCATTAATTTATATGCGCATATCGACTCGAAATTACACTGACCAGTACATTCTTGATATATAATAATATACATAATTTGAGTGATAAACACTTAAACATAATTTAATACTCCGCCATTTATGAACCGATATATAAATATTCAATTTGCATTGCGGTATAGCTGCTACGTAGCCCCATATTAAATTCATTAATTATTAAGTATTGGATCTTGAACTGCGGAGACGCATAAAAGGACTCCGCAAAATAAAATAGAAAATATATAGCGTGTGAAATATTCGAAGTCGATTTTAGTTTTGTAGTCTTTCAAGCCCGAAAACGCCATAATTAAGTATAAATGTTGAAATGTTTTCTATATAACGGCTTAACCCACTTGAGTTTATCCAAAAAATAACTAGGCGTTATTGGCTACCCATCTAGATTATTGGGTCGTGCCTCCCAAATAATGCTTTGCAAACTAATTACGACGAGTATCTTTATATGTCCTCAATATACAAAATTATGTTCCAGGGACGATCTGCAAAGCGACGATCTCCTCGAAAAGCAGATAGAGGAGAAGGAGAAGATACTCGCGAAGATGCTGAATCTCGAATCGCTCAGTATAATCACACCGAAAGCTACCACTGAAACCGTTAAAGAACCGCAATATCAGTACAGGCCGTACGTAGAAGAGAAACCGGTGGCTAAACAGCCGCCAGACGAGGAGCCACAAAGGGCACCGAAGAGACCGGCGGTCGTCAAAGCGATTTTGGAGCCTAACGCGATAGACCTAGTGCCGAAAGTCGTGAAGCTGCCGCGCAACTGGAACCTGGAGAACATCGAGCTGAGGCTGGACTTGAAGGGCGGCGAGAAGGACGTGATGAGCCTCATCTCGCCCGATGATCATTTGGACAGCGAATGGGAAGTCATCTGAAGGCATCACACACCGTATAGGTGAGGATCTTTTGTTATATCCATGTATGATTCAATTCGCTTCGATTCCAGCATGGGACAACTATTTGTGTGAACGACAGATAATTTGTTTCGGATCTTGGTCCACGTGAAATTTATTTATGTAAACTTCCTTACAACGCAGGGATAAAATACATAATATATCTATAGTAAGTAGTAACCGTCGAACTTTTTAAAAAATGCAATCGACAGCGCAGTAGTCGAATGGCCGGGATTAAGGCGGCCCTGATACCCTCTGTACAGAGGAGGCATTTGCATTTGGACATTTATACAATAATACATAGGCTGTGGGTTTACTTAACAACGATTTAAGTATTGAGATTATTTATAACTTTTTCAGAATATTTTTAAATTAAGTATTTTCTTCGTCTTTGAGAATATTAATTTCTTGCCGTGTTTGATATATCGAACACAATTGTGAGCTAAATATATAGAATGTAAGTTTAATTGAAATAGTTACACAATGATTGAAATGTAATTTCTTAATTTCTTCTGTTCCAGATTCTTAACGGAGCCATTGTTCCGGATGAAAGTTAGGAGCTGTGTTTCTTTAATGGTATCTTCTAAGAATCAATTTATAGTCTGTGTGCAATTTAGAAAAAAAAAGCTATGAAGAAAAGAAGTCAAAAATGAACAAGTTACTTGTTAGCAATCTAGCACTAGCTTTTAATATTATTTATTCAAATAATTTATTTTAGTTCTCAATCAATTGAGTGTTTATCGTAAAATGTTCAATGGGAAACATAATACGACAGTATTATTGCATTAAATAGATGTTCAATTACAGTCCAAAGACTTTGATTCGTAAAAAGATAAATTGTCTCTCTTCTCTCTTGAGATCTCCCAAAAAAGTTTCCCCCATAGATTCCAAGATAGCTTTATAATTTAATGAACAATTGTCTTATTTAGAAATTAAAATGTGATTACGTATATGTAAAAATAAGGTTTGTATGTTCATTATTTGTATCCGTGAATTTGTATAGCAAGGCTTATCGACGCATTTGCAATGTATGTATAAAAGTATTATTTTTGATATTATTCATTTATGATCTCTTTATGTTTTGTATATTATGGCATATTTATATTAATTATATTTTTTTATAGTAAACAGAGAGATAACAAATCTCACTTATTTTTTTTAATAGAAATATCCATGAATAATATACGATTATAATAATTTGGAGTGGTACTTGCATTTCTAACATGAACACTGTCAGAAATTACTAAGTGTGTCGTGATATAATTATGAACAAGATATTTTAATATTTCTGATTCTTTAAAAGAATTTATAAAATAAGTGAAAAGTAATTTGTACTATTTAGTTGCTATACCCACTAACGTTGATCTACAAGTGGGTTTATTGAAATTTTGCGAGTGAAAAACATTGTCCGTCACCGCCATATTTGTTTAGTAAAAATCGCACAGATAGGCCCACATAATAGATCTAAGATCATATTATAATAGATCTGATTTTCTATATGTCCTACTTTATAAAAAATATATTGTCACACCTGAAATTTATAAGGTTTTAGGAAAACTTGCGGCTTTTATGAGAAAAATTTTATGATTAGTAATTAAAATAACATAATTTAAAAAAAATAAAGTGATTAGATAACATTTAAACTTCATTAATCTTCATTTTTTTTGTTTATTTTTCCCCAGTGTTTATGCGTCGTTTGATTTAACTACAATAGCTAATTAACACCATTTTGTATCCGTAATGTTTGTTTTTTTAACGTCAGCTTTAAAATTTCTCTCGATTTATCTACCAAGTCGCATATATGAGGATGTTAAATACTATATTTCATCGTCATCATCGTTTCAGTCTGTTTGAGTCCACTGCTGAACAAAGGCCTCCCCCATAGACTGCCAAATATTTTATTTGCTTGACAAGAAATCTAAAGTTTATCAGCGACCAATGTATTGAAAAAACTGTATTATCACAATTCATTAACTGGTTAAAATCAATTGTTTTAATGTACACAATATTCAAAATGAGATGCCTATCTTTGGGCAACATATACTAGTTGTTACGTTTTATTTTATTGTATTACCGCAAAAAGTACGTACCTATAGATTATATATTAAAGCGCAGTTTATCCAGTATAAGCAACGAGTATTTATATATTTTGTGAATGAAGTACCACATTATTCACAGCTGCATTTATAAGCCGCATTAAAATATAATTAAAAAAATTTTTCGTGTTTTCATATTATATTTCATTTATATATATTATTATATTTCCTATATTATATTATATATATTTATGTGAGAAGACCGCAAGCGAGCTGGCGATTTACCTCGTGTTAAGTAATAATAGCTGCCCATGGACATTCGCAACACCCGTAGTTTCGCAATCCGTTGCGACCAATTAATATAGTGGGCTCCGGATACCTCTTTCACCAACGCAGAAGTGTAACATTTGCACTTCACGCCGGTCTTATGCGAGGTCGTAGTGCTTCCCCGGACGGACCTGCCCCAGGGGGTCGCAGAGACTTGCATGGGCATACCATAATTTTATTTATGTGTTCCATACGCCGTACTGCATTGACGTAACTACAACTGATCACGACTTGGCGGGAAACAAATATTCAAAACACAGAAAATAACGCTACAAATAAAATACCACAGAGTACACGTACAAACTTTATTTGAATAACACAATGCGCTCCGCTTCCGCGATTCCGTAATAAATAAAGTAAGCAAAATACAAAAAAAAAAAAAAACATTTTCTTGGTCCGACGTATAATTAGTCTATTATCTCTTAATTTCTTTAACCTTGAACTATACGAAAATATTCACCTATGAATACGGACTGAGAAGAACAAAAAAGAAGAAAATTTCAATTGTCATGTATTAACGCCCCAAAAAACTAATCAGATGTTACTAACAGAAAAATAAGAATAAATTTTTAAGCTTAACTACGTATTAAAAAAATATTTTACTAGACTTTTCTTGGGAATATGAAAGACGTATAAAATATAGATCAAAGTATACTAATTAATGTTCAATATAATTTAAAGTATTTTAAGCATAATATATTTAATCTTTCTGAACACAGTACTGAAAGACTCGAAAAATCTTTAATAAGAACAGGAACTAAAAATAATATTTTCACAACTACTCGTGAAGGGATATATGCACGGAAATTATGTTTTCATATAAAATAAATCCTTTGCTAACTTCTTAATGCTAATTAGAAAAAAATACTACTACGCCTTAAAATCACAACTCATTTGCATGTAGATATACATACGTCTGTGTTAAGCTTAGAAATAAATATACGTTGGGACCCTAACGAGATCTTTTTATTATAGTTATGGAAAGCAAACGTCTGAGAAAGCTAGAATTAAGTACCTAAACTACGATAACATATTGGTCAGATCGCGAGGAAATTCGAGAAATTCGACCTAAATTTGAATAAAATACGTTGAGGAGTACTCCGTAAAAATTAAGCTAAGGACTGGCCAAACATTCGTGTTCTGTACAAAAATTTGACGTTAAGAACACGTGTACAATATAAATATAAGCAGCTCACCAAAACCCCGTCACACATATTCCGCTCAAACATTTGCCACGCACGCCATCCCCTCCCAAACGGACACAGCCAAACATTTGACAAACGCTTCCAACGCCGCCACCAACACGCCGAACTCACAGTAATCAACAAAGCCAACGCTCAACAAGTTACATCGAATATCACAACACTTCAGCGCAAATAAAGCCTATAGTATACTCGGTACATAAAGCTGCCGTCAATTAAACACCAATAACTCTGGCGTTGGTAAAACGGACCAAAACGCGTCGCAATAGTTTCAGTCTTGTCGACTTGTCTCGAACTGAAACTCCTACACTAGCACTAGCGATGTGGCTACATTAAATTATTATATACAATCTCCGACTTCTATTATAAATTAATTTCTTACTGAAATATTTCTGGACGTCACTCGATAACAAGCAAACTGCTCAAAATGTATAAATGATATTTACGGATTTTTCTCGCGGGATAGACTTAAACGTTCTTATGTCATGGACGCTTGCTTGGAAACGTTGAGATTTTAATAATAAACTAAGCGCGATAAAATCCGTAAAATACTTCATTTAGCGATGTGTAGCATATGAAATAGGTAATACCACTCTAAATATCGAATAATTTGATACATTTCCTATAATGTTGCGTAGGAGCAATCAACTAAATCCAATAGGATGATTAAATTTTATTGGAATGTGTAAGTTTGTCTGAAACGTATAAGTGATTACGAAAGCCCTGTCAAGTAGAATATCTATAATTATACATACTCTGGTCGCGTAAGAAAAATATAAGGACTTTACGATTAACGGCGAAATAACCGCCGAATGATAAATACCACCTTAATCGTAATTAACGTCTAGTTTTAAGTCTTGGTTGTAAAATACATTAAAAAACACTGAAAAGCCATTTGGAGTTGAGTAAAATTCATGGACTTACGTATTTGATCTTCGATTGCTTCAAAAGTTTAAAGGCAAGCGTAACTGACCAAAAGTACTTAAGTATTATATTATTTGGCCTAAAAATGCGATTAACCTGTAAACGATAATAGTTTCGAAAGAGATATATTAATTCAGTCTTCGTATTATTTCAGGTCTCTCCAAAGACCACTTACCTTTTTTTACGTCCATTTTCAGCCTTTTCGCAGCAAAGTCGAATGTATATCAGAATGTATTTCCTTAAAATAATGATATAAAACGATAAATCCACGAATACGTACGATATCAAGATCATCCACCGTTAAATGTGCGATTCACACCAGGCGGGGAATGTCGGCACGAGTCTCGAGCATAGTATTTAATCTATATTTCATATTATGTCTAGTAGAACTAGTTTATTAGAACTCAGGCGACGGATAGTTGAGTTTTTGTTACTATTATACATACTATTATTAAGTACAATACTTATGTTATTATATCAATAAATAAGTGTCTAACAACTAATACACAAACTAGTACAATACTTAATAATAGAATGTATGTATAATAGTCTTTAATCTCAGATTTTTTACTCACTTTCGCTTACCATCAACTTAGCTTACATTATGCTACTGTACTCTAACACTTGATTGCTTTATAAAGTTAAATTTGCTCTTACACGCCCCGTTTGCTGTGAATCGTACTCGATTATAGTATATACAGCGTGTCTACAATCTCGACAATAAATAGACACGCATATAGGGGATAACTTTTTAAAATTGTATTAAACATTTACATTATTTAAACATCAATATTTACATAGTTATTAAATTTTCCAAAACAAAGAATTTTAGAACACCCTTACGTATAAACTGTAACGTAAAGTTAATTTGTAAAGCTCACAAAGCATATGAATGGATTGAATGAATTTAAAAGAAACAAAACATACTGTTAGAAGGAGAGGCTTGTAATGCGACGCTGTGGCGCGAGTTGTATAGGATGTTCCAAATATTTTTTACTTAATTCGTTTGTTTGAAAAATATTTTTTTTTAATTATGGATTTTGTTAAACGTTAATATTTTTTTATGATTATTGGCAAGTAGCGTTAGACGTGTGTTCATTTATTGTTGCGATGGTAACGACACGCTGTATATTTAAGGTTTGAAACTAATATCTAAGGCATACTCGCATAGCAGCCATGAGTTCACCACTTGTCACATGGAGCCGAAAAACCTCTGACCGCTACATTATAAAATTTCTATTAAACTATGTTCCATATTGACTTAAATTTAACAAATTCAATCTAAAGTCAAACTTTGGTTATATGAAACTATTTATTGCGCCAAAATCCATAAAAATAGTTTCATTTAACCATCCATAGTACTTAATACAAGAAATCGATATGAGGATCAAATTAGTTCATGTTCAAAGTTATAACGCGACAAATTTTGAAATATAATACTAAGATACGCGTCAATTGAAGTCTGGAGTAGTATCCATATTGGTAGTTTAATTGTAAAAACTTAATAGGCTATGAGAAAGCACCGAGAGATAATATAAATATTCTCTACTTCCATTTGAAGCCAGACTAATAAATCATGTATGTAATGTGCACTGAGTCTAAAACATTACAATAAATAAGTCTTTAGCCATAACTTTCCATTCACAATTTGTCCTGTCGTTCTTTGACAAGACATGAACAACGTCAAAATATTAGTATTAGTAATTAAATATATGTCACTTCCACACCAATTACCCTATCATTTCTTTTACGAACATTTACCCATACCTATGTGGACAGATTATAAAGCCTGAGAACCTCAAATTCTCACTTAGACGTTTTGCGATAACTAATACGTGAACTAAACTTATTATGAGATTCTATCACAGTTAGTAATTTAATCTCTAATGGTTTTACGTTAGTAAAATTCTATTAAACTTATATTTGAGATTTGTCTATATGTCTATGGTCTTGGAGTGAGTACTTCACTTTTTTATTTCTCACACACAACGTCAAAATATTGTGTTTGTGTACACTAACCTTTCGTTTTCGAACACCCATAACAAAATAAAAATTGGCCGTAAAACATATTTCTGAATATGAACCTCTTTATCGTAGATTACTCGAGTAGATTTGTTGGGCCGTGTACGCTATTCCCATTTTAAAATATAAGCTTGATTATTGTGATGATTATGGTGCTGTTAGTATTTACTTACTTAATACACGGCACTGCCTAAATACTACCGGTCGTATAAAAATGTAGCACATCGTGTAACAGCTACTTTACTTGATGATAACTCTACACTAAGCAGACTGCCGAAACGATTTTCAAACTATACAACACCGCAAAAATATACACCGGCGGAAGGCTTACGGCTGTTGCCTTTAGCGTCAAGTAAAAAAAAAAACCCCATGTCAAAATCTTTCGAAGAAGCGGTAAAACAGCGCTACCCCATTACGCGAGCTAATATCGAGGATGTGAATTGTCGTCTCGAGGGCAGCGCCAGTGCTAGTGGGTGGAGGAGGCGACGTGGGCCCTCGGGGACATGACGATGTAGTGGTGCTCGATGGGGGGCGGGGGCACGATGGGCGACATGGGCACGTAGTCGCCCTCCGGCTGCTGGCGCCGCTCCTGGCCGCGCAGGATGAGCTCGACGATCTCGGCGGGCAGCGCGAGCGCGCCGAGCTCGTCCGCGGCGCCGAGCGCGCCGAGCTCGGCGAGCTCGCCGTCCAGGCACTCGGCCGACTTGGAGCAGCGCGCGTCGGCCGAGCGCCTCGTCTCCTCGTCCAGGAACTCGCAGCTCTTCGCCTCGCCCTTCGCGAGGCTGCTGATCTTCAGGCCCCTCATCCGCCTGCCGACCTTCGGATCGAATCATCTTTATTAACAGAATATCATAATAATCTCTTGTATCTGTGCGATTACACATTATCAAATGCAACGTTGGGAAATAAAAACTAAAAATACTCGCGATAAATCCGTAAACATAGTTTCATTCAGTATAATGTCATAATTCAATACGATAATAATGACTTTGTATTTTGTAAGATAATAAATAACAATAACGCGGCTGACCTTGAAGCTCTTGAATATATCGCGCGTGGGCGGGAAGTCGAAGCGCTTCTTCTTCGTCTCCACGTCCTTGGGCTCCTTGGCGGCGTCGCACTTCGGCGAGCCGGCGGTGCGCGAGTCGCTCTTCAGCCGCTTCCTAAGTGGCCACGTTTCTACGTTAACACGGTGTACACAGAGACCTCTAACGTGGATATGCCTTACTAAATGTTATCGTATTCTTCATTGTGCACAAAATAGAATCGGAACGAAGTAAAGGTTTAAAATAAACGTACAAACGCAAGGTACCCTAAAAAGAGTTCTCTACCAGCGAAACCCTGAAATTGCCCGTGGGACCAGGCAACAGTCTTCGCGTTGATGCACGAATAGGCAGGTCCATCCGAGAAAATACCATGACTCCACAGAAGATTTCACATTAAATGGAAAAGAGGAGTGGAGAAAGAACGCTTCCCTGAAGGATTCCAATAGCGAGATCACACCATTCAAAAAATTTATTCTCACGAGCACACTACGAGCGCCTCCTAACTTAATGAATTAAACCAAGAGGTTACTGAGTCTGAAACATTTAAAGATGACAGAATTTCCAAAAGTACGTCATGATCAACAGAATTAAATGCACTGCTAAGTCCAATAGAGTTTGAGACATTTATTTTTCACAGTCCAGCGTATGAAATAAGACACACACACTGACAGACACTGAAAATATATTTTGTGATGAACATATCGTTTTTTCAATGTCTGAGTGTATCTATATTTAGATTTCCACCGATAATTGACTCATCACGATATCTCTGGAACCATAAGGCGTAGAGACTTGAAATTTGGTAGGAATATTCCTTTCGTCGAGTAGAGGTCAGTAGAGGATTTTACGAAATGTTACTGGGTTCGCTAGTATATGTAGAATATGTATTTACAAAAGAAAAGTATGTTTATCACTTATCTAGTACCCATAGTGTGAGCGTCGCTTAGCTTGGGACTAGAAAACGTTGTGTAATTTTTACATATAAATATCCAACACGATGGAATAAAAGTATTGCAGTGGCAGCAGGAGAAATTTCACAGAGATCTATTGATCTGGTGCAGGGGAGAAGCAAGTTGTCACGTCTGGTTAGCGTTAGTTCGGCTAAGTAATGCAGGGAAGGGGCGGTAGGGGTTGCCGCAGTTGCCAGACATCAACCTGTGATGGATGTAATGCAGGAGTGGGGGGAGGAGCTATTGTTGTCCTTGTCGCACCGTTGCCGGAGGCTCACCGGAAGACGCTGAAGGGCTGGCGCGGCTTGGGCAGCGGCAGCGAGCCGAGTGAGCCGTGGCGCGCCACGGGCGGGCGGCGCGGCGGCAGCGGCGGGGGCGCGCGCCGGCCGCGGCGCACCGTCGCGTACACGCACTCCGCCACCGACTCGTAGGTGGGCTCCTCGCGCGCGCCGCCCCCCTCCTCCGAGATCTCCTCGTACACGCCCGACGCCGCCGACGCCACGGACGCGACTGAGCGCCGGTCCGAGCTGCTGGGCGCGGGTTTTTTTTTTTTTTTTATTCGTTCAGCGGCCCCGCAGCCGCGCCCTTTAGGCCGATGTTAGACACGCTCGTTCCCAGTGCTACCGACCCTACTGTTTCAACATGATACCGTTGCGGAATATCCGGACGGCGCCAATGTGTGGAGTTAAATGTAGGAAATAAGAGTATCATACCTTATTGTAAACTGGTCTTTTTTTTTTTAAAAAAAAAAGAACAACTGTCGAGTTTCTTGCCGTTCTCTTCTCAACGAAAAGTGCCTTCCGAAACGGTGGTAACTTACGAACTTATGTTTCAATTATTATATAAAAAATTCAACGTTTCATTTACAATTTCAATTTTGAATTGAAAAATAGATTTATTATTTTCACATTTCTGTTTTCTTTTTCGTTAAAATTTTTAGTGTTTTTCAGTTTGCGTTCAGCGCCACCTATTAAACTATGCAACTATTTTTATACCACTATGTAATTAAACGAGTTTCTTTCGCCTGTTTCTTCTCCGTTAGAGGAACCTCGTTACGAAACTGTGGTAGATTTGAAAAAAAAATACTATCGCTGGGTGAAATGTATGTTTCTTATATCGATTTATAAACGATTTGATTTTTTTTTAAAGCAAAGGTCGTTACCTCTCTCGGCAGTTAGCGAAGGGAGCCAAGTGCAGCAAAGCACGAGCCCTCAAAGCCAACGGCCCACCTGGTATCATCCGCGTCTCCTGCAAATTACACCATCATGTTATTTTTTTCTATTTCTCTCCCAGTTTTATCTCTTTTTTCTCCATTTTTCTACAAATTTTTAAATTTCATGTTTAATGCAGAGAATCTTCTATATGTATAAAATTCCCGTGTCACAATGTCAGTTGTCATACTCCTCCGAAACGGCGTGATCGATTTTTATATGTATATTTGGGAGGTCTGTGAGTCTTGAGAGTGGTCCACCACAAACATTTTTTAGTTTTCGGAAAACTAGAAATAATTTATATGGCAAAACAACTTTTGCCTGGTCAGCTAGTACATAGTTATACTATAAAAACATAGTTATATAAAAGGTATCTTCAAATAATAAAATGTGGATTACCTTGGACATGATGAGGTCTGTGTCATCAAGGGACACTTCCGAGGGGCCACTGTACCAGCTGGTGCGACGAATTTCCTCTGTAAATCCATATTATTGGGTCTTACACATTGGGTTTAGTTGAGAAGTTTATGAGAAATAGTCTAAGCGAACTCGTACTTTTTTATGTGAGAAGGTGGCATTAAGTCCGCCTTTGTACATAAATGTTTGTGCAGTAAGTTTAAATAAATAAATAATGTGGCAAACCAGCCGGCGGTTCACATGATGTTGAGTGATAGTCGCCACCAATTCAAATTTGCAACACCCGCAGGGCTGCAGGTGCGTTGCCACCTTTTAATAAAGTGGGCCCCGGCTAACATACGAAACGCAGAAGTGTGACAACTCCACCTCACGCCGGTCTTCCGTGAGTTCGCGGTACTTCCTCGGACGGACCTGGCCATTCGTGAAACAGAAGACTGTTACGTGGCCACACCACAGTAACCTATAATAGGCATGCAGTAGACCGGTATGTTCGTACCGGCGTCGTCTCCCGCGCGCGGCCGCAAGTCCCCCTCGCTGCGGCTGAACTTGCTCCTGGGCGTGGGCGTGGGCGGAGTGGTGGGCGTGGGCGTGGGCGGGCTGGTGGGCGCGGGGCGGAGCGCCCCACGCACGGCGGCCGCCAGCTCACCCGCCTGAGGGCTGCTCATCTCCACCACGCCGCCGCCGTGCCTGAAACCGCTGCACACCAAGGGTCGCGCTTCAATCTGACACTCCTCAACTGTGGTCTACTGAAAGGCGGACGGCAAAACGTTCACCCCTTCCCGTGGACTTGTACTCTTCGGTACATTTGCCACCGTCAATAGTTTGGGTTGTCTAGTAACCTCGCTTAGGTCTCTCTGTTTCCGGGGTAAAATTTTAGCAGGCTACTACTTCGTTATAGCAAACAAAACAATTAACAAGAGAGAAAAATAAGTAATGAATTAATGGAATATATGGAATATTAAAAAAATATATTATTTCATTATTAAATTTGACTGTTCCTCATTTGGCGCTTCGCCAGAACTCTCGCTATGTCGCTCCTGAGTGGAGCAAGCCCGCGAGGCCAATTTTATACCTTCATCTTATATCTAACTTAAGACTTATAAGTTTCCCTGCCCAACATAGCGTGAGCCAAAACAAAGTCATATAATTATTTCGAATAAATGTTCCACGAAACATTTAGATAAATTATGAAACTGCACCACAATCGGACTAAGAATTTCCCGTTAAACACGGTCGTAATGAATTATTGAGTCATTTGCATAATGTCTACACAGAATTGTTAATGTTGCTCTTAAAGGAAAATTCCTTAAATAACATTATGAATAGCTCAAAATTCATTTATTACGTGGAGGAAAACAAACATATTCAAGTGTTTGCCGTGGACTCTGGTTCATAGGATATTTAGATTTTTTAAATGCTCCAGTATAGCAGTTTAAAAATACATTTCGTTCCGAAAAGGAAAAAATGTCTATACGCTGATTATAAAAATCTAGTACCTACTTAACATTTACTAAAATAGTTATTTTACTATAAATATGCAAAAAATCCTGATTAAGCCATTAACGTAGATAAACAAAATAAACAACTACCAATTTTCTTAGTAGGCTTTATCATAGACAACGATAATTTATGTTTGTTGTTATTAGTCGTATTTAGCAGGTTATTAATAATTTAAAACAAAATTTCGTTTGGCGAAATCTGAATTTGTTATTAATATTAGCCCTTGTCAATAAACAATAATGTATTTAGTATGTCTACTTAAAATCTAGAATAATACAGACTATACACATACGTACAGATATTTTATTTCGGAAAGGGCAATAAAGCATTAACAATTTTCTGAGCAAGAAACTAATTGCTCACTACTTTCGGTGAGATCGTGCTCGATTCATCGTTTAGCGGTGGTGATGATGATTCGAATGATGGTGATGATCCGAATGATGGTGATGATCCGAGTGATGATGATGAACGACGGTGACATAGGCGTAACCTATTTCAATTTAGGGCCAAAATACATTTCTTTGAACTTAACCTGAGATATATCCGTTCAGTCGAAAATTGAGTAGTAATCTTATGATTTAAAATTAATTATAAATAAAATTAAGCAGTTTTCAAACTTGTCAAGTATTAGTTTCTGCATAAATATAATGCATCTTTTCGTGCATGGCGGTGTGAAAGCGATGAATCCGATACCCTTACCTGCAGTTCTGCCATTAATAAATAGTTCGCTGGTACTTTTAAAACCGAATCTCGCTAACCTAATCCAGTACGCACATATTAGATACGGTGGTGGAAATGTTAGGAGAAAACGAAATTTTTATACATGGAAACCTCTCGAAGTTATGACAAAAAACAAACAACTTCACTTCGCAGAAAGTGCACCAGAAATCTCACTTCGACAGACCAGACAAAGAAACCGCAGAACCACGCGATTTCATTGTAGGTGACGTCCACCTCTCAAGCGTAGCATAAATCCCAAGACCTAACTAAACTGAAAAAACGAAACTACTGTTTTAAGACTTGATTGTTACGCGTAACACCACCAAATCTACGCGAACCTATCTAGGATTACGCGAGAGCTGCAAATGGCCAAATCTTCACGCGTGACACCACCAAATCTACGCGAAACTATCTACGACTACGCGAAACACATTCGAATTGCCTATTCGGCACACGTGACACCACCAAATATACGCAAACCTATCTAGGATTAAGCACCTGAAAATGACCAACTCTGGAGCGCTTGTGCCAACTTGTGAGACCAACACCAACCTATCCATGACCAGCACGCAAGTGCCGCCGCCGTCGTCGGAGAGCCGCGCGTCCGCCAGATGCTCCCAGGGCAGGAGCGCCGCGAGCCGGGGCTTCGCCACCAGCAGCCCCGCCCCCGACAGCGACACCGTGCAGTCCACGCCGCCCAGGCCGCACTTCCTCGACAGCTCGGTGGTGAGCACCGTCACAGAGTACGTGCCGTTCAGCAGGCTGTCCCCTGCAACGGTGGACGGCGGCGTGAGGCGTGACGTCTCGGCTGATTAGTTATCTTCTACGATGATCAGTGTTTCAGGAACCGGGCGTTAGTTAGTATTCGTGTACTGTTCTTGTGATAATCGAATCAAAATTCGTGCAGACGGTTTTTTGAGGATCAATTAATACCTGAGCATAAACAATAATACATAAATAATAATAATGACAATTATTTTCATCGAGAGGTATCCAATCCCTTTCAAGCGCTGTCTCGGGTTCAAAATTCAAAATAAAAGTATTCGAAGTAACTGTAACATAGCTAAGTTTTGTACATTTCTGCCTTAAATCTCATCGCGTCATTAATGGTGTTAAACCAATGGGATGATGTATGGCTGTGTGAATGTTAAACACGTGAGCGATTGGACAATGGACAGTGTTCCGAGGTATCTTTGGCGCGAAATAATAACAAACGCCACCGAATGTTACAATATAACCTATTAACAATGCTACTGGTGTTATTATGAAAAGGGTAAAATGTTATTCTTTAAGTATTATCTAAAGAGTGAAAAGATTCCAAATTTTATTCATTCGCTGACGAGGGGCTACACTACCTCCTGTATACTTACGATATCTATATAACTTAGTGAAATGTTCTAAGTTATAAATTGCAACATTTATGGACGTACGTGTATGAAAATAACGTAAAAAGCTGACATATTTGTCGGACGTGAATATTATTTAATATATTTCGGAAATGTTCCATGTCCGACAATCTGCGATGGAATTACGTAGTATGCCCGAATATCGTCTGTAGGCCTTTGCACAACAGTAGGCCATAATTATACATGCCATTGAGTATTGAAAAATAATACATTTAATTATTGCGGTGGCGCATTTGTTAAGCTTGCTAGGCTTCGGCGTCGGGGGTCGTGGGTTCGATTCGACACGAGTGTTTGTGCGACCGACAGATAATTGTTCGGGATCTTGGCGTTTGTCCCCAAGTTCAAGTTATAATGTATAGCTGCAACTGTAATAGAGTATGCAGCATAAGAGTGCTACATACACCAAGAAATGTGTGTGGACGCACTAAGGGCTTGGGGCGTGCACAATCGGGCATAAATTGTACAGCGCCAACATAAGGTACACACGCAGGATTACAATAACAAATGCGGCGGTTTGCATTGAATGCTGTGACGTCAGATGCTGACGCAAATTTAGGCCACGGCCGAACGTCGTGGGGTTCCAAACGGAAGGGACAGCTGTGCATACAGAACCAGTTCTATTTAGATTACTGTCACTACCTAATTTAGGAACCTATTCAGGGTTTCAGGGTTTTAAAAGTATCATATAGATATAAACTATTCTTTAAAACCGAATAATACTTTTGTTTTCCACAAAAGTAATGAAACATTTAGTAAGAAACTTCTAGTTCATACATAAAATCAACATATCCATTCATTTTACTCAATGACACAAATAAAATAATACTATAATAAACAAAATTTAATACTAAAATTAACCATGACATACACTATTACTGAAAATATAACTATGACATAGTTTACCGATTTAGTTTATACAAAAGTCCATATTACCACTTAGTAGCTTGTAAGGATTTGTATAATAACTTTTATAAACATCTACATATAACATACACATATTTGTCAGCAGTCCTATGCAAGTAAATGAGAGAATGGTCTCAATGAATGCATATGGATGCATACCTCTAGCTTTAAATATTTTAAGGTAGTTCATAGAATATATTCTTTTAGAAGGTGGCAAACAAGCTAGTGTTTAACCAGATGTTTAGTGATAACCACCGCCCATTGACATTTGCATCACCCATAGGGTTACAGATGCGTGGCCACCTTTTAAATAAAGTGGGCACCGGCTACGTCACTTACCAGACAAAACACAGAAATATTACACTTCTACTTCACATTGGTCTCTGTGAGGTTGTGGTATTTACCAGGACAGATCTGCCCATTCATACAACAGCAAATATAGTTGCGTGGCCCTGCCACAATCGCTATATGTTATAACTGGTATTTGCACATTTTAAAGATAAGTTCCTCATGACCATGTGCACCACCAATTCATTTGTCATTTTCTCTCATAAAAAAACCAGAATTATTACCAATTTAAGAAAAACCGTATATTATAATGAATGTACAGTTTGAGAGATTAAAAGAAATAGGAAAGTTGCGGGTAGTAATGAAAATTAAGTCCAAAAAAAGAACTTACCCAATAACTTGTCAGTATTCAATATGTTACGGATTTTATCCATCCATATCTGAGCGTCATTAAGAGAAGGCGCTGCAAGCAACACACGAGGTTTGCACGGCTCATCAACAGAAAACACTGCGAATGCGTGCGGTCGCGTACGAGACTTCGCCCGTTTTACAACACATCCAGAAGGAAGCTCAACTGTACCGGCTGGAGCACCCGCTTCGCTACAGTACACGGCCAGGGATCCTCCACCACAAGTTGCGCTTGGGCGTAGTATACACCACTGTCTCTTCCAAGACTAGAAAACAAAACGACTAGTACAGTAAAAAACCACAACACGAGTATCCTGTTTGCGAAACTAAACTTACTTTGAAAGGATTCAGTCCGAGGTTTGACTTAAAAGGATACTTCACCTCCAAATAGCCAGACATTCTTAATTCTATCGTTTAATATATTAATAGCATCTCAGTTAAATTTTAAATAAATAAATTAATGCACGATGTGCACATGTATTCAAACAACAATTGTTTACCAGTGGATACAGATAAAAAATATTTCAAAACTTATTGATGGCTGAGGGAGGATCAAAAAACCGATATACCGATTCGATTTTATATTTTGATCGTCTCTTTAACTTAGTAAAATTTTCGAAAGATCAGTATCGTATTTAGTTTTTTTATATGAAGGACGGCTACTTATGTTTTTTCTTTCAATTTCAAAACATTAATAAAGTAATTATCACTCTTTTAATAGTGTAATGATGACGCCTTGATGATATGACGGATAAATCAACCAAAGTATTTCTTTATTAAATATCGGCATAACACAATCAATTTACTATTATATTCACCACTAGATTATTGTGAGACGTTGGCGTGTGTATTTTTAACCGACTTCAAAAGGAGGGGGTTCTCACATCGATTGTATTTTTTTTTATTTGAAAGCTGGTGCTTCCCATGTGGTCCCATATTAATTTCATTGGTTTTTATTTTTTTAATTTCATTTAAAAAACGAATCACGAAAATCGGTTCACTCAGTCAATAGTACTGAGGTATCAAACATAGAAAATAAATTACACTCGAATTGAGAACCTCCTCCTTTTGAAGTCGCTTAGTAAAAATAGACTTGCTTGTTATGATTAGCATTCCAAATTATAAAAGTCCTTGGTACCATTGTATCACAATTAATAAATGTTAGATAAAATCTCGAATAAGCTACAGTTATCCGAAACTATCATTGCGTTAAAAGGAGTACTGACCTGGAGCACACGTCAACGGATGATGCGATATGAATAATTATGATACTCAAAATTAAAAAAAACCTAAAAACCACACTGTAACCAGCTCCGAAGCTAATCCTAATCCTGTGGTAGAAAGTACTCCCTGTCAACCTTATTTGCTTTCTAGTGGCGTTATTAACCGTAAATCTCGTCATCTGCTCCATTCCGAAATTCCGTACATTTGTGTTTTCAAAAGTATTCAGTCAATATTTTTAAATCAGAAATTATTTAGGGTTTTTAATCAGTAACACACAAATGAGAAAAAATCACAACAATGAAACTCGCAAGAGAGAAACAAAGGTATATTTAAAAACACAAAAACAAAACAAAACAATATCAACATGCGATCACAAAGCTCGGCCGCTGTATAAAGCAACCCGAAAGAGCTGGATTCAGGGCAGGCAGAAGCCGGGCCCGCTGGCGGGTTGCGCGGCAACCCCGCGCCGGTTCATGCGGCACACGTGCTCCTCGAGGCGGCGGTACGCGTGCGCGGGCGGCGGCGTCCGCACGAACCAGCCCCCGGCGCCGCTCTGCTCCGCGCTCCACAGGCGCTCCGCCACGGCGCTGGCGCGCGGCCACACCCTGCCCGGCCACGGTTGGACGAAAATGGTCGAAAATGGAATAGGTTTTCGCTGAGCCGGCGCGTCGCCACTCGCTGTCAGGCGGGATGTCGGTCGAGCGCTGGCCAGTTTCGATTTGAACGCCCACGAATTCCCACGCCATCGAATCTACGATTCAATGCGCTGAAGCCAACGTCTTAGCAACGTCGTCGAGTCATCGTATAAGGGTATAATTGTTAATCTTAAGTACTGATTTATTATATGCTCAGCTATGAAGGAAAACGTCATGAGGGAACCTGAATGTCTTCGAGATAAATACAAAAGATACGTAAAGTCCGCCAATACGCAGTGGGGCCGCGTGCTGAACCCTCTTTGCCCAGAACCGGGCATTAATTTCTAGACTGTTACATCACTTTTTTTTTTTCAACAATATTCCAGCAACAATAGAACGGGCGCCTCCGGACCTGGAGATGACGTTCCTGTCGTCCACCATCTCGGCCCACATGCACGCCTCGCCGCCCACGATGTGAGCGAGCAGCGCGTCGCTGCCAGTGGCGTCGCGCACCATCTGGCGCGGGTCGGCCGCGTACAGCTCGGCCCACTCGCCGCCCAGGTGGTCCAGGTACCACGCCGACGAGAACAGCACCCGGTGGCCCGCCTCCAGCACCTTTTATGCGGAAAATTGCTGAGGAAGCGGCAAGTGGCCTTAGCAACACCCGTAGGGTTGCACATGCGCTGCCACCGTTCAATAAAGTGGGGCCCATAAAGACGAAACGCGGAAGTGTAATGCTTCCACATCACGCCGGTCTTCTGTGAGGTCGTGGTACTTCCCCGGACGGACCTGCCCATTCGTGCACCAGCAAAGACTGTTGCGGAGCACCACGTTTGACACTTCCGCTTTCAATCGACTTCGGAGAGGAGGAGGTTCTCAGTTCGATTGAAATTTTACAACTCCGTCGTTTATGAACCGATTTTGAAAATTCTTTTCGGTATTCGGTTCAGTTCAGCTCACAGGTGATGCTATAATTTCATTGGTATTTGACTATTGGACCTTGAAATCCGAGGATAAATCAGAGAACTCCTCAAAATAATATAGTACATGTACAGTGGAATGAGACGGTTGAATTTGGTTCATAAAAGCTTTTTTTTTAGTTAGCTTACAAACAAGTTAGGATCATCTCTGCCATTAGAGGACATGCGCAATATGCTGTCTACGTCACCTGTTAACACCGACAACACCAAAGATGTTGCAAGTTTGTTGACAGCCTTTAAAATAGAAAAATATTAATACTACTTCTAAAAGACGATTTTCTGTGAGGCCAACTAGTAAGTTCAACTACGTCGTTTGAACAGCCATTTTCCATGACAATGTATGGGATCAAAACAAAAGAAAAATCGAAATCATATTTATATGACCGAGTCTTAGATAAGTCATCATTTACCTTAACCATCTCATCGATCCAAAGATATTTCCAAACTTGCACTAGAGTGTCATTAGCCAGAGGAACACCTTCATCGAACACCTCCTGTTAATAAAAGAGGTAATTAAAGTAAATGTGTGATTAATGTTTGTTTTTATTTTTATTGCTAGTCTTCACGCAAGATGAAACTTTAAGCGCACGGAATAGATAGATGAAAGTTTCCCACCGTCAGGATATCAGGCGCTTAAGTGAGTAGGCCAGAGCGTATGGGCGCGTTACTTGGAAGGCATAGGTTCAAATCCCGCTAACACCGAAAATTTTTCATATAATCTATCTGTCAAACTTACATTCGAAGAAATGTAGCATAATTTACTTTAGGATAACAACGTCCTGTGTTGTAAAGACGTTTTGCAAACATAAATTGCACGTGGACAAACACCCGGATGCGAAACTATCTGTGGATCACACAAATAGATGTCCCGTGTGGGGTCGAACCCACAACCCCCGACAATATCTTGGCGACTTCGCCACAGAATCGTCAAATTAGAGATCAGAAACCTATAAAGAGAAAATCATAACCGTAGCGTGGAAAATTCCGTAACACTTACTTGCCACACAACGACCTTCGTTTCGTTCGCGAGCAGTGGTATGGTGTTTCGCATGAACATTGCGTGCAAATCGCTGACGGTCAGATTGTTGTTCCTCATGTACTCGCGGATCTCGGGGTTAGAACGCCTGATAACAGCAAAGATTAAGTAACAATTTCTCACGCTATAAATTCTCACAAAGAAACAAAAAATTAACCATTATTCATCATCAAAATTTTTATACGATTTTTTGTTATTGTATATATCATGGCGTAATTTTTAGATAGGTTTTAAGAATCTTAAAGGATCGCTTTAAATCAAGATAAAGATCTAAACACATAAACTCAACAAAACGTATAAATTTAAATAGATAGAATAAATCATATTCATCTAAAATAAAATAAATAAACTACTATAATAGCACTAGAGATTTTGAAACAATTGCGTCGAAGATAAAAAACAGGGTTATGTTTTTCACCTGTATTACATACATACATTCGTTCGTCCCCCTGTTCCCATATAGGTAACAGCTAAACATCTGAACCGATTTTTATGAATGATATCCTGTTACAACCCAATTTAATGCAAGAGTGTTAATATACTTTAATAATTAAAATGGCAGGTTTTTTAGCGCTAAAATGTAGATTTTCAAAAAAATGGTTTCGTACCGGTGTCGAGTCATTTAGTTATTTCAATTATTATTAAATTATAATAAACAGAGATATATTTTTGGTGCCCAAATTCAAAAAAAAATTGCTTACAATCGATACACCAGAACGGCTTTCACTTAGCTATAAATCACTGTTTGCGTTTATAAACCAAGGAAGCCGTGCGGGGGAAATATTATAAGTGCATGTTTTTTTATTACTGTGTATAATCTATCGAGGTTATACTAAGGTATAACTAACCAACAATCCATTTCCACTTCGTCCCCGCCAATGTGCAAGTATTTGTCAGGAAACCAAGCCTGCACCTCCTGGAACAGCTCTCTGATCAGCTTGTACGTAACGTTCCTTATGGGATTCATGGGCCCCAAGCCGACCACCTCACCAGACCTGTAGCACTCCGTGAGGATGTTGGGGTACGCGTTACCCCATGAGCGGGTGTGTCCTAGAAAAGTTGACCGCAAAGTCATCATAAATTATTCTTGTAAGTTCATATACAGTTCATACTGGGTAGAAGGAATACTCGTGGATAATTTCGAAGATGCAATTTATTTTAAATAGTTTACGATATTCTCATGTACTAGATTAATAACTATTAAATGAAGGTTTACTGCCATTTCTGGCAGAGCCGTGATAGCTCAGTGTCCGGGCTCTCGCCTTTAATTCTATGATACTTTCGAGCAACTATATCTGAGTTTCGATCCCCGGTGCCGGCACCAATGAAGTTTTTTAACGCAAAAAAAGTGCTGTCTTATCACGTGCTCCGCGGTGAAGGAAAACATCGTGAGGACACTCATCATATTTTTTCGAAATGATAATAACAAAAAAAATATTTCGAAGATTTCCGTGAACTCTCCGCCAATCCGCAGTGGGGCCGTAAAAATGGTGGACTATGTCCTGCATACCCCTGATATATAGAGGAGGCCTTTGCCCAGCAGTGGGACATGTATAGGCTGTTACTTTAAATGAAGGTTTACTGCCATTTCTGGCAGAGGTTATTAGGACATAAGTCTGTCGCAGGACCCTGCGGGTGTGATAAATTTCTATGATAACTTTCGAAGGTATACCTATATCTTCGAAAGTTTAACAGTTAAGTTACAACAACAGTTTAACAGTAAGCGTTTAAGAAATTAACGAAAAGAAAAGAATTAACGCAAAAAAATTTAGATAATTCGATTTTGTATATGACGGTACATGCGCTGAATTCACGAAGGTAATTTCACTCATCTTATTTTTATCAAATGATATCTTGCGACCAAATTGGCAGAAAAATCGTCTACCGATTTCCGATAGACATCACTCTCCGCAAGGGCCTTGTGGCCAATTCTGTAAAAATAATTAAAAAAAAAAAACAAATCACCTGGCACGTCAAATTCTGGCATTACCCTGATGCCCCGCACGCGTGCGTACTCGATGACCCTCGTGATATCTTCTTTAGTGTACACCATGGAGGAATGATAAGCGCCGTGCAAACTGAAGCAAAAAATTTAAATTTATAACCAATCCCGCATCATAGCCACATGTTTTTTCAAATATGGTCAAAGTCTTTGGAGGTTTTATTCGGCATGAAAACCATGAGCATTTATTTGACTTCGTTAGATATAATCAGCTTGTGAGCTCGGTCGCGAATAAACAGATTCCTTCGCTAAAGTATTAATAAAACATTATAAATGAAACTAATTTTACGTTTTTAAAAAAAAAAAAAAAAAAAAAAAAAAAGACGACAGCTGATAGCTTTTATTAGGTTTGACAAACCACAGATTTTCAATAATCTTATTTTTTGACTGTTTCAAAACTGACGGTAGCCCGGATTAACTATGACAATCAGACGTCTAACACCCTCAGTCATGAACCATGAACGCTGTAAAGGGTTCGAAACGTCGGGAAATAAAATTAAAAATAAACGCGATAAATCCGTAAAATTAGTTTCATTTATTATCCTGTGTTGTAAGGACATTCCACATACATGCTTAACGCGGTCAATTGATGCACACTTCTTAAATGTCATTCACACTTCCACAAGTGGTTACAATATGATTATCTATGAAGAGACCCTGATACAAATAATTGTAATATACAAAAATATACGTTCTTTTTACCTTCATAGGTTGGGCAGAGATATTCAGGTGCTCTATAACTTTTATCTATTATTTATCCCTAAATGTACCAAAATATAAGGACTCATTTTTAAGAAAATTAGTTGTTGATTAAGTAAAACCGAATAACGGAAAGCTGTGCTGGGATTTAAACCCACGATCATAAATTAACGTCCCCAGAAATTAAGCCGCCTCTACTTCGTCATCATCAACATAATTCCAGCCGGTTCAATTCCACCGCTGGACAAAGATCTCTCCTGCATCCATCAACTTACCTTCTACTTTTAATTTTACTAAAACCTTAACAACAGATAAAATAAAATTAATTGTAACATTTAAAGTAAAAAACCGATATTAGTACAGTACGGTTTGCAATAATGAATAATCATAATAATAATCTAAAAATGTAGTACACCCTTCCGTATAAAACTGTAACGCACAGTTCATTTGTAAAGGTCACAAAGGATATGAATGGATTGAATGAATTTAAAAGAGATAAAACATACTGTTAGAAGGAGAGACTTGTAATGCGACGTTGTGGCAACGAAAGAATAAGTCTCCGAATGTATGTATCACTTAGTTGTAGTTGTATAGGATGTTACAAATTTTGTTTCTTTTTTATTTAATTAGTTTGTTTGAAAAATATATTTTTTTAATTATGGATTTTTTTCAAGTTTTATATTTTTTTATGATTATTTGCAAGTAGCGTTAGACGTGTGTTCGTTTATTGTCGCGGTTGTAACGAGACGCTGTATTTTATTAATATAGTCTCAACGAAGAACGCCGTAAATTGATAGAATTATTCTAATAGCCATTTAACTCTGCAATGTAGAAATTATGAAATATCTATGATAACTGAGTAATGTCGTTAGCACGAATGAATAGACACTTTGGTAGTGATTTATTCGTTTTTTCAACTTCGAAAGATATTTTAGCAATAACAGCTTGTTATGGCTGCCACTGCTTAGCACGTGTTTCATGTCATATCTAACAAATTATTCACTTTTCCTATGCGACCTTAACATATTAATAATTATTAATTAAAACTTCATTAAGTTATAGGTTTTCTAGTTGTGTTTGTAGGAATATATTAAAATTAATAAATTATTTCGGGGTTTTATCTATAATGTATTAATATACATAAAAAGATAAAATAACTGTTTTTATAACAATAATACACAAGTGTATGTATATAAAACGTGTTCACCTTACCTTAACTCGGGGAATTTCTCACTCTGATAGGGGAAACTCTGATCATCCACGATATGCCAATGGAATACGTTCATCTTGTTCATGGACATGGCGTCCAGTGTTTTTAGGATGTTCGCTAGGGAAATGTAATGGCGCGAGGTGTCGAGGAGCAGTCCCCTATGTTCGTAGCGCGGGAAATCGTGCACTTGCGAAGAGTTTATCCTGATCTCCTGGAACAATCGAATCGAATAGATATAGAAAAAAGAAGAGAAAATCGAATAAAAATATGGCGCGTACAAGACCACCACGCCTAAAACTTTGTTTAATTCAGTGTTATTATTAACTATTTAACATGTTTATTCGCGTTTTATTTTCAACTTAACAACAAATTTTTCCGACATATCGAATCATTTGAAGCAACCGTGATTACGTGGCTGTGCGAAACATAAATATACTCCCAGATATTTGTCATTTAGGTAATAACGTTGAGTGTTCGCGTAGGTCGATTATGTTTACGCGATAGTTTTTGGGGTATTTCAAAATTTACTGTGTTAGGGTCGTTGTTCTGCGCATAGCAGCTACGGATGTTTTACAAATGGCCAGTCAAGCCTGAGGTGGAGCTAAGCCAAGGCCTTACACAAGGCCGGCGTGATTTGGAAGTACTTTCGCGTTTAGTCTGCTTAGTGTATTAACCGGTGCCCACTATTTAATGGTTGGCACGCATTTGCAACCTCTCAAGTGAAGCAGATGTCCATTTTCTGCGAAAATCATTCAACATCATGTGTACCACCTGCTTCTCAATATATCAAGGATCCATAAAACTGGAGGATCGGTGCAAAAAGGTTTAACCCCCTGCTGTTGCAACAATTGCAACAGCAGAGCTGACTCTATTACAGTAGAACATCTGACGGGAAAAAGATTAAAAGATGGCGGCGGGGACTTACGTTCATGTCGTCTGTGAGGTAGAACTTCTGTGCGAAGGTCTCCAGGCCACGCATGACGCCCCAAACCGAGGCGCTGCTCAGTTGGGACGTGGCGCCAACAGCGAGCCAGTCTGGGAATAAACGGGACGTATTCACTCAGTTCCTTTCCGAAAATAAATGGTTCGCATTTACAGGCTGTCTATCTACAAGTATCTTACCCATGTGTAAACAACTCTTATTTATTTCATTTCAATACGAATGCAATTGAGCAACGCTTACCTCTAATTTATTATATCTCCTCTGCTTAGTTTGAGAATCTAGATTTAAATTATATAACTTTGTTTCCAATTTAAATAATTAAACTTTCTACTTTACTTAATACTAACATACACTTTTGTGATTTTGAAGATGCTCTCGAAGAGAGCCTAGCATACCTTTCTTTAAGTGTTAGCTTAAAAAATTGTAAAACCTTAATTAATCATTACTATAATTTGTCATGTTTGTAATCCTAAAGTAAATGAAATAGAATATTAAAACACTATTTTAAGATGACACACACTATTTATACACTACACTATTTTAAGATGAGATCCTTAGCTGTAGAAGCGTTTTACAAAGTAAAATTGAACAACAAACACCCCCAGATAGGGTGTTTATTGTAAGTTTGTTGTTTGGTGTAAATGTGGTAGGGCCATGCAGCCGCCTACCACAGTTATACCAAATAAACATATCTCCGCATAAATTTCTGCTTTCATAACATTGGCGATGTATCGTGTCGTATCGTTCGCCTTGTTAAATACGAACACAGTCGTCGAAAACATATAAATGATTTAGTTTATTTATTTGCTTATATTATTTTAAATACACGCAAATCATAGTTTTCAAGTATTAAAAATTATTAGTCCCCTTGTTGTAACGAAACGACACAAATAAAATTATGTAAACTAAATTATTTACAGTTATAAAGAGCATAATTGACTAAACGTAACTAAAGCGATAAGGTTTTTATGTTATAAATTTTAATGTCTAATTATTTTTTAAGTTGCAGGCGTTACGGATTGTTTATAATATAATCAATAGAAAGTAGTTGCGAAGAATATGCGTTCACTATTTTGTTTTGTTTGTTCACGGCAAACGAGCAGGAAGCTCACCTGATGGTAAGTGATCACTGCCGCCCATGGATATCTGCAACACCAGAGGGCTTACCAATCGTCGTCCGGTCGCCGGCCTTTTAGGAAAGAGTATGCTCACTTTATGATGGGAAACTTCTACCTCCTTGGGTCGTAACGGTTCGGAAAGACCGCCGGCGGCAGCTGGTTCCTAGGAGTGGTTATGCGAGGCAGGAAATGCCTTGAAAATCGGGATCAAACAAAACAATTCCTCGGAAAATTCCCGTGATAAATGCGGTAGAAGATGCAGAGTGATCCAACATCTCTACACAGAGCCAAAGGATCAAGCCGATCGGAAAGACTTAAATGTGGTATACATTCAGCCAACGATCAAGGTACTTGGTGGGACAATTTGAACGTGTTTTATTATCACATGCATGTTTCACCAGGCCGCGAGCATTTGGTAGAACAGCTGAATGAGGGCCAATGACGAATATAGTTTATAAGGGTTACAACTGAACCGGAAAAAATAAATTAAAAATAGAAATAAAATTTTCCAAATTCCAAACGATTACGGTGTATACGCTCATATATTATAATTTTTAAATACGTCAAATAGATTACAAAAATTATCTATATATACATACAACTTTCGTCCATTCCCAAATACGGATAGTCTTCACATGGCGCGGTCAGCTGTATTTCTAGTTCCCTTAAAGCGCCCTGATGCAGTTCTTGCATCCCATCACTTTGCCGCCTTCGTTTCGAACCCGGGACTATCTTTCGCTCACTTAAGCGCCCACTGATCCTCGATTTCACGATGTACGAATACCTTTCTACTGCTGACGTTAGAAGAGGGCAGTTTTCCCGGGTTATCTAAACAGCAATAAAACCATTTTTTTTTTTCAAATTCTATATAACACTTAATACGTTAATGAAATACCTACATACATATAAACAGAAAACTAAGAGCTCGATACAAAATCTTATGGCTTTACGTTATAATTAAAACGCAAGAACGAAATTTAAAAAATCAATAATTTGAACAACAAAAGTTGCTCGGCGTAAACAAAAAATTTAAAGTTAATACTGTACCCAATATAATAACAACTACTAAACTAATTAATAAAAACAATGAACAAAATGAGTTATAAATTTAACTTACTTTGACTTTAAAGTTTGATGGATTGAAGGTGTAGTACGTTTTAAGGATGGTTTCATTTTGTGGTTTCGGCCAAACCTCTCCTCTTGTGGGTGGATATTTCGGTCCGGGATTGACAATTGACATGCATTCAATATTTAATACGAACGTTGTGAGAAACACACAAACTAAAAGCAACATTATGTTGAACCGATTCAATTTCACAGGGGAACAATCACTTGGCCAACTTCGATCGATATTGAACAAAGACTGCTGTACATTTCTTTGAAGCGATATCGATAATAAACATTACCAAGCAGTCAACAAAATAACGAAAGACGTTTGATAACGGCTTCGATAACCTTTACCCACCAATTGGCGAGATCGATTTAAACATTAGTATTAATATAAAAATTAAGGTGCAATAAAGTACTATAATTGGCTGCTAGCGTGCATTTAAATGGCATTACGCTTTCAAAACATTAAGGAAATAAATATTTTATCAGTGCATCTTCTGCTTTATGTAACACAATTAAAAGAAAACATTACAGAAGTATGTTGTCAGTTTACTACAGAGGTAGTCTCTATGGACTCTATCAGATTATTTTTCAAAAGGTTAGTAAATATGTGTTGTGCTTAATTAAATAAAATTCTGATCGAAAATAATTGTCGTTATACACATTTTGGTGTAATGTGTCATTTTAGTTCTACTTCTAGCAAACTAAATTTGTAAAAAATTAAAATGTTTGTCTTGTGTCCGTTACTTTCATCATCATCATCAATTCATCACCATCATTTCAGCCATTATTTTCTCAAGTATACAAAGTTACTCTATGATTTCAGCCTATTTCATTCCACAGCTTCTCATACGCCCCATAGACTGCCATAGACCACGATCCTGAGTTACCTGAGCCACCTGCATCCATCGAAATCCCGCACCAACTTTTACATTTTGAAAACTACCTATGCATAACATAATAACATATTTTCACATCAAAACTTACAAATTGGTCTTTTAGTTTTTAGTGTTCCGTACCCAAAGGGTAAAACGGGGCCCTATTACTAAGACTCTGTTGACTGTCTGTGGTGTGTCCTTCTGCCACCAGGCTGTATCTCATGAACCGTGATAGCTAAAAAGTTGAAATCATTCAGATGATGTATAATGTATTTCTGTTGCCGTTATAACAACTAATACTAAAATAAACAGAATGAAAAAATATTCAAGTGGGTCTCCCATATAATAGGCGTGATTTTTTTACCGTCTTTTAGATAATAGTACGGAACCCTTTGTGCGCGAGTCTAATTAAAAAAATATTATAGGTAGGACTTCAGACACTAAATGCAATTTTATGTATAATTTCCTTTACTCTAACAAAATAAATAAACAAAACTTAAAGTCGAAAAGGTTGATGCATCGTCCTTATATGTAGTCTTTAACTGTGGTAGGACCACCCAACAGTATTCGCTGTTGCACGAATGGGCAGGTTCGTCCGGGTTAGTACCACGAACTCACAGAAGACCGGCGTAAAGTAGGAGTGTTACACTTCTGCGTTTTGTTTTGTGAGTGAGGTAACCGGTCGGGGCCCACTTTTATATATGCTTTATTGAACACCATAAACATATAAAAGAAATATTACAAAAATAACTTATAAGGTAGTAACAATAAGGCGGTCTTATCGCTAAAAAGCGATCTCTTCCAGACAACCTTGCGGCTAAAAGTACAATATTTACTTTATAAAAAATGTCCGTGGTCGGCGGTTATCAATTAATATTATGTGAACCGCCACCTCGTTTGCCACGTTCTCACATAAAAAAATATGTTACGTGACCTCATTGCTTTTGAAACATGAAGTTGATTCAATTGGCTATTAAAGGTTTTATAATTATTTAATATAATATTGAATTACAAGAAATTATAAGAGATGCGAAGTGCGTTGAGTTTTTAAAGGTGCTAGTGGATTAAATTAAGAATATTATAAGAGATGCGTCGTGTGTTGAGTTTTAGCCACAGGGTTTTTGATCTATGATTAACATAAAAAAATCTAATTAAATATGTAAGACAAAATTAAGGTACGTGTTTATGTGTTGTTAAAGGTACGTAAAAACCACATTTAGTTCTCAGTCTCAGTCTTCTATACCCTTAACCACATATCACAAGAAACTTTGTTTATTCTATGGGTCTATGGTTAAAAATGTTATTCCTTTATTCTGTCATCAACGTCAAATGGTCAAGCAAATTTCTTTTTCATGTCCGATGAGTTGATTGAAGTTAGTAAAAAGAAAGACGTGAAATAGATAAACGAATAAGATGGTGTAATATAATTTATTTGTGAATTAGTTATATGACTACAGTTATATTCCCAAGATATTATTAAAATAATTCGCAAGAAAATTCAATCAATATGAATCATTTAACATCGCTAATTATTGTAACAATTCTGTCTTCATTTGCTTTCATTGCGAATGCCATGAGCTCTGTCGAAGACGAAGCTGGTAATAGCAGATATGTTATTGAAGGTCGCGTGTTTCCACCTGAAAATCAAGTTTTATCGAACTGGCAGGTTGAAACAAGGATTCATGTAAACGGGGGTGAATATATTGGCTTCATTAAGGAAGATGGATCGTTTGCAGTACATAACGTTCCGACTGGATCACATGTGGTCGAAGTAGTTCATCCTGACTACATGTACGAGCCAGTAAGAGTAGAGATTAACTCCAAAGGGAAATATAGAGCGAGAAGAGTCAATTACATTCAAACATCTCAAGTTATTCAAGTCCCTTACCCACTTAGAATGAAAGCGTTATCCAAGTTCAGATATTTCCAAATACGTGAACAGTGGCGGTTGACAGACTTCTTGTTCAATCCCATGGTCATCATGATGATTTTACCACTACTGCTCATTATGGTGCTGCCCAAAATGATGAATGACCCAGAAACTAAGGAGGACTTGAAGCAGATTACAAACTTGGCAAAGATGTCAGAAATGCCTGAAATGTCCGAAGTAATAACAAACTTGTTTAGTGGAGGCGCAACTGCTAAAGCGTCAAATTCCAAAGCAAAACAAATCAAAAAGAGACAATAGAGCTGTTTGTTCAATATAGGCAATTATGATAGTGTATTTTGTAGCCACATTTTGTTTCTACAATAAATATATTTAAAAATTATAGTGAACGTTTTTTATTTCATTTTAAAGAATAATCTGAGTTTACCAATCTTGAATTTGTTACATAAAATAGTTTTATATAATATCTTGTATATTCTAGAGTTATATGATGTGTAATGCATATATTATTATTTAAGTGACATAAATTTATTATGCAATTTTATTTATTGCACCTACCACGATTTCTCTTCATACCCCGGGTTGACTGATAGAGAATGCTAATAGGCATTAAGTCTGCCCTTTGTAACCCTTTTGAGGTGTTTTCAATAAAGAATAAATACATAAATGTAACCCATTGCATGTGACACACTTATTGGGTTTTCGTGTACAATACAATCTACACCTTATGTACTTAGAACCAGCCCCTGTGCCCCTAGTCTGTAAATAATCACTTTAGGCAACTCAGATCTTTAAAATACTTTAAAATCTTTAATATAGGTTTATGTCTTGCCAAATGCTAATTTTTCCTCAAAACTACTCGTTTATTTTTTTAAATATCTACAGACAATTACTAACTCTGTATGTAATAAACATAGACATTTATTACATACAGAGTTAGTAATTGCTTTTTTACATGACTGTGGCAAATTCCTAAAAGGAGGGATATGTGTTTGACCTGTATACTATACATTGTGTGTATATTTATTGTCATCCTTTTCCTTTGGTAACTACTCAAAAGGCTGAATAAAATTTTGATAAATAATATTTCGTTAGGTTCTACTTCTATTTCTGGAGTTTCTCTGGGAATAAAAAACAAAATTGTTAATTTTTGCATACCGCATGCCATCGTCATCTACCACGAGGGAAAGGGGCAGGATGGTTAGAACATGTGAGTGGTTTTGGATGTTTTTAAATGAGCAGTCACCTGCCTCACATGAAACCTTGGGAACATACACCTAGATCCCGTCCCATGTGGGAATCGAACCCCGATGTCAAACCCAATAGCCTAACTGCGCCATTAAGTCGTTTCTTACTGCATGAGATTTTTTTTTTATTATCAACTTGTTCAAAATGAACCTGGGGCACAGTTACCTTAATTATCAGTTAAAACATTTAATAATGAGAGTCCAGGTCTTCCTAAAAAAACAGGTAATTGTTTAACCTTTTTGCATAAAGAGTTTTTAGGATTTACAACTTGAACTTTGACATAATGGTAGCATAACAATAAAACAAGACATTTTGAAATACTTTTATTTAGAAATAAATCTATGAAAAGTCAATAATGAAAATTTTCTCCATTATTCTACATTCGCACGCCATCTAACAACATAAGATACACACACAGACAAAGTAAAAAAAAAAGAAATAAAATTGTAATCGTAAAAAATTTGGACGGAAACTAATGTATTAAGTAACGCGCTTACCACATAAATGAGATTCTTTCACATATACACATTTTAAATACTGGTACTACAATATAGACATTTTGTGGACGGGCCATTTCCTAAATTTTGAACATTAAAAAGGCTAAACCGTTCTCATAATTATTGTTGCACTGATTATTGATATAAATTAAATACACAAGTTCAACTAAGATAATGACTAAGCATAATTCTGTTCATGACCTTGTGCTTATAAATATGAAAGGTATGCCTTGTAAATATGTATTACAATAAAACATTTTTATATAATTTTTTCTTAATATTGCTTGGAAATCTTTAAATTTTTTAGCTCTTCATATACCTAGGTAATTATCAGATAATTTTATTGTCCCTCTAATAATTGATAAAGCATATTAGCAAGTTCTTTATTCACATGCTCATTGCACACAAAAAAATGTAGTCTTTTATAGATTAAGATAAACATTTTCCCATCAACTAGAATTGGTTGCAAATAATTGTTTTAAACAATTTAATGATAGTGGTTTTATTTGATATGATAAATCATAGTATATCTGTATTTTCTCTATGTTAAAGGCCATTTCCTGTAAAAATACTTGTGTGTAAAATAGCAAGTAGAGTTTTTGTTTTAATACTATATAGTACTTAAACATATTTACATTAAAATTATATTTATTTTTTTCCCAATACAGTTTGTAATGTCATATTTGGGCAAGCACGCATTCTATGCTACAGTTTATGTAAAACAATATAATCTGCAATTGAAATGGTAGTTCAATTTTGATATGTTACATAATTATAGCATATAGTTGTATAAATTAAGTTGAAATGCATAAGCACCAAAGAAAGAAATCTAACATTTTCATTTCAGATTTGTGTCATTGAAACATTTTATTTTTGATATTCTTTCTTAACATGTAAATACTCTAAAATATACAACAAGTAAAAGATTTACATTTGTACTGTCTGTACGAATGTGCTGGAAAAAAACTGTAATCACTTATTCTAAATCTGAACACCTTTTAACCTATTCTAATGTAAAAAGGAATGGTACAAGGAATAATTCATTATTTTTCCTTCAAAACAAAAGGTTACTTAAATAATTGGTAGGCTTTAATTGAACAAATGGTGATTACAACTTCACAAACAAATATAGACTGGTTTGAATGTGCAAAAGATTATCACTTAACAACATTTCATTTTACACATAAAAAACTATGCTCACACATTTTTTCAAATATTTGTTATCTTATATACAAAATCTTAGTCTGTCAAAGTGGGTGGGATATAATTTATCTTAAAACAGGGGAGAAACTAAAAACAATGCTATGAAAAAATAGCCATAAATTATATGAAGAAAATAAGGCCTGTTTTAAACTCTTGTAATTGATAAATAAAATATAATTTTGTTTTTGTTACATCATCAATGCATTGTTTAAAATATTCATTCTTTTGGCCTGATTGTCTCAATATCACAATACAGCAAGGTTGTTGCATATAAGTGGCAATTGAATATACATAATGAGCTCTTTAAAAGAATGATATCAATAGAAATAATTTACACAGTTAAAAGCAATACAGATTGATAAATTGTACATGAAACTCTGTTTGCACAACACTTAAACTGGAGAGATTCATTAATTTGTTGTGATATAAATGATATGTTACAAATGCTATTTTGAACACTTGACAATTATTCAGATGTGGCAACACCACTAACATTTCTTTTGTCTTCAATCACACCCATTTACTTATCACAATCAACAGTCATTCACTGAGGATTATATGAAACTTATGGGAACTATGTTAGGGATGCTGAACAAGGTTATGCCAAGCAATGCGTGAGAGGAGTGCAGCTAGAGAGAGCAGGATGGCTGCAGCGGGCCGCACGGCTGAGTTGTAGATGGCGCAGTATGGGCACTGAGAGGAGCCGCACACCTCACAGATGTTCAGCAGATATGTTGGCAGGGCATCGAAGATAGTTTCGTTGAAGCGTTCTAAATACAAACATTGAAATTGATGTTGTTTCGTACTCTCATACAAAAAGGCGTGCAAGAATCACAAAAGTATAAATTCATATTCTATGCCTGTTATTCGTATTTGATGACAAATGTTAAAGTCAAAATATCTTTATGCAATATAGGCTTAACTTAAGCTCTTATTGAACAAGGGCTTGCAAGGGCAGAGGAAGAGTCAATTCCACACATTCTTGTCCTCAATGTACTCTTGGATATTATAATAGGCCCTTGCCATTAAGGTATAGGCCTTTTACAAATTGTTTATACTTAGTTACCTGCGGATGTCACCTATTTTATTATAAAATTTACCTACCTATGTTGTATCTAACATAGGTTTGATTACAATATATGAATGATCTTACCGGGTGCGTAGAAATCGTAAACACGTATTGGCAGATGCCGCGACATGTTCGCCACGGGGAACCATCGCTCTATAGTAAAGTTGACGCAAGTCGCCTCGTGGTCCAACTAGTTTTGTACAAAAACAATCTATTTATACATCCATATTTTAACAAATAAAAAATAAACAGTCATTAGCAAGTGATATTGAAAAGTTTTATCAGCAAACAGCATAGAACTTTATTTGTATAGAGAATGAAAATTTTAGGATCATTGTTGAATCAATTTCTGGTCTGTACAGAAATTATTAAGGTATATAATATTGATAGCCTAAATATTTTTCTATAATGCTGTATGTTCCGTAATTTTTTGCCATATACAAACAATTTAGGATTTGGCAAAAATTCAGAATTTTTAATACCTTTTCCCATGCAACAGTCTTTTTTGTTGCATCAATGGGCAGGTCTATATGGGTAAATATCACGACCTCACAGAAGACCGGCGTGAAGTTGATGGCGTGATTGTGTATCTGTTTAACACTGGTGAGTGAGGTAGACGCGGCCCCTCTTTATAGGTGACATCGCATCTGCAACACCATAGGGTTGCATTGTCACTTAATGTTAGGTTATCACTTAACATTAGGTAAACAGCCAGTGCTTTTGCAACCTTTTCAGAAAAAAAATCTTACATCCCCCTCCTCGGTTATTTTTTTTAAAGTGAAAAGAATAAAAAAGGTCAACATTTTTTTTCACAACACTTACATAATCAAAGTAGAATAGCAGCTTATCGGGCTGGTACTTTGCTCGCTGTAGAGTGGTGACGCGACGCGAAAGAACGTACGCGTCCAGCCTCTGCTGTTGGATCATGTAGCCAGTTGGAATGCCAACCTCCAGCACAGCCATTCCGGATCGAGGGGACTCCTCCAGTAGTGTCCAACTGGGAGCGCGGACAAATGTAATGTGAATAAGTATAGGTATCAAGCATAGTGTTCAATTCTATTTGAGCCGTATGTTGTAACAAGGTTTATTTTATTCTTTCATAAAAACAAAAAAAAATCTGTTTATCCCACTAAATCACGGGCTTGTCTGAAAATCGCCTGAAAATTTGATTTATTACTAATCAAGCATAAATAAATAGGTTGTGCGGCAATTTCGCTGTCGATTGTATAGACCTCTAAGTATCCAAAGTGGAGCAGATGGACCCCTATGGGTCCATGGTAGACTCGACGGGGGTATACGTCAGATCTAACCTTCATATTTTTGTAGTTTGGTTATTTTTGTAGTTTGTCAATCCACGGGAACTAGCTAAATTTGAAAATGGTACATGGGAAAAGAATTGTGGGAACTGGCAGGCCGTGTACCTAGCACAGCTGCGGTAGTCGACGTGCGACTGATTCCGGCCGTAGAAGCGCGCCTGAGTCCTCAGCGAGAAGGCGGGCACCGCTGGGGGAGTCTGGAACCGCTCCACATCCACGTTGTACTGCACGGACATCTGCAGCAGCGCGTAGCCGGCGCCCCGCGCTGTCACCTTCACAGTGCCCCAAGCCTCCGGGATCTGGGGAAGGCAGACATTTATTTATATCATTATTCATGGCTTGAGGATAGCGCTTGAAGCTCGTATTGTGAAAGAGGTCGATTATAGTATCGAATAACGTATTGAGAACAGTCATAATTATGTAGATAAAATGACTCTTGCTGTGTAGTGAATGGTGGACCTTTCTAATGCTAGAGAGTGTGGGTGTGATTAGCACTACAGGAAAAATATTGTTTTGAATTTATTGTTTTCCAAGTGTATAGATGTTACATATATCTAGAATAAATGTATATTTATTTAATAAATAAAACTATGTAAGTATGTTTATCATTTACCTAGTTGTGTAAATATGAGTCCTTGCTATTTTTTGTTTATTTATGTATTTTAACGGTATAAGAAAAAAGAAAAAAGAATTGTAAGGATATTTATGACTGGAGAGTTTTCTTCTTTAGGTCCAGAAGCAGTCTGACCTTAGTTATTGAACAGATAGAACAATAGATAGAGAACAGTACATTTTAATATTTAACTGTGGTGTGGTCACAAAAAGTTCATTGTTGTACGAATGGGTAGGTCCATCCGAGAAAGTGCCACGACCTCACAGAAGATCGGCGTCAAGTGCAAGTGTTGACTTTTCTGCGTTTCTTCTCGTGACTGCTTCACGAGAAGAAAGGGCTCAGTTTATTAAAAAGTAGTAGTGCATCTGCAAATCTACGAGTGTTGCAAATGTCCATGGGCGACGGTTATCGCTTAACATCAGGTGAACGGTCAGCTCGCTGGCCATCATCTTACATAAAAAAAGTATATGTGTATTTATGTACCCATGTAAGAAGTCATACTTCTATAGCGTTACAAATGTAAAATAACTAAAACTTATCCCCTGTGCCAGTAATCTTTTTTTTGTGAAAAAGACATTAAATACAATTGACATCGGTTTAATTAAAGAACTTGTATTTTTTTTTGCCACGGTAATACCGTGAAGTTGTACCTGATTAAGAAAATCATGATTTTTACTTTACAGGAAATGACCTAAAACGACTACCTTTTTTCGACTTTTATTAAAACAAGGGCCGATTTTAGAAAGCTACATAACATATTCTGCTGTATCTTACACACCCCTTCAATTACCGCGTTTGTTTATAAGTGCACAAATATTTATAACACGTTTCCCAAAAATTTATATTTTACGATAGGTCACTAAGTTGGTAATATTAAAAGTTGCATATATGTGGTAGGACCACGAAACAGTTTTCGCTCTTACACGAATGGGCGGGTCCGTCCGGGTAAGCACCACGACCTCACGGAAGACCGGCGTGAAGTAGAAGTGTTACACTTTTGCGCTTCGTCTGGTGAGCGAGGTAGCCGGGCCCACTCTATTAAAAGGTGACAATGGGGTGTTGCGAATGTCCGTGGGCGGCGGTCATCACTTAACACCGGGTGAGAGTTGGTCAGATAAAAATAAAAAATAAAAAAGAGTAACCTGTATGGTGTGCATCCGCGCCAGGTTGTCATTGGAGAGCGTGAGCGTGCGCGTGCGGCCCCTCAGCGCCACCGCGTCCACCGTCACGCTGAGCGCGCTCACGTCGCGCAGCCGCTTGCGGTTCGTGTACTCGATCAGGGCGCGCAGCGCGATGTACGTGTCCTGAATGGACAGACGGACGGACGCTCTTTATGCGTACGTTTAGATTTCCCGCTGAGTTTCTATCGCCGGTTCTTCTCGGTTCAGTAGAGTTCTTTTCCGAACCGGTGGTAGTATTTTGACTATCATTGAGTGGGTGTAATGTTAATATAATGTTGAATTTGATGAATCCTCGGCGCTGTTGCCAGGTTCGACGCCCGCGTTCGTTGGTCCGATTCCCACGAGGGGCAACTGTTTGTGACCCACAGACAATCGTTCCGGATCTGGATTTTTGTCACCCAAGAAGGGTTGACGTTAGGCAGATGGCCGGTCGTAAAAAACATAGCCAAAACCGCTCACAAAATGATTCACATGTTGTGCCTACCTCACTAATGCCCGGTTCCTATATTCAAAGAACGGCCGTTAGTAACATAGCTTCGTAACTTTCATAACTCCTTGCAGATAAAAGACGTGTACGTCCAGTTTCTATATTAACAAAACGAGGCGTTTTCCTTAAAAGCCGTTGCATAACCTACGGAAAGTGAGTTACTAGCGTTCCTTTAATCTACAAATGGTTATGAAAGTTACACAATTATGTTACTAACGGCCATTAGGTGTGATAAGGTTGATGACATTATTATACAAATTTTCCCGAGGGAGCCCCTGGATCCCCTGGTCGGGCGCGGCCGTACCTGCGTGGAGGCCCAGCCGCCGTCCTGCAGGCGCTGCGCGTTGAGCCACATGACGATGGGCTCGTTGTTGTCCTGGTGGTCCATGCAGGCGAGCAGCGCGTACGCCGTGGCGGCGATGTTGTTCGAGTCGTACTTGTACGGCAGCCGCGGCAGCAGGAACGGCTTCTGGTTCTCCATCTTGAACGGCGGCTGCGGCACCGGCTCCTTGCCCCAGTACACCAGGCCGCCTGTTCGACAACGTTACGTCCGTCTCGCTCGCACTTCTGGCTCTTATGCGCCTCACTCATAGCGATGTGTCCCCTTCACGTAAGGTTCAATATTGCGCGCATTGGAATGGCACTTGCCATGCATGCAACGGATCTCATATTTTACCCAGTTTCTATTAAAAAGTCAAACTCAAACGTCTCTACATTTTGAATAGGAGGATTTATTGAGTTTGCATAAATTAAGAGATTGATTGCAACTACAGAATATGTATTACGGAAGGTGTAATTGATTTTTAGGCAAGATATAATTTGTGAAACGTGCTGTATGCCACTTCACCTTTTCCAGGTGGCAAATGTATATCCTACTCAAAGGCTCCGCAAGGTTCAGGCATCATGTCTCCACACACATGGGGCGAGGGTCTGTACCTTCTGAGCGCTGCCTGCGCCTGAGCAGGCGGTAGGCGTGCTCGGAGGTGGGCGCCTTGCTGACGGTGAGCGCGTAGGCCACCAGCGCCAGCGAGTACGGCTCCCCGTACTCCTCCAGCAGCTTCAGGTTCTTCTCCAGCCACGTGATGCCGTTGCGCTGCGCCTGCGCCACGCGCGCGCTCAGCCCCTGCAAACGCCCGTCGCCGCAATATTATAAATGCGAAACTAACTCTGTCTGTCTGTCTGTCTGTCTGTCTGTCTCTCTCGCTTTCACTCAAAAACTACTGAACAGATTTAAATGGTATTTGGTACACAGACAGTGTTTAATTGGAAAAAAGTGTTGTAGAAGGTTGAAAGATATTTATTTAAGGGCTTCAACGCCAGCGAAGCCGCAGGCGAAAAACTAGTATCCTATAATTATGACATTTTATGTGCTAGGACCACGTGACCTCACAAAAGACCGGCGTGGAGCGATAGTCTTTTACTTCTGCCTTTTGTCTGGTGAATGAGGTTGCCACCTTTTAATATAGTGTATTAAAAGGTGGCAACGCTTCTGCAAGTGTCAATAGGCGGCGGTTATCACTTAGCGTCGGATGAACCAACAGCTCGTTTGCCACCTTCTCAGATTTTTTTTCTTTTCTTAAAAAACATTGCCCTTACTTTAGGATAACATTATCCTGTGTTGTAAAGACGTTTTACAAACATAAATTTCACGCTGACAAACACTCAGATGCGAAACATCTATCTGTGGGTCACACAAATAGTTGTCTCGTGTGGGGATCGAACCCCCGACCCCGACGAAGCCAATACCTTAACAACTGCGCCACGGAGTCATCATAAAAAAAACTTCATCCTTAAGGGAGTTTCTGTTGCAACATGGTATACTAAAATATATTTCTCTCCTCAAGTTTACCTCTTTTAAGCCAATGTCTTTGAGATTCTTAACAGACTCCAGGGTGATTACGACCTGGGCTGTGAGCGTGACGTTCCGCTGCAATATAATAGAGTTGTTGACCTGCAAAAAAGATACATATATGAAAACTAGTTGACACGTGCGAAATTTACTATTTATCAGTTACCAAATGGTGATACAATCTAATATATAATATAATTCTCGTGTCATGTGTTTGTAATTGAACTCCTTCGAATCGGCTTGATCGATTTTCGTGAAATTTTGTGTGCGAGCTGGTAAGATTAAGTGGAGGGTCTCCACCTCGACGCCCAATTTGCCCGCGGCGCCCCTGAAGAGGCCCGAGTCGGCCGGCACGGCGATGGTGGCGTTGGCGTTGCGGTCCGGCGACCAGGTCACCTCGTAGAACGCCCCCTCGGGGCTCTGGTGCTCCAGGATCCACGACACCGCCATCGAGATCACCTGCATTGTTTCACTACTTTATTTTCTATTCTTTGTTGTTCATTATTCAAAATCTGATGTAGTTTACCATAAAGTTTATTTCATTCATTCATTCATGTAAGAGATCATTGCCCACTACTATAAGATGAAATTATCCTATTACAATGATGAAACAATTATCTGTGGGTCACACAAATAGTTGTCCCCTGACAATCGATTCCACGACCCCGGCGCTGAAGCTTGATACCTTGGCAAATGCGCCACATAAACGCATCACCGGCGCTCTACATAAAATGCTTCGACATCCCATTGAGCAATGTTGTTGACCCAATCCACCCTTCATGGAAAACTGTTAAAGCTATCTCATCCATCATCAGTTTAAATATTTTTTTTCTTGTATTATATCTTACTTATTACTATTATACTTGTCTATTGTGTATTCTCCTTTCAATTTACTTTGCACATGTTAAAATCTTTCAGTTTGACTTTGAATTGTCAATTGTCTTTCAAGATCGGTCACGATTACGTCACTCATGTCTACCCAAATGTTATAAATACTACATCTATCTTGGTCTCGAATAGAAATAAATATTACATTATAATTTAATAACACAAAAAACTCACATTAGGATCAATGTAAATGTAATTCTCCCACTCATTAAATGTCGCCTCTTGGAATATCTTAGCACAGAATGAAGTCAACCACACACTTGAGGCAGACTGGTTCCTGAAAAGCAAGAATAGGATACAAATTCACCAAAAACACCACTCTCAGTTTTATATGAAATACTTTCATATAAACGAAACATTGAAGAAGTAGGGATAATTGCCAAAAAATTATCATTTTGCAATACTACTAATAATAATTGCCATAAGTCGCACTAATAATAATAAGAAAGTCTGAGTCAATCACTCAATCACAAAAAAAATTGATAATTTATCCACTAGTATCATCTGCAGAGCCAAAAACTAAAAAAAATTTATAGCTAAAAAAATATATATAATGTAATCCACATTGATACCTCCTCCTTTTTGAAATCACTTAAAAATTTAACTTCAAAAGCTTGTCGTTATTATGCTATTATTTATTTGATCTTGCAAGTAATTAATATTGTGACCCATACTTTTACAAATAAATTACCTAATACCTTTAAACAAGCAATTCATGTGTATATAATATAATATAATCGGAATCTCGGAAACGGCTCCAGCGATTTCCAGCGAATGCAGGTGGCTCAAGATCGTGCTTCGTGACGGTGTGGGTTCGTTCAGCAGTGGACTCAAACAGGCTGAATGATGATGATGCAGTGCAAAGGTGCTCTATATTGAAAGATGAATCTTCACCAGTCGCTGCGGAACAGGCTGAAGGAGCCGTCGGGGCGCATGAAGGATAGCTGCCGCTGGTAGAGGACGTTCATGTGCGCGAACGCGTCCCTCTCCAAGGTGCGGTTGCGCTGGTTCGTCAGCCGCATGTACATCGTCAGGTACATGTTGGCCGCGAAGCTGAACATGTTCTGCTCGCCAGAGTCCTGCGCGGAAACCATTCGTTCAGTGCAGTGTGGATGATATTGTGATGATATGAGATTATATTTATCACCATCCTTACTGTAGTGTTTTCTTTTTAAAGTTAAGCGAGCAGTGGGTCAAGTGATGTTACGTTAAGACCACCGCCCTGCACACATCTACTTCTACAACAACTGAGGGCTTGCAGATGTGTTGGCCAGTTTTTAAAGTGGGCTCAGGTAACATCACTCATCAGAAGAAAAGCGAAAGTATAATACTGCTACTTCACGCGAGCCTGCCCATGCGTACAACTGTTAGATTCTACCACAGATGAAAAGCCATGTTGCAACTTCTGATAATGCAAGAGGCGACTCGTTTGGGGATTATTACGGCCCTGCATGAATCCGTTGAAAGGAGGTAAGCGGAGCTGACAACCTTAAAGAACGGAATTATTATTTCTAATATATTATTAATTACTACACAATTTTTCACAATTAAGTTGCAATTAATAATTAAGTTTCCTAAATCATTTCTGTTTATTTTAATTATCTTAATTACAAGCCTCATACCATGACTTATCATTAAATAAATAAGCATACAATTAGGCTTATTAATCTTATCATTATCATATGCACTAGTTGTTTACCTCAATGTTAATAGTGCATTATAGAGTCACCTACCCATAATCTATATATGGTTACTTAGTAGATGCCTCATAAGAATCAATTAATTGTAGTTTTGATGTGCTCACCAACCTTAGTTGATATTAAAGTTATCAACGCTTTGACCTGGCCTTGAAAAGCCGTTAGAAATGTGCACGGGTACCATTGGCAGATCGAGTAAGCTCGTAGCGTTGACGGGCATGGTGGGGAAGAGGGGCCCCACCACGTCCCCCACCACGGTGATCCGCGCCTTGTTCGACCCGAACACGTAGTATCGATCCACTTCGTACGGGATGATTGGAGTCTCTGTGACGTTCACGTGCATGTACTGGAACACGTAGGCGCGGTTCGACAGGTCCAGCAGGACCGATTGGTGCCGGTACTGCGGTATGCCGTCGGCCTGCAAATAACCATAACTCATGTTCATATTCTTTTTATATCGGAGGATTGAATTGAATTGCATATGAATTGCACTTTTTGAGATGGCTATCTAATGGCCCTGGCTGTCACATTCATCAGAAGAAATAAAAAAGTTTTTATTACGCTTTGATACCTCTTTTGGTGAGCTGGCCCATTCTTGAAACCGCAGAAACTGTTATTTGGCCTACCACGCTAATGTAGAAAACATCAATTGTTTACCTACCTGTTTGTTGTTAGGCTTTGAGTAGGATGATAGAATCACAATATCTTGCTAATAAAAGTGTTAACAAGTCAATTTGGAAAGTTGCAAGAGATAATGAGAAATATACAATGACAGGCACATCCAGAATATCACGGATCACCGACTGTTTAATAACTATTTTACAATATAAAGCTTCAAACCCAAAACAATTATATGTGGGTCACACAAACACTTGTCCCGTGTGGGAATCGAACCCACGACTAGCAGCGCCGAAGCCGTCACGCTGGCAGCTGCCCAACGGAGTCATCAAGTGTCCGAGTAAACATAGCGGCTATTGGGACACTTATCGTCTCAACTTCAGTGAATTATCACATTCTCAGCTGTGAAGTCTCATCGTGAGGAAACCTACATATTTTCGAATAATAAAGAAAAATTCGAAGATATGTCCGCCAATCCGCAGTGGGGCCGCGTGGTGGACTAAGCTCTGATACCCTCTGTCCAGCAGTGGGACATGTATAGGCTGATACTTTAGTTTTTTTTACCTCGACTTCTATGGTCTTGGTGTAGTGGTGCTGGCCCTGCAGCGTGGAGGCGTGCAGCTGCACGTGGATGGTGCCGAGCCGCGCCGGCACCACCGGCACGTACACGGTGGCCGCGTCTCCGGCGCTGATGTACACGAAGAACTGGTGCTCGCCGAACGAAGTGCGCGGGTTGTACGACCGCACCTGCGTTTGTTCGTCAAATGACACGCTGTAGCGTTAATTCACCGCTACCGCCTTTGAACTACGCCAACGCATCAAATCGTGTTGCATCGGATGATCGATGACGTCACAGCACGGTCACTGGTAAACTATTTTGTGTCCACAATTAAAAGGGACGGCACTCAGGTATTGCTACTCCGTGTGCACCACTCGTACTTTCTTTAGTTAACGTTTCATGATTTTTAGAATTTTTAAATAACACCAAGTTTTCGTCTTTTTTTTGGACACCTATATGAATACGCGTATTCCTTCGAATAAAACTTATTATGTTAAAGTAATACAAGTAACTATTTTTATACATATTTAAGAACTTTATGCAAAATGGCATACTATGGCGGATTGACGCCATTAGGTGTTCTCTACCAATGAACCGAGAGAAACATAGAGAATGTAAGGAGGTGGATGATTTATTATTTAATTTATTAAAAATTGTAGAAAAAATTAACAAAATGTTTTTAGGTGACGGGAATCGATCCCATATTATCTGGGAGTCCGGAAAAAAAGTTTTAACAGAGATTAGCACTATGAACATTTAAGTGACTTATTACTCACGATTCCGTTCTCCTCGACGTGCACGAACTTGTAGTCCGGCGAGGCGGCGAGCACCACCACCGCCTCGATTGCCTGCGGCTGGTAGTTGAACACCACCACGCGCAGGCCGAGCTGCTCGCCCTGCTTGCAGCGATCGGGGCCCTCCACTTGGATGAAGAACGGCAGCACCCCGTCGTACTGGACGTACAGTGGCACAGGATGAGAACACGAAATGGAACAACTATTTTTAGGGTTCCATACCTGCGCTGTCTGTCTGTCTGTCCGTCTGTCACCAGGCTGTATCTCATGAACCGTTATAGTTAGACAGTTGAAATTTTCCCTAATGATGTGTTTCTGTTGCCGCTATAACAACAAATACTAAAAGGCAGAATAAAAACATTTTAGTGGAGACAACAGACATGATTTTTGTACCAACAGATATGATAATGGTACAGAACCCTTCGTGTGCACACTTGGCCAGTTTTTTTTTTTAAAACTGATTGATAACATTAAGATCTTCCAATCATATCGGCATAATAAATTACTATCAGATGAAATACAGTTAAGTAACAATAACCGTCGCCTAAAAGCCCTAATCATAAAATCTTAAATCTCTATAAATAAAACGAGTTTTATTACTTGGTTATTATTAAAAAAAAAATTGTAATATCTTCATTTATTCAATTATGTAAGTTTTAAGAAACAATGCTTTTTATAAGCTATGTTTAGCAATGCGTGCTTTTAACCATGAAGAAGTAGTTATTATATTAACTAACGAGGACGAAGTCAGCGAGGGGGATGATTATGATTTGTGTGGAAGTGGTTGGCTAGTAAGTCTTGACGACCACTGTGACCTAAAAGGATAACATTATCCTGTGTTGTAAGGCTGTTTTTTTTTTATGAAAGAAAAGTTGCAAAGCAGCTCGCTGTTCTTTAAGTGAATACCGTCGCCCATGGACATCTGCTACACCCGAGGGTTGCAGATGCATTAACGACCTTTTGAAAATTGGGCAAGTATTATACTTCCACTTTACGCCGGATTTCTTTGAGGTGGTGGTACTTACCCAGACGAGCCTGCACATTTGTGCAACAGCTGTGGCTGCTGCATGGCTCTACCACAGTTAAATTGCATATACAAATTTTGAGGCGGACAAATACCCGGATCCGTAACAATAATCTGTGGATTACACGAACAGTTGTTTCGCGTGGGAATCAAACCGACGATCCCCAACGTATAGCAACGGCACCACCGAGTCATAATTTAGAATCGATATATCGGATCAAAATATATCTGCTAGAAGTATGGATATATCGATACCTTTTCAACATCCCTAGTTGACCGTTTTACGATATCATTTTCGATGTTGAACATTTTTTATCGATTTATCGGATCGAGGCTGAAAGTGTTCCAGTTGCCATATTCAACGGACGGCCGTTAGTTTCGTAACGAGCCGTAGATTAGAGGGATTGAACGGCTCGTTTCGTGGATACAGGATAGCGATACTGACTCTGACTGGCGCGTGCAGAACGCCGAGGCCCAGGTCGGGCGCCATGCTGAAGGCGGAGACGGTCCACCTGGCTGGCGCGCGCGGCACGTCGGCCGTGAACACGTAGCGGCCGTGCGGGCCCACGTTCACGTCGCGCCACAGCCACGCGTTCTCGTACTGCCGCTGCACGCGGTTGAACCGGAACTTGCGGAAGTGCCGCAGCGCAGAGTCCTCCTCGTGCGAGCCTGCGACGCACATGCCCTCGCTTTTTAACTATTTATTTCATTGTTTAACACGAAATACAAGTAACATGCTACTAGCAGTGAACAAATGAGTAAGCTCGCCTTTTAATTGTTTAACATCATATTTCCATTTTTGGGAGTGATTTTCAGCGTTTTTATAGCGCTGGTTTCTACACTAAAACTTTAAATTGTAAACTGTAGAATATTGTAGAACTATAGAATGAACAAAAACATTCAGAGGTGCGGAATTCGAACCCGCGTCCTCTGATTTCGCGCCCCGACGCTTTACTAACTAAGCTAAGCAGCCGATGATCACACGGCTCGAAATCTTGAAATCTATCTACGTTTGTTGTGATAACCCACGCCCATGGACATTCGCAACACCCGTAGGTTTACGTCGCCACCTTTCAATAAAGTGGGCCTACCGGCTACCTCAATCACCAGACTAAATGCAAAAATATAACACTTCCACTTCACGCCTCAAAGAAGAATTTGAGGTCGTGGTTACGTTTTATGCGCGCAGATACCGTACAACATAAAAGTTCCTATCTCCAGGATAATCAACAAGTCTGAAGGCTTCGGAAGTAATTGTTCTTCCACGTCGGCGTCTTCAAGGCAAGAGTGAACAGGCTTTTACTGAGCTAGCGCGTCATTTGGGATGGCAGTCGAGCGCTGGCCAGTTCCGTACATTAAAAAAAAGTAAAAAAGGGTGCGCACAGCTGGCCTCGTCGGTGCGGTCGGCGCAGTCGGGCGCGCCGTCGCAGCGCTTGTCGGCCGGGTAGCAGGCCCCGTCGAGGCACTCGGCCAGCCCCAGCGACGCGTTGCACGCGCTGTGCCGCCGCGTCACCGCCACGTCGCTGAACACCACCAGCCCCGCGTACCTGTGCCGGCGCCACATCAATCGCACAGCTCTACTTTGCTCTTTGCTCTCTGAGTCACACAAATAGTTGTCCCGCGTGGGAATCGAACCCACGACCCCCGACGCCGAAGCCAATACCTTGGCTATTGCGCGAAGGACTCATCTAAGTTTCAAACTCGAAGCTCTTATTGAAAACTACCAGCGGTTCATTAACCTAGTTCATAACCTGATGACAGAAGAAGTGATAAAATATTCTACGATGTTATCTTTTTTTTAAGTAATGAAGTATTAAAAATTAATTAGGTATAAAATCAGCAGCAGCCAGAGGATTTAAAAGTGCAGAACAAGAGTCATTTCCATATATCCTTGTTGTCAATGTAGACATTATAATAGACCCTTGCCGTTTGTTGGTTGATTTGTTTAACCAGACTGGGTATGTACTTTGGAATTGAATCCGGCATAAGATAGTGTTATAATCGAGGGGACAATATACAAGGAACTGGGCGCTTTACTCGAATGTTCTGTTGGCGTCGATGCCGAAGCTGGAAGAGGGGAAGTAGACCAGCTCGTCGGGATCACCGAAGTGGGAGCGGAATGTGAACGCGAAGGTCCCGTTGGTCGCTTCGTCGAAGTGCGACATCTTCGATATGATCTGCAATTTAAAAATAACATTAAAATCATCCACCCGCCCTTATTCTTACGAGATGTGGTCGGCCCATTTGAATCATGTTGTTTAGTGGCTTTGTATCTTCTTTTACCGATAATCGAAAATATTGTTGGCAATAAGTGGATGGGCAGATCTGTCCGGGGAAGTACCAAAACCTCACAGAAGGCCTGCGTGGAGGGAAAGTGTTACATATCTGCATTTCTCCTGGTAAGAGCCGGGGCCCACCTTTCTAGCAGATGGCAACGCAACCGAAACCCTACGCGTGTTGCGGAACACTTGGCATCAGTCAAACCCCTAGCCCACTTGAACCACTTTGTGACAGAGAAACGTGCCTTGGCGTATGTGAGCTCGTTGCCGGCCTGCATGGTGTAGAAGGCGTCGTCGATGCCGGAGAGGCCCACGTAGGCGCCCGGCTCGCCGTAGATCGCCACCTCCACGCGCTCGCCGCTGCGGTGCTTGCGGTTGTTGATCAGCACCGTGAACTGCAACATACCAACATCACCAATACTCACTCTGATTGACATCAAGTTAGCAGTAAAAAGTAACAGCCTGTACATGTACCAGTGAGCAAAGCCCTCCTATGTACATTGGGTGTTAGGATTGGCGGACTTCACATATAAGTAAAGAGTATCCCACTGCGGGGTAAAGCCCTCCTCTGTACAAATGGTATAAGGGTAAAGTCCACCAGGGGACCCCACTGCGAATTGGTGGACTTCACATATCTTCGAAATATTATTTTGTTTTGTAACCTTTCTTACACAGCTTACATGAAGTGGAACAAAATAAAATAATCTGCCAGTCAACATTAGTATTTAATCTGTTTGATTCCTGCAATGAAAACTCCATATATGCAACAGCATGTTCGTTATACACCCAAAAGGAGGTTCGCGAAGTAGACACATGAACATGCGCGTACGTTGTTCCTGGAGATGCCGTTGACGGGGAAGGTGAGCGAGTCGGCCAGCACGTGCCCCCGCCGCTGCGCCGCCCACACGAGCAGCGTGGCCACGGGCGCCATCTCGGCCGACAGCGCCACCGCGAACGTGCGCACGCCCTCCTGCACCCACAACAACGACATTTTTGCAACCGACGGTGCCGCACTTATTGAACAGTATTATGTTTATAAGTGTATACATTTTTTTTTATTAAATTCTAGACATGAATAATTTTATATAAAAAATGATAAATATTTAAAATCACTCGTAAGTAATTAATTACATTCATTTGAACTTATCTCAAAAAGTGCGTGATTTATACGCAACTCGTTTATTTTACCCACGATCATTCATAACTAACACGCACACAAGTTCGTGCACAGTAAAATTTAGGTATTTATGAATGACTACCACACTGTCAACACGTTCTGTTTTCTAGGGAATAGAATGGCATTTTTTTGGAAAAAAAGAACTTTGTTTCTTATTTCAATAAACGATTATACTACCGAGTCTGAACCTCCTGTGTAAATTTGGGCACTTCTTAAAAAACCTCCCTATACAGCGTGTCGTTACCATCGCGACAATAAATGAACACACGTCTAACGCTACTTGCCAATAATCATAAAAAAATGTTAACGTTAAACAAAATCCATAATTAAAAAAAAATATTTTTCAAACAAACTAATTAAGTAAAAAAGAAACAAAATTTGTAACATCCTATACAACTCGCGCCACAGCGTCGCATTACAAGCCTCTCCTTCTAACAGTACGTTTTGTCTCTTTTAAATTTATTCAACCCATTCATATGCTGAAAATACTTAAATAAACTTATTAATTATTAATGTACCTGCATTATCTCTTGACCGCTGGTGAGAATCATTCCTTTTGACATAACAACATAGCTGAATGATTCCATGAAGAAGTTACTCTGTACATGGAATATAATGTATTCTCCAACCTGCAAATAAATGTTAAAAGAAATCGTTAAAACCAATTTCAAATTAACAATTTGATTTACTAATTAATATTTCAGAACTGTGTCTGTGTAATGTTCAGCATATGATAAAGGCATCTGAATAATATAAATAACCATTACAAAAAATCTATAATTAATTATTTCACTTCAAATCATATTCAAAATTTTAATATTCAATTTAATTTACATTTAGCATGTCCCTTACAAGTTGGTTGTTTAATTACCATAAATTAAGCTTGAAAGAGCAAGTTATTTATTTAGACCTGCTTTACAGGAATATTGCATTCCTCTTTGCTTAATCTGTTTTGTTCACACAAGTGATAAAGATTAAAGACTTTATTGTAGCTGGACCATGAAATTATTTTAAACACGGCCCTTACTGTAGGATAACATTATCTTATGTTGTGAGTATGTTATAAGTACATAAATTTCATGTGGACAGACACCCAGATCCGAAACAATTATCTGCGGGTCACACATATATTTGTCCCGTGTGTTAATCGAACCCACGACCACCGACGCGCAAGCTAATACTTTTAGCAACTGCCCCACAGAGTCATCATTAGCCAAACATCCGCCAAAGTCCAAGTGGGTTACGCTTTGGCCTAGTTCGGTCAGCGAGGCGGTGAGTGTGGGTTGGTCGAGTCGGCACGCACCCTGGCGTCGGTGGTGCTGGTGGCGACGCGCAGGTGGTGGTTGTTGGGGCTGAAGTGGGCCACGAAGTGCACGTCGGCCGCCGCCCGCCCGCCCACCGCGTCCGCCAGCTGCGCGTTCAGCCGCACGCCCGTGATGCCGCTCAGCACCTCGCGGTAGTTCGGGTCCTTCTCCAGCTCTGTGGGTTTATTGTTATTCAATTCAACATCTTGGTGATTTATAGCTCTGAGGGTCACAGCCAGCCCGTTTGCACCCCGACTTGGATCACGTACTTTTTTTTTTATGTGAGAAGATGGCAAGAGAGCTGGTGGTTGACCTAATGTTAATTGATAACTTCTGCCTATTGACATTTGCAACACCGTAGGGCCATACATGTACTGCCACCTTATAATAAAGTGGGCCCCGGCTACTTCACTCACCTGACGAATCACATAGAAGTATACATTTAAACTTAACGCCAATCTTTTGTGAGGTCGTGATACTTATCCAGACGGACCTGCCCACTCGCGGAACAGCGAAGACTGTAGCGTGGTCCTACCTTGCTCAGTTTTAAAGGGCTGAATTTGAATTTTTTGAAGAAGGGGCGGGAAGTAAGTCCAAATGAACACACCTAGAAGATGTCTTCTCTTAGAAAACATTGCCCCTTACTTAACATAGGATAACATTATACTGTGTTATAAGACCCCAAAATCCAGATCTGAAACAATTATCTGTGGGTAACACAAATAATCATCCCGTGTGGGGAGCCACTGCGCCACGCAGTGATGTTGAAGGGCGGCAGGATACAATGAAGTACACCACGGCAGTCGACTCACTGAGCAGCTTGTAGAGGTCCAGGCGCAGATGCCAGACGGCGTCGTGGCCGGGCGCGAGCGTGGGGCGCTGCGGTTCCACGGCGCCGCTGCGCCCCTCCAGCTGCACGTTCACCACCAGCGACACGCCGGCCGCTTGCCACCGCGGCAGCGGCGACCCGTCGTGGTACGACACCGCCATCTGTGCACCTCAGACAACTATATAGCAGATATCTATCTCTTGGCGATTTATGACGATGTGTATTGAAAGATTATAATAAAACTCGACCTTTGATTGTAAGTTTAATATGCATCTATGACAGCCTGTTTTGTAACTGGAGCAATTCTTTGTGTATTGCACAATACTGGATTTGAATGAATCCTATAGCTTAGAATGTGCATTAAGAGCAAAGTAAACAATTAAAAGAACTTATTCCAAGACACTAAATATTTTTTGACACCAAATAGAGCTATGCTGTTAATTTTATATTCAATTGTGTAAAACTTTTACTCAGACTCGCAACAACTTCACTTTTAAATGTTTGCTGTTACATTTGCGTTAAACGGAAAAAGAAAAATAAGCATATTGAAATTAAATTAATTAATTGAATTTTATTCTATTATAGAACTTTTGACGAAATTCAATATCTATTAGGAAAAGTTTTCATAATCACCAAAATTATAATGAACATTACACTCACATAAACGTCGAAAGGCATAGCCGGCTTGAACACTTGGAGCGATCCACCCAGGAAGGTGACGGCGAGCGAAGAGTTGAAGATCCTCGCGATGCTGTAGCCCTCTATCACGTCGTCCAGGAAGGGGTCACCGACGGACGCGGTGATGATCACCTCCACGCCGTCCAGGGAGGGGACCAGCTGGGCCAGCTCGGACATGGGGTATTTGAAGTCGTATGTGCCGTTGAACTGAGAAACATGATAAATTAAATTACGCAAGGCAGACAGAGAGATTTTTTAATAACTGTGTCACGGGATGTTTAAAAAATACGTTACGATATATAAAAAATTAAGAAAAAAAGTAGACAGACTAGTACACACTCACGGTTCTGGACCATACAAAACCTATGGATTTGGCACGCTATTTTTGTGCTATGGCAAGGCACGGAATAGCAATTGTAGAAGTGACTACATTGTTTCAATAGATAAAATAAAGCTCATTAATGCATGTTCCATTATGACAACAATTAGACAACTATAGGCCACAAAGGACTTAAATCTGCTTCTTAAATATATAGCTTGGTCATTATTACGCAGTGTAGACTTCAACGGTGGTAGGGCCACGCAGCAGCCTCGGCTGTTGCACGAATGGGCAGACTCGTCCGGGTAAGTACCACGACCTCACAGAAGACCGGCGTAAAGTGGAAGTATAATACTTTCGCGTTTCGTCTGGTGAGTTAGGTAGCCGGAGCCCAATTTTCACAAGGTTGACAACGCATCTGGAACCCTAGGGTGTAAGCGGATGTCCATGGGCGGCGATATTCACTTAAAATTAGGTGAACCGTCTGCTCGTTTGGCAACTTTCACATAAAAAAAAGGTATCAAATGAGCTGCATGCGAGAGCGAGAGAACAGAGTAATTCCCTCTCGTTCGCACTCTACAAATATATTCGACATAAATATTTGTTGGGGTTTGGATCAAAATCCATTACAATTTAATGATTAATAACTAGTTCACAAACACTTCAGGGAGCTAAATAGAAATAATGGTTCATACTTACGAATCTCAGATACGGTAGACGGCTGTAATATGGATCGTTGTAGTAGTTGTTGTATGAAGAGGTTGTATACGTGTTGTAGTTGGGGTTGCCTTGATTTTGATTTGCAATCTGTATAGGGTCCGGCTTCGGCATCCAGAATGGAAACTTCTCGTCCTAGACAAAAAGAGTGTTATATCAAGATACAGTTCGGGTATAGTAAGCAAACTGCATTATTCATTACAGCTCTCAAATATTTCGCACCTAAGATGACAAAAAGTAGCATAGAGTTTAATTGATTACATGCACAAAAAACCTCCATCTATTCTTTCTATCTCCACACACTACCTATCTGACAAAATAAATGATGTGTTTTGTACATATTTCTATGATTTCAGCCTGCAACTGCGGATTATGAGCATTGTTACAATGATGACAATTTCTTCACTATTTGATTATTATTGTATCGAATTCAGAACATATATGTATAAAACAACTATATAAACAGCAAACAAGAAAGTCACGGTCAAATTATGATACTTACAAAATTGAACACTCTAGTGTAAACTTTCTGTGGGTCGTACCACCAGTCTGGCTGGTCGATCTGGTTGGGCTGACCAGGCAGGTGCAACATGTCGGTTGGGCCGTTTCTACCATCCGAGTATTCATACTGGTAGCTCTCATTGTACAGGTATGGGTTGTAGTTTTGACGCACTACGTAGATGAGAAATGGGTTAGGTTTTAGGTAAATTAGTAATTCATAGTAATTTCACAATAATTAGTAATTCATAGTGATAGCTTGTATTTACATGACAACTATATTTTATTAAATAAAATTCCTCTATGGATTTTATTCGAACAGCTAACCGTGGTCACGGGACAGCCATTTAGAAACTTCGTGGAATAAAATTTGATGCGTAAAATTCATAAGCTAATTTTACTAAATAGTAAACTAAATATTCTTCTTATTGTCTTTATTGTATAACATCATTAGCTTTAAGACTTGGCGTAGTTGATGATGTATGTAGTGCATAAACTTGTCTCTTGTGCCAGAGGCTGTGGGTTCGATCCTCACTACTGGTAAAATATTTTACGATAAACATATTGTTTTCTAGTGTCTGGGTATTCGTATATCTATAACATTTATTTACAAAAGAAAAACATGTTTATGTATGTGTACCCATAGTACTAGCTTTGCTTAGTTCGGGACTAGATAACGTTGTGTAAAAATATATCCCGAAACATTATTACGTACAATATTATGTCCCGAAAAACGTTAAAAAAGATGGACTACATTTTTTATGTGAGAAAGTGATAAGCGGGCAGGCAGTTCACCTGATCTTAAGTGATAACCGTTGCCAAGTGACATTTGCACCACCCATAAGGTTGTGCATGTGTGGCCACCTTTTAATAAAGTTGGCCCCGTCCCACGCTGCTCTTCCGGTTCCGTTTGCGGGGACCTGCCCATCTGTGCAATAGGTAAGACTGTTGTGTCGCCCTACCACGTTTAATATCATATCACAAGCAGTGTAGGCGGCTGATGTGAAAGTAGTCCAAATGTGGTCCTTCGAGCGGGACAGTACTGGTAGAGAACACCTAATGGTGTCAAGTCCGGCATTGTACATATATATTCAATAGTCGCAGAGCTCACCCCGGGTGTACTGGGCGGTGGGCATCGCGCCGTAGGGCGCGGGCTGGCCGCGGTTGTTGAACTGGCCCTGCGCGAAGTAGCGCGGCCGGTACTGCGGGATGGGGCGCACGGTGGCCCGCAGCGTGAGGTTGCCGCGCACCGGCGCGCCCGACGTGTAGTTGGCCATCACGCGCCCGTGGATCCACGGCTCCGTGTTGAAGAAGAACGCCGGCATCGTCACGTTCACCTGCGCATTGCAACCGCCGCACGTTACGTACGCACGATTGTACATTAGATCTACCACTATCGGCCCGAGTGGCCTTTACAGATCCACCGGACTTGCGGTCGCCGGTCGCTCGGGGTGCCTAGCCTGAACCTCGGTTACTCGGGCCTATTGCTATTATTCTCACCGGTTTGGGAGGCGACCAAGCTCTTAGGGCGCTTTGTCGGACGCTCCATGGTCACTCCATGGAGTTCATCAGTAGGCTCAATGGCCCTAAGTAGAGGTCCTCCGGCTTGGCCTGACACTAAATATCAGTTTAGCATTCCGATTCGAGAGTGCCGGCTCGACCGGTAGTATAATCTGACTGAACCATAATTCTAATATTCTCCTATAATAATTCAGCTGAACTAATTAATCAATTAAATGGTCAATTCTGCATCGCTTGGTGGCGAAGCTATTGGCTTCGGTACCGAGAGTAAGTCCGATTCCCACACGGGATAAGTATCCACAGATAATTGCTCTGGAATTTGTTCCCGAGGAGGTTAGCAACAGAGAGGTAGATAGTGTTAAAAAAACCTATTAAATACTACTTACAACATAATTAGCATTCTGTCCCGACCCCTAATGAATGTGATAAGAGCAGGATAAAAGAGAGACTTAGCTGTGGTAGAGCCACGCAACTAAAACCAAAGGTTAATAAAGACAAATGAGTCGATTTGCATTAGAAAAAGATATAATTTACTTAAATACCTCATAGCGGGTCTGGTAGTATTCCTCGACGAGGAAGGTGGATTCCTCGATCTGGCCGAGTGCCTCGACGCGCACGCGCCACTCGCCGTACTGCGGCTGGTCCGACATCTGGTACTGTAGGCTCACCGTACCGAAGTTGCTCTGCAGAAAACCAAATTGGTGCTTGAACCACGAGCAACACTTAATTCGCCTGCATTGCCAGTTTATAAGTAACCGAGAAGCTACATTTGAAAGGAGAGAATTGTCGACTCGTACGCGCAGTTGTAAGAAGAGCAAGAGAGAGCAAAGACACATTTTATTTAGGTTTTCTTCCCAATCAAAATTGCTTATGTGTCTAGTTTTTGGGTACGATTTTGGTTACATATTGCAATGTCTAATATAACGCGAATAATTATTTATGTTCGGTGAGAGTATATTTAGAGGCGGGTTCACTACCCACTACGCCAATCAGTCGTTGTCGTTGTCTTCACAAGGTTGTTCCTCTCATCGAGGGGAACTCCCTCGTGACGGGACCCACCTGTCGCGAGAGCCACCTCTTCATAATGCGCCCGCTCGGGTCCAGGATGTACACGTCGATTGCGCGCCCGAACGCCTTCAGCTCCGTGTTGATCGGTATTACGCGGAAGCGAACTGCGAAATAAATATTTGACATTATCAGCATCGTCCTCCAGCCCTTATTCCAACTCGGTGGGGTCGGCGCAACATGTGAATCATGTTGTAAGTGGTTTTGGCCAGGCTTTTTACGACTGGTCCAAGATTTAACATTATTCAATTGTTGTTTAGGTACCATCAAAATAGCTTTCTTGTACAGCACTTACTTGCTAAAAGAGAATAATGTGTACAAGGTATTGACGTGTTACTAAATAAATAAATATTTACACAGACACATTTTATAGACACATTTTTACACAATGTTCTATAGTCCCAAATTAAGCAACACTTGTTATGGTTACTAGATAACTGATAAACATGTGTAACCTATGCATATTCACATATACCTAAGTACCCCGTACACACATACCGAAATCGACCTACAGCGAAGTGCCCAGTGATTACGAAAGTTCACATGAATTATGCGATGCATTGTACGTTATTCCCGTGAAAGTCCTGACGGTGTAAATTCAGGTATCGTGGGACAATCAAACCTGTATCGACTAACTGATCTCGCTCAATCGCCGTAGCGGGAGGTCGTTCCATTTAGAATAAGTTAATTTTAAGTTCACTTTGTATTTCTTGGCTATTAAATATTGTAAAGGACAAAATCGCCTTTTAAAAACTCCTACCCAACGGCCGAATACGTATCTCATGCAAAAACATACTTAAATTTTGTAAATAAATACATTTCATTAATAAACACCCAGAATTTAGAAAAATACTATGTTCATCCCACAATATTTTTCCAGTTCTGGGAATCGAATCCACACCCTTTAGCGTGAGAGGTAGGTTCACTACCCACTACGCCAACCGGCTCGTCAGTAAATAAATAAAAAAGATTAAGGGATTTTTCTATTATAATTAGTATTATTGTGAAGAGAAAGGTAGAGTACAAATAGGGAAGAGAGCTGGTACTTCTGTGCTTTTCCTTTTGTCTTCGAGTTTCGCACTTAATAAAACCACTTTCTCGCTCTTAGAAATAACAACCACCGAACTTCTGACAGTGACAATAACGTCGTAGAACAATGTAGCAGCCTTCACAGTTGCATGGTGTGCTATGCTGGAAGCACCACGGTCGTCCAGAAGACGGGCGTGAAGTGGAAGTATAATACTTTCGCGTTCCGTCTGGTGAGTGAGGTGGCCGGAGCCCTATTTTCAAAAGGATGTCAACGCACCTGGAACCCTCGGGTGTAGCAGATGTCCATGGGCGGCGGTATTCACTTAACATCGGGCGAACCGTCTTGCAACTTGCAACTTTTTCGTGACAAACTACTTATCTAATGCAAAAAGAACTTGTGTCTACCTGTCTGGCCCTGCTTGTAGACGGGCTTGTCCATCTGTATGAAGATGGTCATGAAGCGGTTGGAGAAGGTGAGGCGTGTGTCGTTGACGAAGGCGCGGCCGTCGAACGGGTCGTCCAAGTAGAGGCCCTCCACGCGCAGTCTGTAATCGCCGTCGCCCGAGGTCACGGGCACCTGGAGAGATGAGAGATGCATCATCAGGAAAATTAACATAAAATGTTGTTAAAATTAAAAGTTTTAGTTATATTTATTAAAGTTTTAGCATGGGGCGATCTATCGACTGGCAAATTTGTAAAATAGATGGCAATCGTAACTGGCAACCACAGGACAGGCTTTGCGTAGTGTGGTGCCAACGCACAATGCACTTAAGTGTAATACTGTTTGTCAATAAAAAAAAAATCAGCAATATGACCCTAGTGGTCCGTGCGAAATTGACCCTGGATGATCCATTGGTAAGGGACAATCTGGGGTTAGCAGAAGCTGCCGCTTCTCCGTTGTTCCGATTAAATGTTCATTAATCCATTACTCTTTGTGCAATTTAGACAATTTAGATATGAATGGAAGGACAGTATTTGGGAGATGTTTTTTTTAATCGTAAACGGAGTTCTAGGGATAGAAGTTATTAACCTTCGACATTCTAACTTTTAAGTAGGTCGTCATGCGTTAGGCAATTACGGATCCAAGGGATTTTTGGACGATGATTATAACTTGATGCCATAAGTAACATGTACGTGAAATTCCCACGAAATAGGATATATTGTGTTGGGAGTCATTTCTTAAAAAGAGAGAAAAAAAATTACTTCTAAGTTCAACTTTACGGACGTACGATCGAATGTCTACACCAGCGAAAATATCACTCGAACGCTAACAAATATCGTAACTGTAACACATGTATAATACGATACAATAGTGTTTGTCGCAATTGACTTTTACGAAGCTGTCGGAGTCTTCTATTCTATGAAAAGTCGTCCAGTCAAGCTTGTTCAAACATAACTGTCGGATATAATATCGCACTATAAACCAATCATAATTTAAACAGTGAAACAATTGCGTACTTAGTATTATTTTATAGTGAGGAAAAAAACTTTTTATTTTTGAGGAATAAAACTTTTAAAAAGCATCAATTAAAACTACTCATTCAATCTCTGTTTATGGATCATTTCGGCATCGATTTATTATAAAGCATGAAGGTCGGCACTGAAAATCAGTGCTGGTTGGGGTTTTGACTTCCGGCGTTCTGTTTTTAAAATTTTATTAATTTTTCTTTCTTTTTATTCTACAACAGTCCTAATTGTGTGTGAATATTGTTTGTATTTTTAATGAAGCATGTATAACTAAAATTTTTATTTATTTTATTCTTTGTTAAATTTTGTTTTGTTCTGTACGTCCTTTTTCTGGTAAATAAATTTATTTTCTTTCTTTCTTATTCATATTTAAAATGCAGTGTACCTCACTTATAAGAATTTGATATGGGGTTTCATAAAATAAAAAAGATTTTATCCTCAACCGCTAAAGAATTTTGATTAAACATAAGACCGCAGTAGCTCAGTGCCGAACGGCTGCTCCCCATTAATATGATGACTCCGTGGCGCAGTTGCCAAGGTATTGGCTTCGGCGTAGGGGGTCGTGGGTTCGATTCCCACACGGGACAACTATTTGTGTGGCCCACAGACAGTTGTTTCGCATCTGGGTGTTTGTCCGCGTGAAATTTATGTTTGTAAAACGTCCTTACAACACAGGATAATGTTACCCTAAAGTAAGGGAAATGTTTTTAAAAAACAACATAATTAATGTGATTCGGATCAGTGGAATTGCTGATTGAGATGTAAGCCCCTGTGTGGTCAGTAAGTAAGGATTGTGTATATCCAATCACAACAGTAAAAGAGATTTTTTTTTCAAAAGTATACAAAAACCCTTTAACCAGTTTAGACAAAACCTCACGGACGCATGTGAGCTTAGAAGACGTGTGATGGTGTGCAGAATTCCTTTGTTTAAAAAACCAATCACTTTGAAACAAGGATTTTCTAATTGAAATTCGATTGACTCGAACACAATTACCGCACCTTTATATTTTTTCGTTGATATTACAAACATTTAAACAGTGCATAAAAGCGAAATTATGTATGTCAAAGTATTTCTTCTCGTAATGAGATATAGCCAATCACATATAAGTCTAAAAAAACTTCAGCCGTAATTTAAATACACACTAAGTATAACTGCATGAAATGGGATTTTCAATCAAGAATTTCGTTTTTAGCAATGGATTTGCATTTACAAACTCGTATGACTGACACTAATATAGCTGAATATTTTTATGGTATTGTAGGTACATAAACTTCGCAGTTGACACTATATGGTAGCGAGTAGCGACCATAAACATGTCCAAGCTCACTGTTTATAGTGTAACCTGCGCAGTTGATTATGGGATCATTATCATAGTCGCTTACCGCTTCGACTACCGAGTCTGAATAGCATCGCATTGTGTTACGTACGGAATATGTCAATGCAGAAACTACCATATCGACTTTCTATAGCCAATATATAATACGATCATGATTCCTTTGTTGTCACACAAGCGGTTGGTCATTGTTAATTGGTCGGTCACCACTGGTGTCGAGCTAACAAGTTGCCATTGTGCTGTAAAGTCGACAGCAATTGTAAGCTCGGCCGAAACGACAGATTTAAAGTTGTCCATTTTTAAAGTTGTCCAATTTTGTAATGGACACCCGATATGATAGCGTAGGATGTCCCTAAACATTTAGTGCAATGTAACACTTAGCGGAACAAATTGATCGTATCTTTATATTGGATACCCGATTCGAAAACAGAGTTTATGAAACTCTGATTGGTACTTTTATCACACATTCTTCTACATTATCTGGGTATTTTATTCTGTGTACTTGACATACAATTTCAGATAAAAGAATAACGAGATGGATCCTATTAAAACTACAGGGGAATTAGGAATTACGAATAATAATCCACAAATCATTATGCTGTAGTTAACTCGTTATGTTAATAAATATAATGTATGAAAATATACAATGTTTCTAATGTATCTAAATTACGATTGCGTAGCATCAAAAAAGACCGACGTGAAGTAAAATTATGCTTCTGCTTTCGTCTGGTGAGTGAGGTAGCCGGGGCACACTTTATTAAAAGGCGGTAACGGCTTTGCAACCCCATGGGTGATGCAAATGTCCATGGGCGGCGGCAATCACTTACCATCAGATGGACCACCAGCTCGCCTGCCATCTATCGTGAAATACTCACCCGCATATTCAGTATTTCGGGCACGCCCTCCTTGACCTTCTCGCTGACGTCGGCGATCTCGACCCCGTTCCGGGATATGGAGGCGCGGACGGTCATCTGCAGCCGGGCGCGCAGAATGTTCGCGGAGATCTTGTATATCTGGCCGGGGCGGACCATGCGCGACGCAACTATGAAGTAGGTGCTGGGAACAGATTATATACGGTCATGGTGCTGGAAGCAGATTATGAATCATTGTGGACGCCGAGGACAGATACCCCAAATTGGGGCCCCAAGCGAGGTGGCCTATGACAGGTTACCGTTTTAAATAGTTTCAAAAGGGTACTTTATTGGACGACTGTTGCGTTACGTGGGATGTATCGTATCTTATTTCCACATAAAAACTTGCGATGGATGGACTCAGACGTCAATAAGCCTTTATAACTAACATTAAAGTAGGTGGCATTATCCAAGCTTATCGTATAGTCTATACCCTATCTTTGGATCGTTTAATTAAAGAAAAAAGAAAGTGATAAAATAGATTAATGTTAATAATTAATGTTCTTGATGCTTTTAATTGACGTTTAAGTTTTAATCGACGACTATGCGTACGGGCGTTAGTTTAATATCCAGCGCAAAATATGTGTACTGTAAAAAAGCCGTGCATCTTTGAGTTTGTCATATCGTGCGACATATCGGGAACAAAAAAGTTCCTTCAATCAGAATAACAAAATACACGAAGTATATCCATAGCCTGTCACTACTGCGGCATAATGTAGTACCATGGAACAGCAACATAAAGTACACACGACTGCTCTTGTAGACTCATATTACCCTGTTTGCGCAGTATCGGATTCGATTCCCAGCCGAGGCATCAGATACAAACCGATATTTTTTTTCCTATATTCATGTCTGTACACACATGATCTATACAAATATGACAATCTTATCCTATTGCTGAATTGATTCAAGAGAATAGCTCCATTCAAGTTCTGGGCTTCCGTTCTGTGCGGTGCTGATACAGGATAATGATGGCAAATTGTGGGAAGAGGGTGCGTTGGTGCATCTAACGCGACGTGCTATTTCCTTATTGCAGATGCAATTTGAATACTAACGAGAAAATGACTCGCAATTGCCGATCTTCCGGCGATGAGAGTGCTCCCCTCTGAACAGGGATATGAAACACGTATGTTCCATCCCTCCAACCATAAACAAGGCACAGGATATAAAGTAAAGAATACCTTAAAAGTGCTCGGCAATGAGATTTTATATTATCCTTTATGTTATAATTTGTACACTAGAGAGGGTGTTAGGGCATAGTCCACCACTCGACTCCACTGCGGATTGGCAGACTACACATAATAATTTAGGAACATTTTTTTTTTGTTATTATTTCGAAAATATGAAGGTTTCCTCACGGTGGTATCATCACCGCTGAGAACGTGATAATTCAACACTTAAAATCAACTGTTTCATTGGTGCCGGAATGCCGGCACGGGGGATCGAACTGAGATTGCTTGAGTATATGGAATTAAAAGCGCCCGGACCCTCTGTACTGATGGAGTCATATAGCGCAAACAGTGAGACATAACATGGTGGCTTTTCTAAAGGTGCCCAAATTAACACAGAAGGTTCAGGCTCGGCTTCATCAGACACCGCTTGTAGCAGCCTCTACGTGTAGGCGATTAGCCTCCGCAAATGACATATTTCTTTCGTGTATTTTTACACCACTACTCCCAATTTACAACCATAAACACTGACGCATACCACCAGATTTTATACCTACAACTGATTTTTTTTTAATTTGGCAAAAGAGCAGGCTGAGCAATGAAGACATATAAAACACCTGACCGATTGAAGATGCGCTGCCAACATAAAAAAGTGGGACACAGATACATTGCTAGAAACTAGAACAATCTAGAACTACCGAAAATACTTACGCCTCGTTGATGATCACGCTGTCGTGCTCCAGATCGGAGCTCTTGTACGTGGGCCCGTAGTTCCTCGGCGCGTCCCATTGGGGCCTTGGGGTATTCTCCGCCGCGTATGGGTTCTGCCCACTCGTCTGCTCATACTGGTTCGGCTCGTAGTTGCGATTGGGGTCATAGTTGCGGCTGGGGTCATAGTTGCGGCTGGGGTCATAGTTGCGGCTGGGGTCGTAGTTGCGGTTGTTGTACCGCCTGCCCGGGTCGTAGGGGTTGTCGTACTGGTTCGGGTTGTAGTAGTCGTTGGTGGGGCTCGGCGAATCAGGGTTGTAGGTGGGCGTCGCGTAGTCCTGCCCAGCAGATGTACGCAGCACGGTCAGGGCTAGGCATACACCTACGAGATTCATCGTTCAGTCTTTTTGGGCTACCTGCAATGGGCGTTGAAAGTCAGAAATTATTTTATCGATGTGTGCAATTGTTTTTTTCGCCCTTATTTGAAAAGTGAACGAAAGCACCAAAAAGCAAACATCATAATTATTGTGCTTTTTGATTTGATTTGTACCGGAATATAGCCCTAAATTGTTTTCGCTTTTGCTTGTCGAGTTTTATCCCCGCGGCGTAATTTTTTCCGACTTCTTCAATAATAATTTTAATATTTTATCTAATATCCAAAATATTTTATTGTTAAACCTGTCTAATAAATGACTCTGTACATTGGTGAAAATGGTATCAAAATCCAATAAGTACTTTTTGTGTTCATCGCGTTCAGACAGACAGATAGACGACGCGGGGACTTAGATTAACAAAATATTGTAATATCAATTCATATAAAATTTATGCATTTCAAAATCGAGAGTCGGAATCGTGACAGATTTTAATAGATTTTTTACGATGGTAGGTACACGCAGCAGCCTCGGCTGTTGCACGACTGGGCAGGCTCGCCCGGGTAAGTACCACGTCCTCACAGAAGACCGGCGTAAAGTGGAAGTATGACAAATACTTTCGCATTTGGTCTGGTGAGTGAGGTAGCCGGATCCCAATTTTCAAAAAGTTGTCAATGCATCTGCAAACCCTCGGATGTTGCAGATGTCCATGGGCGGTGGTATTCACTTAACATCAGGTGAACCACCTGCTCGCTTGGCAACTTGGCACATACAAAAAAAATTGGTTTACTTAGTAGTCGACTCCACTCAACATAGTTCGTGATGACCCAAATAACGTTTGGTAGAGCCGAATCTGTATCGAAATTGATTTTTTAGATTCATTAGATTATTATTTCCATAAAGGTATACTATGCGCGTATACATATATGTGATAGATGCGAAGGGCATTTTGGAAAAGTCATAATCGCTGACTATGTAAATTTAAATAAAAAAATCGTTAACACCTTTCCGGAGCAGAAGTACGGGTATGCGAACACCGTTCTATAGAACCGGTCCAGGACGCCACGCCGGTCAAATTACGTCTAAAGGGTGTCATACAAGATTGTGTTCCGTTAGAGCTTATCGGACCCTAGGAACGCGAATTTACGCATGAGATGTAAAGCCCTATTTACATTGGTCAAGAAAAGGGGTGAGTGGTGATACAAGTAGAGTGGCCAGTAGTGCGCACCGAACTTACGACCCGACTCGAAATAGCAGTTGACAGCTAAATATTAAAGTAGGTAGTTAACGCGCAAATCCGCAGGCACATTAAATATCATGAAGTTGTAGCCGTCTATGTAGGGTGAAGAGGTGAAATACAGCAAGCTTTTTTATGTTACATAATAAATTTCAAAAACACCAATGAATTTCAAAAACTTACAAAAAAAAAAAAACAAAAAAAGGAAAAATTAAAAACTTATCCATACACACAGACTTCATCAAAAATAATCCCATTAGCGTTTGATTTTAAAGAACAAAACCCTTATTTTTAGCCCTAACCTATACTAAATTTATTAGAGGCAGACACCCCAAAACATTAATTACATTTGTTCTTTTCTAAGAAAGACTTTTATAATAAGGTATTATTTATTGGTTTTAACTTCACATGGTTACTGCTAATTGGTATGTAAGCCTAAAATTTAAGTTTTAAGTAAAAAGTATGGTCCTAGAAATAATAACAAAGCTTAATCAATGCATAGTAATAATCATTTTAGGATTTTTAAAGATATTGTTGAAAGTATAGAAAAATTGTTAGAAAACTAACAAATTTTTGAACTGTATCATGCACAAAAGCGCAAATAAATAAAGAACAGCTTATGAGAGTCTAAATTTGTTAAAGAAAATGTTAGCTATAGTGATACAACTGCCAAATATTTAAATAAATTTTACATGCTCTTCAATTGTTAAAACATTATAATATATACATAAATATACTTCTAAATCATAAGAGCATACACAAACAAAGAAACTATAGTGAAGAAGTGCAGTAGCATGCACATCTAAAAATAAACTCATTTGGGTTAAGTAACTGGCAGTCCGACAGGAGATGAATGGCCCAAAAACTCAGTCTATTTTTAAAATGCTTTACTAATATTCTGTTTTGCCTCCATTGTATAGCAAACTATTCGCATTCTTTCACTTTTAACACTACTTTTACACTTATTAATTAGTCTTTGTTTATTCACTTCTAATTACTTATTCATTAGTCCTTTAAAAATCGACTGCGCCATGTTATGTGTGTTGTAGGGGCACAGGGAATGTGACTCAAAGACGAGCGCTGCATTAAGACTGTTTTAATAATTATTTTCTCAACCACCCTCCACATGCTAATAAATATTATGACAAAAAAATAAATTATCGAAATATATTATTAACATGGATTAAAATTTAGTTCTAATAATATTTATTTATCTAATATTTATAAGATTAAACCTATGTAAAATTACATATTATCTAATAAACCTAATCCATGCAGCATGTTGCCAAGAACACTAGCTGCATTTCCTTGGCGAATAGATATGTTTAACCTAAAATTAAAATAAAAAGAAATAAAATTTAACATCATATAGGTACCACATATAAGTAATATTACTTTTGACTCATTAGTATTAATATTTTAATTTATAACACCAACTAGGACACTAGTTTTTTCTGTAGAATTTCGAAATGATTTTCTTTCTATATCCAAATGAGGTGTTCCTTATATAATGAATTGCACATAGTTATAAAAGATTATTCACAATAGTCAAATTTTAAGTTAGGCACACTTACATATGTAACGGCCAACACAATTTTAGTAAAATTAAAAACATCTGGGATTTATCAATTAATGATTTTCGTCAATGCTTTAAACCAAATGTGAAATTAAATTATCATAACCAGAAATTTTCACTAACAAGTTCGAATTAAAATCGTTAGAGAAGGTAAACATTGTCCACAGACTTGTTGGTTTTACATATATATATACATTAAAATCTCTCTTATTTGTAAAACGAAATAACTGTTAGGCACCAAAAACTTTAAATTAAAAATGCATTTTGATATAATTTAATAATAATCGCAACAATAACTTAACCTGAAGTTAACGCCCATGGAAACGCCTGGCTCTGTGACACTAAACGTTAAAACTGGAAAAACTCGCGCACTAACACCTAGGGGAAGATTGATTCAGTAGTTAAAATAAGATTATATATTTTCTAAACTGTAAATCATTGAAAAAAAAGTTGTTTAAACCAAATAAACAAGAACGTTACGCGGTGTCATTACTCACTTCATTTGTGATAGAAGCAAGAGCTAAGCAAACTCGCGCAAGCGCAATAAAGCACCACGCCCGGATAGACTAAAAACCGACAAACGTCAAAAAAAACGGTATAGAATGTAGCGTCAAAACACAGATGCGTCAAAAACCTATAAATATTTGCCAACAAATACTTTAAGGTTTTACTCTTAGTTCTATCTCAGTATTTTTACACATCAATAAACATCATTAGAGTGAAGCCCTCTTATCATAAAATATTCTCATGCATGAAAAAAAGGAAATGAGTAAGTATTTACCATAAGTCCACTGGGCTAGTTAAGTTTGAGGGAGTGATAAATACTTTTTCTTAGTTTTATTAAAATAATTATTATAAAATAATTCTTAAATCATATAATTGCCGAGTTGTCTTACCTGAGTATGACGCCAAACTCGAGAGAGGTCTTAACAGAATGAGATGCTAAAGACGACTGCTTATTCTAAGTGTTAGAATTGAGCCTTGTATTCTATCATTAGTTTAAACAGTGTTCTTACATTTTTGTTCGGCGTACCGGGTGCTTTAGTCTTAGATAACAATTTCCGACTGGGGATAACAACGTCCGGGTGGCCGCAAAACTACCTAGTATGCAACTTGCAGCATCACCTGTTATATTTCTAATTGCAGAATTCGAAACAATTATTTTAAAACAGTAGTAGGTAGTTTTCATGGTTTTAGTTAATTCATTGTTTTCTTAAATGTTGTGTTTCGTAAATAATACTCTTACTTGGTAATTGGTTTCGTACCAGGATTAATTGTTCTCACAAGCAATAACACAACGTGGTTTTCTGCTTTACTTATTATTACCGACGACATTCGTCTCGGGATGGATAACCTATGTGTTACAGTATTGACCTCACTTGACTTAACCAATGTTTTCAATAATGTCGATTTTGGCCTCTTATTAAGAATTTTACAGTCTCTTAACATATCTCCTGAAGTGATTGACTCTCAGTAACTTGTTTGGTCGCCGGAAACGGACGCGCATTGATGATTTATTCTCTAACTGGCGAACGATTAAAGCTGGTGTTCCACAAGGTGGGGTATTGTCTCCTCTTCTTTTTACAATTTTTATTAGTTCTATTACCTTCTTCTTAGTTCTATAATCTTCTCGCTACCACCTGTTGATGATCTCAAAGTTCATGTTCAGGGTAAAATATTGGATTTACCCAAAACGATTTAGTTATTGAATAAAGATCTTGACTCAATTTTGGAATGGATTAAGTCATATGGTCTGATTATATGACTAATAAGTGATTCAAAAACAAAGGCTATAATAATATGCAGTCAAAAATTGATTACTTGATGAGACTTGCGTGCCTTACAGTGACACCGTTAAAAATCTCGGCGTTACTTATGACAAGTGTTTATCCTGGGCCTCACATGTGAAAGAAGTGCGTAGGAGACTGTTTGCATCGGTTGGATCTTTCCATAGATTAGGTAATTTCCTACCCATACCAACTGAAATTACACTTGCACAAACACTCCTGTTACCGATTCTCGATTTTGCTATTGGAAACTTAATGAAGACTTACCTAATAAACTTGAGAGCATTCAAAGAATTTGCTACGGGCCCCATGCTCGCTTAATCCGTCACTGTTTCTCACTGGTCATTGTATCCTCTGTAACGTGGTTGCTAAGGCCGCCAATTGTGTCTTTATGTAATTTTATGTTACTTTTGTAATTTTGTCTGCTGTACTTTAAAGCATATTATATATACAAAAACATATTTCATTCATTCAGTTAGATCATTTTATATAACAATGGAATATATGATGAAAAACTAATTAACTTGCAACATCTGTTTGTCTTTATCTAACATAAAGCAACATCTATTTGTCTCTAAAAATTTAGGTGAAGTCCGCCAATCTAAGGAAATCGATCTATCGATATTTATAAAAATATCAATATCGGCCTCGATATATCGAAAGAAATCGTTTCGATATATCAGTTTTAAAAAAATAATGTATTCAGTTCAGTCTAATTCCATAATAAGCAATAGTGATTTTTATACCGAATTCACATTATTTAAATGCATGAGAAATTTTGATAAAACTTTAATTATTTATTAATTTTAATCACATTTCTTTTATTAATCTAAATTTATAGGTATGTTATTTATCAAGACCTTCATTGGAAAAAAAAAACAAACAGCTTATTTAGTAAGACAAATCAGTTTCTTTAGCCCTGAATTGAATAAACATAAGTTTAACTAATTAAACACATGTAACTTTGTAAAGTAACGTAAAGAATTGTTTAAAACGAAGTTAATAATTGGCCAAAAAGAAACCCGCAGAGACTTGTCATATAAGACAGGCCTAGATCAACAGAATTTAGTAATAGTTGTTTGATTGGCATGAAAATGCTGAACGACAATTTAAAGAAGTTATGTAAGTGGTTAATTGATAATAATTTTTATGACGTCAAATATTTTTTAAAAAACTCGATATAATATTGACATTTAACTATTGAGAATTTGATTATTATTAAATTTTTGTTAACTTTATTTACATATTAAATTAAAGTAACTTTAGTTGATGCCATTAATATTTTGCATGCTATTTATAAATTAACATAATAAGTAGTTCAATATTAATGATTTGTAACACTTCTATACCATGTTATACCTAAGATATGAATTGTATAAAGTACGAAGCATCAAATTGTACTATAAATACCATAATTACAGTACAAAATGCAACTCTGCATCCGTATTGTCGCGGTAGTATAGACATTAGACGACAGCATTTTTCCGATCATTTTAATCTTCTACGGCTTTGAATTTGTTTGAATAAAAATATAGTTTTTAATACGATTTCGGTATTCAATTTTTAAAATATATATTTTTTTTCGGCATCCCTACGCCAATCCGCCAGTGGGGTCGCGTGGAGGACTATGCCTTAATATCTTCTGTAGAGGCCTTTGCCCAGCTGACATTTATAGGCTGGTACTTTTTTTGTAATACTTTCAAACAAGCTATAAATATCCTTTAGCGACGTGGAAACAATTTTTTTTAAACCTCGCCTGTTATTTTGAATGTCATGGTAAGCACTGTCAGAGCCGTGATGCCCGAGCCTATGCATCCTAACAGTAAGAGCTGAAAGCACCAATTTGGCAATGAAGTTGTTAGCGGCAATTTTAAACTAGTGTCGACTTGAAACACCTTTAGGAAACTGCATATTTTATAAACTATAACAAAAAATATTTGTCAACCCGTAGGTGGCTCATATGGTGGACTAGGTCCTAATACCTGTATACAGAAAAGACCTTTGCTCAGAAGCGGGACATAGGTAATTATAGGCTTTACTTTACGCTGCAAAACAGAAGTGTTTTTAGTTCCTCTTTGTGGCAGAACCGCGCAGGTTACTGCATTTATGATTCGAACGGGCCCAATACTCTAGTAGATTATTAGAGAAGTAGAAACCAGAGATAAGCATAATATCCTCTTTATATTTATATTTCTATGCGTGTGTATGTCACCAACTCCTAAACGCCTGGACCGATTTTAATGAAATCTTGTGTCTTCAGGTAGAATCGAAAATTATTTAAATTAAAAATTCGGTCCTCTTCATTTTATTTATAAGTTGTTGGATTTAAGTCGTGTGTACAGGACATCTGTTGGGTCCGCTAGTATACTTATATATTCGGTATTTTTTCTAGCCATCACCATGAAGGTTGACAATAACTTGTCAAAACAAAAAAAATGTGTTGTAGACACCACTTCGAAACCATACATATGTGGGAAAGCAAAAATTAATAGTTAAGGCATTTTTATTGTACTTGTCTCCATCGTACGACATAATTGAGAACATACATATAAAAAAATTAACATTACGAAAAAGACCTTAAATTCACCAGCAAATAGACAAATTACAACATGACTAATGTATTTGACCTTAATAGCAGTAGTTTAATTATTAAAAAAATTACTCAAAGATAACACGGCGCTTCTAAGTACACAATGGCAACAATTAACGCTGTACTTTCATCCTGGCCCGCCTCTATATATAAAAGTTAAAGTCGTTGTGTAATAGCAAACATTAAATTTATCTGTACATTTTCTACAGCAATCTCCACATATTTGCAACCAAGCACCCCAATATGTATGACTCGTAAGGCAATAGTACAAAATTTATGTTATTGTGAGAGTATTTAGTTGATTTACATAACAAGTAGCAAATATTTACCTGCATCGCAAAGAAAGTATACATGTTATAAATTCAGGATATAACAATAAAGGTAAATGAAAAAATATTCAGGAAGGTATTTGAGGGAAAGGTTTAATGTGTCATAATATATATGTGGTCTTAGAATTAAATTCACCAAGATTCAGGGCATTATGGAAAGTTTAAAAAAAATAAGGCAATATGTTTATTATCTCCCATTGTAAGCTGTTTACATTCAACACAGGCACATTCAACAGGGATAACAAAATAAAAAATATTCTGATTGATGAAATTCTAATTAACCACTGAATTCTCGACAAGTTAGCAGGACCTCATAAACAAAGGAGTAGATCGAAAAAAAAATCATCACAGCGGTGACAGGATATATACGGTCGCGTGAGAGCGACGTCTAGCGTGTACCTGACGAACAAGGGGTCGCTCCGGGGCCTCCACTCTTCACATTGAAAACTCATAGTACGCCAGCAACATCCAATTTATCTCTCTTTTTTTTGTCAAATAAATCTGTACAAAATATATTAAATATATACTCTGTAATGCTAAAAACTGTAACGCTACCTCATCAATAGTTCAATCACGATTATTTAAATGATTTAAAAAACACAACTCGTTCACGTACGTGCAAGAACAAACATTTAACGTATCGGCGGGCGACGTATATACAAGTCAACATCTCAGTCTCTCACGGGGGGCGCCGTGTGCGTGGTACAAGTGTGTGGGTGTTGGGATCCTTTGCTTAGAGTCCGTGCGTGTGCGCGTGCGCGGATGCGTGCGCGCGCGTTAGTTGCGCTCCGAGTCGTCGCAGTCGCGCGAGATGTGGCCCGGCTTGCCGCACACGTAGCACGTCTTGGTGCCGTCTGGGCAGTTGCGCGAGATGTGGCCCGCCTTGTTGCACGTGTAGCAAGTCTGGCCGGAGCTGTCGCGCCCCCCCTCGGGGCAGTTGCGCGCGATGTGGCCCGTCTTGTTGCAGTTGTAGCACGACGGCTCGTCGGGGCTCTGCGCGCACTCGCGCGCTATGTGCCCGGTGCCGTTGCATCTGCGGCGGGGGAGGCGGTCGGCACGGATTATGCATGCGGCCACATTGGCGACAAAGAAAGCGATTTATTGTTCACGCTATACAGCGTGTCGTTACAACCGCGACGATAAATGAACACACGTCTAAAGCTACTTGCCAATAATCATAAAAAATATAAAACGTAAAAAATATTCACAATTTAAAAAATATTTTTTTAAAACCAACTAATTAAATAAAAAAGAAACAAAATTTGTAACACCTATACGACTACAACTGACAGATTCATACATTCAGAGATTTTTCATTTCTTGCCACAACGTCGCATTACAAGTCTCTCCTCCTACCAGTATGTTTTATCTCTTTTAAATTCATTCAACCAATTCATATGCTTTGTGACCTTCACAAATGAACTTTACGTTACAGTTTTATACGTAAGGGAGTTCTAAAAATGTTTATTTTGTTAAATTTAATAACTCGATAAGTATTGATTTTTAAAGAATGTAAATGCTTAATACAATTTTAAAAAGTTATCCTCTATATGTGTGTTCATTTATTGTCGCGGTTGTAACGACACGCTGTATATTACTATGTGAAACAACTAGCTTTTCAATTGGTGTTACAATTAAATGAGTGAACAAGATATAGCTTATGGAAAGTTTCACTGCTCTTATAAATGTTCAAAGGCAAAAAAAGGCAGGTGATAAGCCCGTCAACGTTACAAAAACTCATTGGTATATTCACATAACACCTAAGAAAAATATCTTGAAAAGTTAAATCACTAAGAATACATTATCGAAATGGTGAGCGTTTCGCTAAAAAATATACCTATATCAATACGGACAAAGGGGTTGGTAGACAGGCGGGCTTACAAGGCCAAGCTGATTAAATTGTGGGGGTTTGGAGACGTGCTCGACTTATTGACACGTAGCAGCGGGAGGCAATTAGGACGGTCCAAGTTCACTTGATCAATAGTCATAGGCACGTTCTCGTGTCGTATTTTTTTGTTTTTTATAAATTATTTTAGAATCGCACAAAGTATAGTTCAAATTTGGTAATTTTTAAATCTTTAGTTTTATTGTACGTTTTCATAACCAATTCATAAAATGGAATGTCTTTTGAATACATTTTTTAATTGTTGTAATTTGTTACTCAATGGACATCAACCAAATCAAAATATAATGTTTATGGGATGTATTTAAAACATTTTCGCCACAAAGTTTTTGTATTTCAGCTTTAGCGGAACTTTTTTTCATGTTTCGCAAACGATAGTATGTATTTTTTAATAAAATTAAATTTGAAATGTTTGTCCAGGCTGTAATCTAAGTCTGTCTTTATACTTGTAGGATACCGTTTTGGCTTTCATCTTTAACGATGGTAAAGCTTAATTGGTAACTTGGACCGCCATTTTGAACCGATTTAAAAAAAAGAGGTTCTCAATTCGGTAATATCTTCATAACGTCAGAACTGCCGTCATTTATGTCGGTTTCGTTTTATCTTAATAAAAATATGTGAACAGATAAATCTACCATCGTTTGAACTATCTACGGCGCGGAGGAGGGGGGAGGCGCGTTGAGAGAGGGGGAGGGGGAGAGGGAGAGGGGGGGGGGGGAGGGAGAGAGGAGAGAGAGAGAGAGAGAGAGAGAGAGAGAGAAAGCTAAATGAAGATTTTCTCGCTGTCACAGTCGACCGCCTCACCTGTAGCAACGGTCGGCCTCCTCCTTGCAGTCGCGCGCGAAGTGCCCGGTGCGGTTGCACTTGAAGCACTTCTCGCGCTGCCGGTTGAAGCCGGCGTCGCGCGGCGCCACGCCGCCCTGCGTGCACTCGCGGGCGAAGTGGCCGGTCCTGTTGCACTTGTAGCACACGCTCGAACTCATCGCTGCAACATGCCCGTCGTGAAGGGGTCAATCGTTGCTCGCTCGCTTTGTTCGACGACTAGTTGGGGGGTTATCGTTCTCAATCGCGTTGACGTACGAATTTTTATGATTGGGTACAAACGGACCTACAGTTAAATAAAAATAGAAGCCTGAAAAGTATTGCTATTCCGCGGTCTCCGTCGTTTGTTCAAATCTTTTTTAACCGAGCGTTTAGAAATAAATTAACTTATAAGTATAATCGACTCAATGCGAACGAATGCCATTATAATGGTTAAATTTCCATTGTCCAGTTGATCGTTTAGCAATTAATGTAATGCCCGACAGAAAAATAATTTCTCCCTTCTTGTTTACGAATGCGAATAATTCATTGCCGGTCCGAGATTCGCGTAACCTAGCACTTGACCTTCGGACGGTGACGAAAATTAACGCGTCCACGTCGGAATGTGCGCGCTCTCTCCCACTTACGCGATTGGCACGTGGGCGAGCGAGAGCGGGACATTTATTTACACTCCCCGGAGCGCCGGTGTCGTCTTGACCCTGGGGGCTGATAAGGCGGTCGCGCGCCAAGATCACGGCGACTCGCGGTCGTCGATCCGATTGTGGCGAATTGGTACGAGCGCCGCGACTCCTAGCGGGCAACGGTGGAAGTCGAAAGGCGCCCATGCAAATCGATTATTGCTCTCGATTCGCTTTAACTCGGTATAGCAGTTAGAACGCCGCACGCGACGCTAGCCCGAAACGGGAATGTTGTGTAACCGGCAAAGGTCGTTTACCTGGACGCTTTTTTAAATGAATCCAAAAGAAACCCCTAAAAAAAAGATAACGAAACGCTCGCGGGATGTTTACTTTCTTTATCAAAGAAATACAAGACATTCCTAACATTTCACAGCGTAAATGTGATGATAACCAGCAAAACGATACGCTGAAATTATTAATGTTCTCATCTGGAACTGTATATCAAATTGAAACAAATGTATAGATATTTAGTCAATTGTTTAAATATTGTTTTAATCAACCTGGCTACCCCAAAATAAATATTGGTTCCACATAATGGGCTTTAATTACAATTCTAACTGCATGCTTTATTGGGAATAGAGTATGATTCCAAATTTGTAAAATATATGTTACAAAACAATATGTACCAAAATATGATTTTAATTCATTTTATCAATACTCTATATTGAAAGTTTTCTTTAGTGAAAGTACACAAAAATTATTGCATTATTTCATGCAATAATAGTCACTTTTTCTGATTCTATACTAAAATCAAAACTAAAAATCTTAAAAATAGTTATTTAGACACTCACAAATTTTTTTTCACCAATAAAATAGCACAATCCTAAAAAAAAATGTTTAAATATTGCAAATAGAAAGGGCAGGGCAAGAGCTGTAACAATTTTATCTATAACAAGGTGGCCATGCTGTATGTGTTAAGAGTGATTACTTTCTAAAACATAACAACTATGGAAATTCTAGGTTAGTGGGACAATCACACTGAAAGTTTTGATACCGGTTTGGATATTGAAGCAGGTGCAATGAACTTTCGTCATTGGCAACCTTCACATTTGTTATTACAGCCCATTGATATAATTTCAAGGACACACCACTATCCTAAATTAAAACTATTGTTTGACAATTAAGAATGTATTCAGTAATGAGTTTTGTTTAGTAACTAAGGCCACAATTTATTTAACTTTTTAAATAAAGAACTAACAAGTGATAGGTAGTTGGAACCTTAATTATGTGTATCAAATGAATTGGTTTCAGTTTAATTTTCCAATGTTTGCATTTTATTAAATGAATTCATCAATTTGTTTTAAGAGATTTCTTTTTCAATGCATCTATAAACCCTCTGGAGTTCTAGATGTCCATGAATGGATGTGAACACTTTAAATTAGGTGGACTGTCTACTTGCTTAACAAATTTCACATAAAATAGCAATATTATATGTACAAGTAATATGGTTCACTACATTGGAGTTTGGTAGGTTGGGCATTTAAATTTTTTGTGAACCAACTACCCCAGACAAAGAGTTATATAATAATAAAATATCTTTATACACATAGACGCTTGCGCGTTCTTATGAAACGTCGGAATTTTACAAGGAAATTAGTATGTTTGTAAGTTACCACCGGTTCAGAAAGCTCTTTTTTAAAACGTCAGTTTACAATATAATGTTACAGGTATAATTTATGTGTGTTTTAGCCTACGTATCAACAGTATTAAGACCACACATTGGCATCGTCAAGATATTCAGCATTAGTATAATATGCTTTAGCCATAAGTTTACTTTTAACTTTTCGTTTAAATTCATCAATTTGTTTTTCAAGCACATGTTTCTGCATGACTTGACAAATTTTAAATATCATTTAATTCAAATTAGTTGCGAGAGTGGCATAGAGAATTATATTTTTAAGATTCATATTTAAAGACAAATTACAGTTTGTTTCTTTAGGTTTTATTAATTAACAACATTGATTATTACTTACAATTTTTAGCAGCAAATGGTCTTGCTTGTGGAATACATTGAAAATATTTAGCATTTTATCAGTGTGGTAAGACTACAATAGATCTTCTAGGCTGCAGTGGTGGCTGGGAGTAACTACCCAATGCCTTAAACATAAATCATAATCATAGTGGTAAAGCTGATTTTATTATGAACACTATTATAATATCTCTAAAAGGCAGTAATATTATCTTATAAGAATAAGCGCTACAATACCTTTTGTATAAATAGTCAAATATGTATAATAGCTCCCTCTTCAAGTAAGATAGTAATTGATTGAATTAAAACTGTTAGCAGCACTTATAATTACATTAATCTGTAACCTTAACTAATATGATGTAAATCAAGACCTGTCTAAAATAATATGTAATCTAATTAGTACATAATACAATATAAGTTTTATCATCATTCAATCACAGTTATATGTGAACATGTTGTCCAAAGCCGCTATGCGGTAGGTACACAGTACAAAATGATAATTTGTACTTTCCCACACGAAGTTCACGATGCTGATGCGTCATTAGCAAATATGAGGAAAGAAAAAGAAGTTTAACAGTTGATGAAACCTCAAGAACAGAGAATCTTTCAATAAGTATGTTTTTTCAACAAATTTAATTTTAATAAATGTTAAACTTAAACAAAACGATTAACAACAAATTATTTTCTAAATGTATGTCACACGATATAAAACCACTGTCAAACTAACCACGTTCAATAAACAACCTAAACTCTCATAGCGATTTAATAAAAGTAACAAAATGTCGTTTATATCTTTTGCAGGCACACGCCCCGTGGTGTAGCTTTAAGCTGAAAACTTGTTAAGACATTAATAAAGTAAATACGCGGTATAGTTTTCGAACCACGTGTGGATGCACCGGTAGCGCGGCTTTCCGACATAGTTAAATAATCTTTCACTTACCAATTAGTTGTGTAACTTCTTGAGCACTTAAAACACTATTACTACGATCGTTACACGACCAACAATTGAATTTGAATTTCAAAAAAGCTATAAATTAACACCCTAAGTTTGCAAGGAAGCCAGCCACCATCACTAAGAATTCGTAAAAGACATTTTGAGCATAGACACAACAATAAAAAATAAAATGCTACAACCACTATTTGAATTGCCAGTAATAAAAAAGTTGTAAAGCTAAAGCTATGTTTCTTTGAAGATTAAAATATGAAAGAAATACCTTTTCTATTATACCTATATTAATATATTTTAACCCACATTTCTTAAACTCAATCTCTAAAAGGGCAATATATGACCTTAAGTACAGACTTATAGGAATTGATACAGATTAATTCTAATTTTTTCAAACAGAGCGAGGACGAGAATAGAGGGTGGGTTTAATAGGGCCAAATATCTAGGCTTAAGACTGGATATTTAAAACACCCACATGCAAACAACTCATTAGTAATATAGCCAATAAGCAAGTATCTTTTCGCGCAATCAGCACCGTATAATATACACAGAACGCTGAATTTCATCGCCACATAAAAATAACTAATAATTACTAATAATTAACTAATAATTTTTGGTCTTTACATCTGGGCACTGCATCGCCCAGTACGTTTTAGATAATCCTAACAATGAATTATCGTGCACGTATGCAACGCGTGATAGAGGACTTTAGTCGAAGGTTAGTGACCAAGAGTGCAATATTGCACTTATCGTGGCTTTCACCGCATTATTTTTCAAACAACCATCAGGCGTGTTCGCAAGTGAATGCAAGGCGTGCGAGGTCCCCGACTTACAGCTTACACGTTGTATTCTCGTGTGTCAGGCTGCTTTTGAATCGCGAATGTGGTGTTGAGCTTACTATTTAAAAGCCAGTCTGCATACAATCATTCGGTTGTTACATAATCCATTATAAATCCTAACTTTCGCATATTAATAGTTTTCATGAACAGATCATTGAATTTATATTGCAAATTCATGTTGTTACTGATTGATGGCAACTAATAACAACTTTTTGATAGTTACCTAATTAATTCCAAGTTGTTCGTTGAAGTCGATATCAATTGCATTTAATGTCTTTTATTCACAAATAAAGAGCACTGGCATATGGGATATAGTTTTTAGTAATTTTTCTTTTGTTTCTAGAGAATTATAAGCTTTTTACGTTCTTATCTAAGTACATACACACAAGCCTTTTCTCGTAAATCTTTTTTTCGTAAATAACATATACGTCGTAATATAATTGTAAATAAGGGATCGTTCGATGTAGCTACAAGTAGATGGCCATTTTGACCTTATTATCCCTCACGAATAGATATAACCGCCACGATAGAGCCGTGATAGCTCATTGTTCGGGCTGCTCAATTTGAATTCAATATTAATATATATTAATACATATATATATATATATTGTAATATAAATAATATAGTGTTAATAAATGTATATATACAGCGTGTCGTTACCACCGCGACAATAAATGAACACACATATAGAGGATAACTTTTTAAAATTGTATTAAAGACTTACATTCTTTAAATATCAATATTTACCGAGTTATAAAAATTTCCAAAACAAACAATTTTAGAACACTCTTACGTATAAAACTGTAACGTAAAGTTCATTTGTAAAGGTCACAAAGCATATGAATGGGCATACTGTTAGAAGTAGAGGCTTGTAATGCGGCGCTGTGGTAACGAATGAAAAAGTCTCGGAATGTATTAATCAGTCAGTTGTAGTTGTATAGGATGTTACAAATTTTGTTTCTTCTTTACTTAATTAGTTTGTTTGAAAAATTTTTTTTTTATTATGGATTTTTTCACCGGTTCGTCATATTTTTTCATGATTATTGGCAAGTAAAGTTAGACGTGTGTTCATTTATTGTTGCGGTTGTAAATATACGCTGTATAAATATATATATTAACACTCGAGTAACCTCAGCTCAATTTTTTTTTGGAAATAAAGTAATTTTTATTTGTATATGTATTTGTAATTCCCGCTGCCGGAACCCATGAAGATGTAAATTTTAAGTGCTGACTTATCACGTGCTCAGCGGAGTATGAAAAAGTCGTGAGGAAACCTATATATTTTCGTAATAATAACATAAAACATTTTTTTCGATGATATGTAAAGTCCGCCAATCCATAGTAGGGTTGTGTGGTGGACTATGGCCTTATACAAACAAAATTCAAACAAAAAAGAAACATTATAAAGGTAGGATGTAATGTCAAGTAATTACCAAAGTGTAGATGCGTCAATAATCGTAGTAATTTTCAAATGTCTATTCTTCTTCTTCTTCTTAATAATGGCTTGCTTTGTGAGTTATCACAATTCCGCCAATGTCAAGTTGTTAGCCATTACACGTAGGGGAATGACAGTTTTAAAATATAAATTTAGTTATCGGAGGTTACTGCTTTAAGCATGTTTTACTTGAAATAAAAGGACGTCATATACAGGACAACACATACATGAAACAGATAAAGTTGTGGTGATATAAAATTATAGTTTTAATTTGTTATGGGAAATAAATTTAGACAAAAGCTTGGGAATTTGATAATCTCTTATACTTAATAAGGTTTTCATGCAAATGGGACGAGGAACACAAGTGGGTAGGACGTCATAAAGGGAGATATTTAGTTTGGGACAGTTAAAGAATAGATGGTCCACTGTACCATCCTCGGTTCCGCAATCACATACAGGGTTATCACGTATTTTGAGTTTAGCCAGGTGAACTGGGGTAATAGTATGGCCTATTCTTAATCTACAAATAGTAAAACTATTCTTTTATAGAGTCTTCATCTTGAAGAACCATGGTGTAGAAGGAATAGTTTGTTGTATGTCATAATAATATCTGCCAGTATGGTTCTTAGTCTGTAGCCAGTGAGTTTTCCCACGACTTAAATAGGAGTTCATGAGCTAATGAGTATAAGTCCTGATGGAACACCTTGGAATACTTAGGATCACCAGAAGAAATGGCAAGTTTAGCACAAGTATCCGCAGTTTCATTGCCTGGTATGCCATTATGGCCAGGGATCCAGGCCAAGACGACATTTACTTTTTTTTGGAGACATCTTATCAATGCCTCTCTGATTTTTAATACTATTGCAAATTTAGATTTAGAGCGAAATTGGTTTGCAATTATGGCTTGTAAGCAGCTTCGAGAATCTGTAAAAATTATTGAGTTATTCAGGCAATGTGACTCTATGAATAAAATAGCTTCCAGAATAGCAATGGCTTCACCATTAAAAACAGAGGACACAGGAGGCATTTTAAAACTGAGAATTATTATGCAATGGAATCCAAACAGCAGCTCCTATAAAACTGTTACCTTGCAGTTGAGCAGCATCTGTGTACAATGGAATCCAATTTTGCCAGTAGGTTGATAGATTTTTATGGAATGCCTGTACTGCTTGAGGAGAGTCTTTTTCAACGCCAAAATTTTAAATGTCTATTGTTCAGGTTCACTGTTGTCATTGTTGTCAATGTCATTTGTCTAATGTCAAGTCAAGTAAAGTAAGTTGTTTGTGTACATCGAGGTAATTTTTATGGTACTGAAGATTTTGTTTAAATATAATGTCGACCGAAAAACGGCCAGCTACTTCAGAAAATACCGAAGAGCAAAATGATGAGGAATGGATTGGGCCAGTGCCATCTGAAGCGGCTAAACCTAAACCAAAGAAACGAAAAGGTATCGTAAAGTTCGAGAAAGTTAGTACTTGTATTGGTATAAGAAGAATTTTCCAAAAAAATTCTTTATTTTAACTGTACCTATATTAACTTACAGTGTTGGAATTTGAATCTCTATACCTTGAAAATTTACCATCATCTGAAACATATGAAAAAAGTTACATGCATAGAGACGTGGTTACTCATGTTATTGTCACAAAGACGGACTTCGTTGTAACTGCCAGTCAAGATGGCCATCTTAAATTTTGGAAGAAACAGGTAACATGGAATTATAAGCCTATGGAGTTACAAACTCTTGACATTAAGAAATATTACACTATAACTCACAACTAATATAATATAACAAATACTTTTGTTACAGGAAGAGGGAATTGAGTTTGTCAAACACTTTCGTTGCCACTTGGCCCCTATAAGTCATGTTGCTGCTAATAGTACTGGTTCTTTGCTTTGCACAACTTCACCTGAGAAGACGGTCAAAGTCTTTGATGTTGTAAATTTTGGTGAGTTTCAGCAGTTTAGGCATATTTGAGCCTTTATTTAAATATATATTAATGTGAGATAGTATCTTTGCATTTTTTTTAATCTAATCTCTTTACTCATGAGTGTTATATATAAGGAAAAATTTGCAATTTGCACAGGGTGTTAGGGTAGGTAAAAATGAAAGATGAATATACTTAATTTATCACATCATCTGTCATTCTAATAGTGATATTGTTTAGAAAAAATCAATACAACATAATAATTAACATTAAACATTAATTACTTTCTATTTTCAGATATGATTAACATGATATCTATAGAATTTGAACCATACTGTGCAGAATGGGTGCACTCTGCAGGTGATCCCATATCAGCATTAGCTATGTAAGTTTTACGTTACTAAAGCTTTAGGAAAGAAATCCTTGTACATATAATGAATTTTTATCATATTTGTTTTTTAATTTTATATTATATAAATCTTTATTTTTTCAGTATCATTTATATTATATGCAAAAACTCATGTTGATTTTCATTGCTGCAAGGGTGGGCAAATTACCAATCTATGTTGCAGATTTACGATACTATAAGTTATATAACAGAATGGTCTTATATATTTTACAGATCAGAGAGGTCAACAAATAAAATCCATGTGTTCGATGGAACACAGAGTTCTGGCATTCCATTGCACACTTTTGAAACACTGCATCAAAGTGTGGTAGCCACCATTGCATATAATCCAGTCTTTGAGACTGCAGTATCTGTTGACAAGGCGGGAATTGTGGAATACTGGACTGGGCCGAAACACGAGTTCCAGCTTCCAAAAAATATAAAATTTCGTTCGAAATTGGATACAGATCTGTTCGACTTTGTCAAGCACAAGACATATCCCACTTCATTGGCATTCTCACCTGATGGAAAGAAAATGGCTTCAATCAGTTTGGACAGGAAGGTCATACTTAAAACATTATAATTAAAATAAATTGACTTGCATGTCTCTTCACACAATGATAGAAAACAGAGATTAATTCTATTTCTACCTGTTTCATTCTCAAACTCAAATTTCTTTATTCAATATAGAATCACTACATTTACTTATTGATTGTCAAAAAATTCTACTTGCATTAATACTGTCATTTTAATATTATCATATAAGTTAAGTTTTGGAGAGGTTACATTTCTTAGTAAATAATGTTTTAGCAACTAGATTATTATCTGTAAATAAATTTACAGAGAGTGAATATGTCAGCCAGAAGAAATTTTCTGGCATTAGAAGAAAAAATTATACCTTTACCAGGTCCTTTTCCATCTTGTATTGGAACCTTTGCAATCATTGTATTGCTTTATACAATTTGTGTTTTCAATGTATTTAATAATTGTAATTTGCAAAAGAATACACCGGCTACCTAACTCACTAGACTAAATGCGAAAGTATAAAACTTCCACTTCACGCCGGTATTCTGTGACGTTGTGACACTCCACTGGTGAGCGAGCCCATTTGTGCAACAGCAGATGCTGCTGCGTGGCCTTACCGCAATTATCATAAATATTTACAAACAGAGACTTTTTTTTAAATCTATTGTTTTTTACCAATATTTAATATAATCTATTTTATTAAAACATGTAGAAAAAGTACGAAAAGACTGTCGCCGCTGTGGGAATCGAACCCACGTTGTCTTTCGTCGTCTTTTGTCAACTTTCGTCATTGTGGCTATCAGCCGTTTAGCTCAGTGGCTAGAGCGTCAGGCCCCGAATGCCGAAAACGTGGGTTCGATTCCCAGAGCTGCGACAGTCTTTTCGTCCTTTTTCTACATGTTTTAATGTTCAATCTTAAGTGCAGAGATTAGCACTATAAAAAACTTTAAAATTTATAATCTATTTTCTAAATACAAATGTACTATATTGAGACTTGTACTATTGTAATGCTTGAATGTCATACTTGCAGGTGCGCGTTTTCCACTTCCTTTCGGGAAAACTGTACAAGGTTCTTGACGAGAGTCTCCAGCGGTTCCAGGACTTGCAGCACCAGGCGCAGCAGTTGCCCAATATGGAGTTTGGTCGCAGGTTACACATCTTTTTTGTTTAGAAATTTTTGAAATGCCGAGGTGAAAAGAAAGCAGGCTGTTTACCCGTTGTTAAGTGATTACTTTAGCCCATGGACATTTTCACCACTTGTGGGGCTAAAGATGCATCTCCAAGTTATGATAGATTCAGCTCCGGCTACCTCACTCACCAGATGAAATGCAAATGTATAATCTTTCCATTTAACTTCACACTTCTCTTTTGTAAAGCGATAATACTAGCTATTATGAATTGGCAAGCTATTTGTGCACGGTTGCACGAATCTTTATTCAAATAAAAATAAAATAAAATTTCTTGTATTTATGCGATTACACATTACTAAATGAAACTATGTTTACGGATTTGTCGTGTCTATTCTTAGTTTTATTTTCCATTTTATTCTGTCTGTTCTGTGACTATGAACGCTGAAAAGTTCGAAACGTTCAGTTTAATAAGTGTAATGCTCCTGTGTTGAATAAAGATATTTGATTGAATTTGAATAGGCTATTACTACGACCTGGTTGGTACCCTCTGATACAGCGGAGGCATTCAGCAGTGGGAAATAGATGGGCTGTATTTTTTAACCGACTTCACACTTCAAAAGGGGGAAGTTCTCAATTCGATTGTATTTTTTTATGTTTGTTACCTAGAACTTTTCACTGAGTGCACCGATTTTGATGATTCTTTTTTTTATTTTTCCCATATTTTATTGCTTTTGAATTTTCGGCTCAAAGTATCAGCCTATACATATCCCACTGCTGGGCAAAGGCCTCCTCCGTACAGAGGGTATCAGGGCATAGTCCACCGCGCGGCCCCACTGCGGATTGGCGGACTTCACATATCTGCGAAATATTTTTTTTTGTTATTGTTATTTATTCGTTAGTAAGAAAATGGTTATTTTTTTAATGTACCCGCATCGTTATTTTAAATGTACCCGCATCGCAGGATGGCGACCGAGCGAGAGCTGGAGAAGTCCGAGAGCGCGCGCCTCGCCAACGTGGTGTTCGACGAGAGCGGCCACTTCCTCTGCTACGCGACCATGCTCGGCGCCAAGCTGGTCAACCTGACCACCAACCGCTGCGCCGCGATGCTCGGCAAGCCGGAGAACCTGCGCCCGCTGCACCTCGCGCTGTTCCAGGTGAGTGGGGGGGGGGGGGTTGAGGAATTTGAGGGTTGTGAAAGAGACACAAGTGATTTTAGATCCGATGTCAAGGATTAATTTGAGCAGCCAAAGATGGGGCCCATCGTTCGCTCACATTATGCTGCAGAGAAATCGACGACTCTGTTCCATCGTTCGCAGGGGCGCACGAACCAATCTAAGGTGGCGGCGACCCTCGAGATGGAGGGCTCGGAGAACCCCGCGCTGCTCACGGTGCGCACGGACCCCACGCTCTTCTGCAGCGCGTACAAGAAGAACCGCTTCTACCTCTTCACGGGGCGCAGCCCTGACGACGTGAAGAGCCCCGAAGCCGACCGGGACGTATTCAACGAGAAGCCCTCGAAGGAGGACATCATCTCTGCCACAGAGGGCCAGGGTAAGCGGGCCCTTTGCTAAGAATCAGAGGGCCAGGGTAAGCGGGCCCTTTGCTAAGAATCAGAGGGCCAGGGTAAGAACCCCTTTGCTAAGAATCAGAGGCACGGGGCACGGGACCCCCCCTTTGCTAAGAATCAGAGGCCCGGGTAAGCGGACCCTTTCTAAGAATCACGGGGCCCGGGTAAGCGGACCCCTAAGAATCAGAGGGCCGGGACGGTAAGCGGCCCTTTCGAAGGAGGCTCTGCCAATCAGAGGCCCGGGTAAGCGGGCCCTTTGCTAAGAATCAGAGGGCCAGGGTAAGCGGGCCCTTTGCTAAGAATCAGAGGGCCAGGGTAAGCGGGCCCTTTGCTAAGAATCAGAGGCCCGGGTAAGCGGACCCTTTGCTAAGAATCAGAGGCCCGGGTAAGCGGACCCTTTGCTAAGAATCAGAGGGCCAGGGTAAGCGGGCCCTTTGCTAAGAATCAGAGGCCCGGGTAAGCGGACCCTTTGCTAAGAATCAGAGGGCCAGGGTAAGCGGGCCCTTTGCTAAGAATCAGAGGGCCAGGGTAAGCGGGCCCTTTGCTAAGAATCAGAGGGCCAGGGTAAGCGGGCCCTTTGCTAAGAATCCGAGGGCCAGGGTAAGCGGGCCCTTTGCTAAGAATCAGAGGGCCAGGGTAAGCGGGCCCTTTGCTAAGAATAAGAGGCCCGGGTAAGCGGACCCTTGCCGATGAATGCGGAGCTTTTGAATTGCACTAAAGTTGGTGAATAAGGGGATTTTCGCAGTGCCGAAAGCTCTTGTCTTTGTTCTTTTGCAAAAGAATAATCGATTCTCATGCTCGATTCGCATGCCGTGATAGCTCAGTGTCCGGGCGTTCGCCTTTAATTCAATATACTCGAGCAACCTGAGTTCGATCCCCGGTGCCGGCACCAATGAAGTTTTTAACTTTAAGTGCTGACTTATCACGTGCTCAGCGGTGAAGGAAAACATCGTGAGGAAACCTGCATATTCTCGAAATAATAACAAAAAAAAAATGTTTCGAAGATATGTGAAGTCCGCCAATCCGCAGTGGGGCCGCGTGGTGGACTATGATACCCTCTGTATAGAGGAGGCCTTTGCCCAGCAGTGGGACATGTATAGGCTGATACTTTACTTTTACTTTTAATCGATTCTCGATGATGACTCCGCGCCGCGGTTGCCAGGGTATCGGCTTCGGCGTCGGTGGTTGTTGCTTCGATTCCCACACGGGACAACTATTTGTGCGACTCACAGATAGTAGTTGTTGTATCTGGGTGTTTGTCCGCGTGGAATTTATGTCTTTATAACGTCCTTACCACACATAATGTTATCGTAAAGTGAGGGTAACGTTTTTTTTTAAAAAAAGAAAACAATTTGTATTTAATGGTAGAGACAAAATTGTTGTAACAAGTTTTGCATATGGTGTAAGTATTATGTAATCTGTGAGGCAATTGGGATATTTTTATATGTGTTCTCCCTGGTAAGAGAGCTGACGGTTCACTGGATGTTAAGTGATAACCTTTAGGTTACAAATGCGTTGCAGCCGTAAAATAAAGTTGGCCTCGGTAAACCCACTCGCCGGACGAAGCGCCAGAAGTATAACTTACACTTGCAACCGACATATAGAAGGAACAAAAGATCGTGGATAATTATTGGGACGGACCTGTAAATTCGTGCGACAGCAAAGACTGTTGCGTGGCCCCGCCACAGCAAAAGAGCCAAAATGTCGGCAATGTCGACCGTCGTTATTATTTCCCTTTGCGTTTGTTCGCGCCACGTTCCTTGTGTAAACGGCGGGGGTCGGTCACGTTCCGCTTTCGGCAGGCGTGCAGCGCGTGTACGAGCAGGCGATCCTGCACACGTCCCTGGGCGACGTGCACGTGCGCCTGTTCGGCGAGGTGGCGCGCGCGGCCGAGAACTTCTGCGGGCTGGCGCGCAGCGGCTACTACAACGGCCACCTGTTCCACCGCGTCATCCGCGGCTTCATGGTGCAGACCGGCGACCCCACCGGTGCGTTGCCTTCGGCCCGCCGCTTTTGGGCCAACGAACGCCGAGCCCAGAGGTCGCGGCGGTCGCTTCAAGTGGTGTAACCTCACGAGCCGTGGTATCGTTGGTTCGAGACCAACAAATGTAGAGCGTAGAGGCCGCGACAGTCGCTTCAAGTATTATAGCGCGGAGCCGCAGTGAGACTAGTTTCAGAGCAACAAACGTGGAGCTTAGAGGTCGCGGCGGTCGCTACAAATGGTTTAACCTCACGAGCCGCGGTAACGTTAGTTTGAGAGCAACAACCGTGAGACCTAGAGGTCGCTTCGAGTGACTGGCCCCTCCGCCGTTTATTGCTCTGAAGCTCTGAGCTGTAATAATTGTGGCGACCGTCGCGACCTCTAGGCTCCACGTCTGTTGCTTTTAGACCAACGTTAGCGCGGCTCGTGAGGTTATAATCTTAAAGCGACTGTCGCGGCCTGTACCCCTGGTCTCTACGTTTGTCGCCCTGGGCGTGGGGGACGAACCTCACCGACGCCCTGGAAACCAGCCCCACCGTTGGCCTCGCGGCTCGTCAGCTACAATACTGGACAACCGTTGCGGACGCACCTGCTGGACAGGGGTTTATGAAATGAGAATAAGAATTCCACACTCCATAAAACCGAGTCACAATTTCTATGATCTATGCTCTCCGCAAGTTTTCACATATTTCACTATTCCACAAGCTCGGTACAAAAAATTTTTTGTATCCGTACTAGCCTTGAATACTTCGAAGACGTTACGTTACATTCGTTTGGTAAATCCTAAACGAATCTTCGATAGTGTCAGTATATTAGCGGTTGTATTAAACAATATAACACATCCATTTATTGATATGCTGTGAGGCCTTGATAAACAGCAAAAGCTGCTGCATGGACCTTAAAACATCGATTTGGTGTATGAACACATGAACACTGAACTTTGTACACATAAAACCATCTATTTAAAATAAGTAAAATAATAAAATGGAAAACTTAAAAAAGTTTTACCCGATTGTTGTCGATCCCCACTACTGGTAAAATATTGTATGATGAACATAGTGTTTTTCCTTTGTCTGATTGTTTATGTGTTTTTATGTATTTATTTACAAAAGGAAAGTATGTTTATCAGTAATCTAGTAACCGGACTAGTGAGCGTTGTGTAAAAATGTGTCCTGAAATATTTATTTATTTAAGCAATATTTATCCGGAGGGGTAGAATGAGGGATGTGTTGTGCAGGAACCGGCACGGGCGGCGAGAGCATCTGGGGCGGAGAGTTTGCGGACGAGTTCAAGCCGCACCTGAAGCACGACCGGCCCTACACGGTCAGCATGGCCAACGCGGGGCCCAACACCAACGGCAGCCAGTTCTTCATCACGCTCGCGCCCACCGTACGTGCCGCCCCCAGCCGCCACTTCGCACCAGCGTCTCCTTGTATTTTACGTGCGAAGGTGGCAAGGTGATCTGAAGTGATAACCGCCGCCCATTGGCATTTGCAACACCTGTTCGGTGGCAGATGCTTTGCCACCTTTCAATAAAGTGCACTCCGGCTACCTCACTCAACAGACGAAACGCAGAAGTGTAACACTTACTTCACGCCGGTCTCCTCTCCATTCGTGAAACAGACTGTTGCGTGACCATTTTTTTTTTTTTTTGGAAGAAGTGTTCACCGGATTTTACGGTGGTAGGGCCACGCAGCAGCCTCGACTGTTGCACGAATAAGCAGGCCCGTCCGGGTAAGTACCACGACCTCACAGAAGACCTGCGTAAAGTGGAAGTATGACAAATACTTTCGCGTTTCGTCTGGTGAGTGAGGTAGCCGGAGCCCAATTTTCAAAAGGTTGTCAACGCATCTGTAACCCTCGGGTGTAGCAGATGTCCATGGGCGGCGGTATTCTCTAAGCATCAGGTGACCCGTCCGCTCGTTTAGCAACTTTTCGCATAAAAAAAAAATGAATACCGCCGTCCGTTCGCGGAAACGGCATTTAATGGCTGTTTCCGCGAACACTACACTGTGCTAAATGATACCATTTTATCACACCGTTTGACAGCCTGTCGCTTGAAGACGGTCGCTATAGTTTCCTAAAGGTCCTAAATTGAACATCGTAAGTTTTGCGTAATCCACATTAAATACGATAAAAAAAGTTTTTCATTAGCAATATTATATGAGTTTCATTCCTTACAATATCATACTGTACACCGAAAAATGATGTTTTATTGTTCATTGCGTGCGATATTTACCTGTAAGTACGTTAAGACCTTGTATCATTAGTGCGTGTACATTGCATCAGTTGTCAGAAGGCTTAGATAAATTAAAAAAAATATATATTTTCTTAATATTTTCACACTCCCCGTCCGCAGCCGTGGCTGGACAACAAGCACACGATATTCGGACGCGTCGTCCGCGGCATGGAGGTCGTGCAGAACATCGGCAACGTGAAGACCAACCCGAAGACCGACAGGCCCTACGACGACGTGCGGATCATCTCCGTCACGGTCAAATGAGACCCCCGAACCCGCTACGGTGCTACGTCGCTACGGCACACACCGCTACGCCAATATAAAATCTGTGATCGACTGTCAAATTCGTTTCATTTCCCATAACGTCAGTTTGGGTAACTTTGAACATTTTTTACAGAATTCGTGCTATTACAATTTGATTTATATGAATTACACCTTTATTTTATTGAATGAATAGTGTCCTTTTAAGTTGGTTTATTTTGCCGACACAATAAATTTACGGAAAAACAACAGAACTATCCACAATTTCCCCACAAACTCAAATTCAAAGTTGCAAGTTTGGGGTAACTTTGAATATCAATTTTTTTAAGAATGTAAAAACCATCATTATTCGAATACTTTATGATTTGGGTAAAATTATATGACGTATTTTCATTAAATAAAACCTAAAATGTACATCTACATTAACGTTTAAACGTGATAGATAGCTTGGTCTTGCCATTTGAATCAAGGTGAACCAATTTGGTGGGAAATAAAATAGTTTTTTTTTAATAATTTTTTATATATAATATAATTTTATTTATAATTATATAATATAATATAATTTTTCATATCAAGGGAAAGTTGGAACATAGAGTGTAACGTAATAAATTATATGTTTATTTGGCTATTAAATAAGATCAAAATCATAATCACTAGTAATTATATGTGGCCGCTTAGATTATTTCAACAAAAAACAGCACCTTGTCACCTTGAATGGTAAGAATCTCAGTTATTTGCTGATTTTAAAATTTTTGTTTGTATTATATTTATTTTGTCATGTTTAACAAATTATTGCCCTGATTTTGGATAAGATCCTGTCTTTTGAGGACGAACGTTTACATAAACTCTGAGAACACTTATGCGGAGCAAATATCTATGGCTCACACACTTATATTCCTATTTCGAATGCCATAGGGCTGGTGCTGCACAATACACCCTAGCTGCTCTGGGTGCAAGGAGACGTACGTGCATAATTTAATTCCCCGCACCATTCCATCTGCCTCCAAAGCCGTGATCAAAGCTCACTGTCCGGGCGCTCGCCTTTAATTCAATATACTCGAGCAACCCCGGTGCCGGCACCAATGAAATTTTTAGTTGTAATTACTGACTTATCACGTGCCCTGCGATGAAGGAAAACATCGTGAGCTAACCTGCATGTTTTCGAAATAATAACAAAAAATAATTTTGAATATATATTATATATAGTATATATATAATAATAATGTGAAGCATGCAGTGGGACATATCTACTTTACTTTACTTTTATTCCATCTTCGTACAGCAAGACGCTCTGCAGGACTCCACCCTTTTGTTTTTGAAATTCCACGTTTTCGTACGAAGATCTTCGCCTCGTCTTACGTAATGCGTACAACAAAGCAGTGGAACAATGCCAGCGTCAGTTGTACCGTCCCATTATAAGTTTCTTCAAGGAAACAGTTTACCAACTAGGATTACATTTCTCTTACGGTCCGGTGAGATAGCGGTCAAGCATTGGCCAGCAGGCCTACTCCCGACAGATTCGAGTTCTGAAGCAATCGAGTTTGCCTCGAATCCATGACAGTTCGGACCACTGAATCTGACGCCAGCGCACAATCAAGCGGTGGCTCTAATTGGAACTAAGATCGAATAAATTTTCGGAAAAAATTATGCAATTAACATTTTATCTAAAAGAAGATGTTATAACCGTATCGGCACGGTCTTGTTTCTAGTTTCGATTCGGTTCGGGAGTAAGCTTTTCAAATCGAGTTCGAATCAAGAGTGAGTTCCAATCGAAAACAAAAACAAATTCTAATCGAATTTGGAGAGTAAGGCGGCAGGGGAAAACAAAAAAAATAATCAACCCTACAGTCTCTAAATCAAATCCCAGAGCTACGCAAATGCGACATCAAACACCAAGTGGTATTGTAATCATTAGCAGATATCAGGTAATTAAGATTTTTTTTGGTATACATTTTTCTATGGTAGAGTCACGGAACAACGTCTTCTGCTTCACGACTGGGCAGGCTCGTACGGAGAAGTACCGCGGCCTAACAAAACACTGAGGGGAGTGAAAGTTATTATACTTTCGTGTTTCTTCCGGTCAATTTTAACTAATTGACCGGAAGAACGGGGCCCAACGGTTGTCAACGCATGTGTAAGCCCCTAAGGTGCTGTAGATGGTGATGGGCGGCGGTATCCACTTAATATTTTTCCGTTAGTAGGGATCGAATCCACACCCTCTGCGCAGGAGGTAGGTACACTACCCACTACGCCATGATAAACAATATGAAGTAATCTGTCAAGTTACCAAAGGATTTGTTAGGGATATCTAATGAGATCTTCCTTGATTTCTTTTTTTGCAACTTTTTGGATTTTAAATTGTCATAAGTCAATTTTCATAGTTTGCTTTTAATTGTTCGTTGAGATTAACTTTCGTTTATTTGTAGATAATTAAATGTGTTTTCTTGTCACCAAAACAATGATGATTTCTTTAAACAGTGTCTATAATTATACTTTTAGAAAATGCGTTTATTCTATTAAGAGACACAACTTTTTTTAATAATTTTAGGTTAGGTGTCGGCCGAACACGTTCACGGATAAGTGGTTCGTCACCATCTATTAGTGGACGATTGGGTTGTTGTTTATTTCATATTGATTGGTTAGGTAATAGGTTTGTTCGTTGCAAAATTTAACAATCAAGGAGCGACGTCACAAAGACTTCGTATATCAATTAAATCGTGGAAAGCGATATGCTATCTTTTAAATTGATGGATTACTTTTAAATAAGGTGAAATAACTTAATTGTGTTGACTCAAGCCATGATGATTCGCCCCAGTTTGCGGGTCTCCTGTTTATTGGATAGAAAAGTTTACATATTGTTGGAAGATAGGAGGGTAGTAGCACACTGCAACGGTCGGTATAAGCGCTCGCTGTGTTCAGGGGACTCCCCCGGGGACTTTCTCGTCAGCCGTTGTAGCGCGCGGAAGCTCTACCCGAATTAATAACGATCGTGTCGGTAACTTAGAACTGTAATACAACTCTACGTAGTTTTGCTCACTGGCCACTAAGTTCTTTTTAAAAAAAATCAATTATCGTTTCTATTTCTAAGAATATTATAATCTTAGTTATATAGCGTGTCTTTACCATCGCGACAATAAATGAACACACATATAGAGGATTACGGACATACTGAGTTATCAAATTTTCCCAAACAAAGAATTTTAGAACACCCTTACGTATAAAACTTTAATGTTAAGTTCCTTTGTAAAGGTCACAAAGCATATGAATGGGTTGAATGAATTTAAAAGAGATAAAACATACTGTTAGAAGGAGAGACTTGTAATGTGACGTTTTGGCAACGAATGAAAAAGTCTCTGAATGTATGAATCAGTCAGTTGTAGTTGTATAGAATGTTACAAATTTTGTATCTTTTTTACTTAATTAGTTTGTTTGAAAAATATATTTTTTAATTATGAATTTTTTTTTAAACGTTAACATTTTTTTATGATTATTGACAAGTAGCTTTAGACGTGTGTGCATTTATTGTCGCGGTGGTAAAGATACGCTGTATACTCGCTGAGTTCATCAGTCATTAAAATAATGAGGCCAAAATCAGATTCAATGTTTATTTTTACAGAAACTGTGAGAACCTTAGGTGTCATCGAAACTAATATAGGGCCCATAAAAATGAACCAATTTATTTCTTAATATGTAGTCTTGTATTTATGTTAGTTCATATAAACGTTATCAGTAATTAATTTACCAAATGATTCAGACTAAATCAATTATTGAGATTCACTCGTGTATACACTGCTAAAATATGTGTAAATAAATGTTTTTCTTTAAATTCTGCGTAGACAAGAGGTCTTTTTTTAAAACGCCGAACTTATTGCATTACTAGTTGAATATTTTCTCACATAATAGAATTCGTAGTTTTAAATTTCAATTGATCCAAACTCTGAAAGTGTTAAGCTTCAAAATTCCTTGTGTTCTATTTGTTCTATTATGTTAAATACTAGTGTTACGCACTTTTACATATTAAAAGTTAATCATTCGTGCGCGATTCCGACTCGTACTTGGCCGGTTTTTATTGGTCTGAGAGTCATCTTCTATGAGAAATCCAAAAAGTTGCAAAAAAGTTTTTTGGAGGGGCTAACTTTTTTAAACATATTCTGTAAGTATTAAATGAAAAATGAAACTAGTATCATTTAATACTTACAGAATCACATGCTTATCATTCCATAATTTATAAAATGTTGGTGTGCTTGGATTTAACCAAGCAAACCAACACTGCTAGACCTCAAGATACCATAAGCTCCTTTTGCGTAGATCGGAATAAAAACAAAATAATTGACGATAGCCGTGGTTATTATGACATCAAGACTAGTAAGAACTTAGTCTGTCTCGTGACCATGAACGCCGGAAAGGGTTCGAAAAGTCGGGAATTTCAAATCAAAATAAAAACGCGATAAAATCCGTAAACTAGTTTCATTTAATATGTATAATATTCGTGTAAAATCAAGAAGTCTCACAATCAAATTGAAGGATGAGAGCCATCTAGTGAATATTTTTTAGTTTCCTAAATAAGACCTAGATGGCGACTCTGTTTCTTTAAGGATGATATAACTGTTATCCCATATTATGATAACAGTAATCTTATGATTATCATGTATAATATCTAAATATGAATGCTTATCAGATCCATAACAACGTTTTATTATTTCTGTACACACATTTTTCATAGCGATATAGCATAAGGATGGGAAAAGAAATGAACGAAGCTTTGTAAAATCACAAACAAAAACGACGTAAATGAGTTACAATCATAAGTCAAGGTTGAAAATAAAACGAAACCGTGGCCAGAGTTCTAAAAGCCATAAGCCAAAGAAATTTAAGTGCATTATATTTTCCTTCTAATATTGCTGGACTTATCTGTTGAGTGAGACGAGCGGAGGTATATTTCTATTCTTGTCGCACTCGCGGCGGGCAACAGTTCGCCCGCGCGCCGCTCGCATATATTTCCCTGCACCGTTCGGCTACCCCGCCTCCGCCTCGCCCCAAACTTAATCTGTTTCCATTATCGTTTAATAATAATTGATGCGATTGATTTAATAATTCAAGTACTCGCGATGAACATTAATTTGTTAGATAGAATCTTCTAGATTGAATGTAGCTAAAAACTTTAAAACCTTACGTCTAAAATATTGCGACATTATTGTGAGACCGGTTAGGTGATATAGATTTAAAAATTATGATTAACATTACATATGACATTAATTATCTCATAATAATTATTATCATTACTATCCTTAATTCCTTACTAATATTATAAACGTGAAAGTTACTATTTCACGCAAAAACTACTGAATAGATTTTAATAAAACTTATAATAACATAGCTTATACATCAGAATAATACAGAAGCTATAATTAATCAAGATATTGTGTAAAATATAGGTAATGATAAGTATCAACTAAGTAGGAAAAAATTCAGCCATCTGCGAGATATTCTTTGATCGCGCGGACGAAGCCACGTTTAACAGAGAGTTTTTTATATAAATGACAGTAAAATTTCAGTATAAAGAACACTTTAAAGTTCAGTATGAAGAAAACTGTACAGTATGAAAAAACCTCATTTGAAATATGTACTTAATATTAAAAATGAAAATTAAACTTTCAAGTTATGAATAAACGGTTTTGTTATGTATTGAAGTAGATTTAAATAAGTTTTTTTCTTATTTCCCTATGCTTTATCGTTGACGTCGTAACAGTGGGCACGGAGCGGCTGATTCTCAGTAATCGCACCAAGTCGTAAACAGCCCGCTGTGGCCTCGCGTTTCGTTACGATATATTCCACCAATAGCGTGAGTTTTGTTCGCTATATCACGTCATAGTTAACCAATGAGCGCACGTTATTATCACGCTACGACCAAAAATAACTTATCTGAGTCATGGCATAAAAGCAGTGGTTGTTTCTTAACAATGTTTAGAAACAAGTGGAACGTTGAGCGGGTTGGACGTGTGCAGTAGTCGCACGAGAAAGTTTTCTCCGCGCAGTGAGTTCAGTGATACCGAGGCGTTCAGTGCTAACACATGGTTCGGCACTCCGGCCACGGAATGGAGACCACGTTCTACGACGAGCAGTATCCCCTCAGCGGTCCGGTGGAAAGTCTCAAACGGACCCTGACGCTGGACCTGGACTTTGGGCGAGGCGGGAAACGGTCGCGGAGCAGCGCACCTGTGCTCTCTTCGCCGGACCTGCAGCTGCTGAAGCTGGGCTCGCCCGAGCTAGAGAAGCTGATCATTCAGAACGGCATGATAACTACGGCGACACCGACGCCGGGCGCGGCGGTGCTCTTCCCCCCCGCCGCGCCCACCGAGGAGCAGGAGATGTACGCGCGGCCATTCGTCGAGGCGCTGGACAAGTTGCACCACGGCGAGCCGGCGCCGCTCGCGCGACGTGTTTACGCCGACCTCGACCGCCCCATCGACCGCTATCCCACGCCAGTGGTCAAAGACGAGCCGCAGACTGTCCCCAGCGCCTCCAGCTCGCCCCCGCTCTCCCCCATCGACATGGACACGCAGGAGAGAATCAAACTGGAGCGCAAGCGTCAGAGGAACCGGGTGGCGGCCTCCAAGTGCCGGCGGCGGAAGCTCGAGCGCATCTCCAAACTGGAGGAGAAGGTTAAGCTGCTGAAGGGTGAGAACGCGGAACTGGCGCAGATGGTGGTGAAGCTAAAGGATCACGTGCACCGGCTAAAGCAGCAGGTGCTGGAGCACGCCAACGGCGGCTGCCACATCGACACGCATTTCTGATCGCGCGCGCGCCGCCGTCGCTCCCCCACATTCCATGCTAGTCGCGCCTGCTCGGACGCAGCATACAAAGCGTTTTGTGATCTTAATTTTACTGTGTAATATATAGTTAACTCTAGTTCGTAAGTGATGCTAAGTTAAGCATGTTGTGGTGTCAAAGTTTGAGAGGGTGCGAGTGACTGCAGAGCCATCGCCTGCGGGCTCCGTGTTCTGTCAGAGCTCGTTCGGGACTTGGAACGTACTTAGCGCGAGTCACAAGTAATAATTTCCATCGTAAGTCGCAGTTAGTTTTCCTTGTATCAGTATTGCGTTCGTCTCATTTAGAATAGTGTAGAAACTAGAAAGGATAATCGTGCAACGTCATTCGGTTGTAGACTGACTTCGCGGCGCGACGTTGCCAGTTCCTTTGCGAAGAATTTTTCCGTTTTAAGCGCTGGTGCCACACAGCTTTCACACAATCGGGCTTTTAAATTGTTACTTATGAACCAAGTGTTCAGACTGTTTGGTAATTTGTTATAGTTTTCTGTCAATTAGCCCTCACTCGCACGATAAACAGATGCACGGTGTCGTAAACAGAACGGAGCGAGCGCAAACTATACGGCTAAATGCGAACTCCCGCTAGTGCGAAAGGGACAGTCGTAGGGTTACAGCTGGCAACGACGCATCACACCAAGTCACGAGCGGATGTTCTGCTAATTAAAATTCCGCCTGGGCCGCCCTCGCGGAATGGTGGCCATGTGTTCGGCAGTCGGACGTTTCGAATCACGTTTTGTTGCACAAGGTTAACTTTTCATTACGACAATGGCGCCTCCTCGCTTGTCTGATTTGTTGTATTTGTTCGATGATTAAAATGGCGTGGAAGACTGATCGAATGTTAGATACGTGCCTTGTAAGAGAATAGTGCATAGCGCGAGCTATACTACCCTGACAAAATGTATTACCTGTACTGACCCGGTGCTCTTAAGAGGTCTTAGACATGAGGCCGTCCGATATACATAAATATATTAGTGGTCGAATGGGAGAGCATTTCTATATTGTTTAGAACGAGTGAATGTGAGATGTATTTATTAGTAAGAATGTTTACCAGTTAGGATCAAGTAGCAATCTCGAGTGCCTATGCTTTGTAAACTAAAGCCTACGTGTTTTATTGTTTTCGTTACCATTATATGTGCTACAGAGGATTGTTCTGTACCATTGTCTTCTGTAGGTTATTGTAAGTAATATTATACCAATTAACAAGTTGAATTGTTATAGACTATATGAGAGGGAGTTGCCGTGTGCAATATAAAGCTTTATTCGAGAATAGTTCTTGGTCGAGTCAGACACGGCAAACTAACCCTTTTTGTATTATTTTTATACAAAAGATTCATCAGAATGTTAACAATAATTTGTAAGTTTATAAAAGATAAAGAACCGTTATACTAAAATAATATATTTCTATGAATTTAACAAAGAATATTGTTTTATACTGAATACATATTGTATGATAAAACTGAATGGAGAGAAAATAAATTATGAAGATTATTATACCATTTACTTTTCAGTTTCATTTTTCAACCATGTTACCTGAATATGTTAAGTGACAAACTGTGTGTGGGATATCATTTATATCCTCTATCGTTAAAGATAATCGAAAATTGACGAATGTTAAGAAACTTTTACGAAAATACATTCGACATGAGACTGGAGAGCAAATAATTTCAAAATTGAATATAAACAAACAGAAGCCGCCTCGAACCAAAATCACCTTTTGCGCAATTCAAGGCCTATTTTAAAATATGTAATTGACTTAAGTAATTAATAGCGCTCCAAACCGGATCGCTTCACAAATTAATGTAATGATTAAAACGAATGCAAGCTATGCAATTGCACACAGCTGGTTGTTATAATGTAATGTTTTTCTTTGTTATTTACTATCGGATTGTGAACTGAAAACAAGGCTCGTGTGCGATAATGTATCTCCGTGCATCGGTCAAGGAAGCGATTTTTATGCTCCAGTATTTCGAAAAACAAAAAAAATCCGGCTGTTAGGTATAGAGATATTACCTCTTAGATTAATATACGTCACTAGCCTCTATCCCATCGCTGATTGAAGTAAAACATGAAAAAAAAAATGTTATGAATATGTATAACAACTTGTGGTATATTCATAATAAATTTCATTTTTTATGTAACGAAATATGCAGTGAAGATAACTCTTATTAGGAAAATATATTTGGATCAAGTTTCGTGTACAATTTTTGTTGGGAACGTTTTATACGTAATTAACATTTTCCATACATAAATTTCCTGTGGAAGTTTCCTGTTACGCATATAAATATCCCCAACGTCTGTGGCCGAAATTTTGCCGAAAACAATGCCGTTTTCCTGAAATTATTTTGGCTTTGTTATTTTCCACGAATATTCTTATCACATGTTTATTAAATAAGCCGGCATTTATTGGACCCGGTAAAATGTGGCATGTAATAGGCGTATACGTAAAATAACTATTGCCCGTCTTTGAAGGTCATGTGAAACTGTGCCAGAATTTACGTAACCGGACATCCGAATGCCACAGATGATGTGCTGTGACGAACTCGGCGATTTTACGTTTTAACTTCTCAATCATAGAGAAGATAGTGGTATATGGGATGGTTAAATACGTACAGGCAATACTGTTGGCTATTCGGTCTATAAAATGTCGGCCAGTATAGTTGGGCGCTGACGAATGTCAACATGAAGCCTACGCAATGTTCTTGTTCTTAGTAAAACAATCGGCAATATTTACTAATAAACCCAATGTTTACATTATGCGCTTTTATGCTTATGCTCGTATGTTATTAAAACAATCGTGTTTATCTGAAAGAAATTTTATATACACTGCACCTCCTACGGAATATTTTAGTAGCCGTAGACACCATGGAGTCTTATTTAAATAGCAGAACATTTCCACCTACATTTATTAATTAACAAAAGTCGAGTTCACTTAACAATAATTCTTTTTTTATTTAAAAAGAATTAATGTTAAGTACTTAACATTAGAATAAGGTAGTACTTAACAAAAGTAGAACGTGAACATAAAGGGTAAATAATTAATAATACAAGTATTGAGGGAAAAACTTCAGCGTTAATTTTTTACTTATACATAAGTACGTATTTTCATTTTGATAATAAATGTAGAAATAACAAAGTGGTCTAGTACGTAAGTATAGGTTTTAGTAGTTACATTAGTAGTCGTGATTTGTTAATAGTTTTAAATACATAGAACTTTACAAGAACGTTAATAACACGTAAGTATTCACGACAATGGAGTGACGACTTCGTGGCAGTCTATGAAGTAAGACCTGTGTAGGGTACTAAAACAAACTGAAACGAAGTTGATGATGATACTTCACACCTGTATGTCACCCGATGGTTGCACCTGTCCCCTCTACTAATATAGTTTGTCAGTTTTAATTGTCGTCAATTTGCTTAATAAGTAAAATGACAGCCTATATATATATATATACATACACGGCTTTGCAAAGGCCTACTCTGTACCGTGTATTATGGCATACCACGGTGGTCCACCACGCGATTTCGGATTGGCGGACTTCACATACTTCGCTGGCTCAGCGACCCAAAGAGGATTTTGGCCTTCGACACTAATCCTTCATGTACATCCTAGCAATCAACAATTCCTTTTGGTAAATTTTTCAGGTTGCCTGGAAGAAATTGCTGTGTAGCAATAAGGCCGCCTTTTGATGACCAATATTTTGTTAAATATTTTGTTTATTGTACTTTTTCATTTTGATTTTTTTGGTGTACATTAAAGTATATCATTATATTTATTATTATTATTGGGGGGATATTCATTTGTTTTCTCGTCTGGTTGGGTTTATAAATAAAAATAAAAATAAAGATACATATTGCATATATAAAATAAATATTATGAATAAAAATAAACATATACATATAATGTTGTATATAATACATATATATAAATAGGACGCAACCAGACGGAAGCCCTCGGCAGGGGAGACCAAACGGCCGAGGGTTAGGGCGATAGGGAGAGAAACCGGCGGACGATGCGGGCGGTATCGAGGAGCACCGCCTTCTGCATTTGAGCTTGGAGCAATCCGTCCCGGAGTCCCAGTCGCCTCAGATGTTTGGAGAGGCTGACTGGGATTAACCCATTCGCAGACACGACTATCGGGATAATTTCGGTCGGCACACCACCCCACATGTCGGTCACCTCGTGAGCCAGGTCCAGATACTTTGTCTTCTTATCTGTTTCGGCTTTCACGAGGTTCTCGTCATATGGAATGGTAATGTCGACCAAAAATACCCGCGACTGTGCCCGGTCCATCACCACGATGTCAGGTTATTATTCTCCACTGCTCTCTATTCTGGGCTGTCTCTTCAAGTTGGCTGACTGGAGAGCGCTCAGATCTTTCAGGACTTATCTACGAAACATTTTTTTCGCTTATTTCGAAAATATGCAGGTTTCCTGGCGATATTTTCACCGCTGAGCACGTGATAAGTCAGCACTTAAAACTAACAGTTTCATTGGTGCCGGCACCGGGGATCGAACTCAGGTTGCTCTGTTATACTGCGTTAAAAGCGAGCCCGGTCATTGAGATATCACGGCCCTATTATAATTTCAATTGGTAAAATATGATTTTCGAATAATCGATTTATAAACTATCTTCAAAAGAACCTTTTATTCGGGTGGCCACCCGGATAGCTCCAAGAATTCGAAATTTATACATTTGTTAAATTATTTAAATGAAGTATTTCAGATAATACACATGCTAAATAATTAAATCGTTATACGGAAATGCAGGACAATCTCCGCTATTCAGTGACTATACCTAGTAACATTCCAAGAATAAAAACAAAATGTTGAAAGAGATTGTAAGCGTAGATAAAATCAACGTTTATTGTTAAACAGGCTTTCGATATTGGAATGGTTCCAAAAAAAAAACACTGCGTGCGGCCGAGCGGCGGTTGCCGGTGACTCACACAGCTTAACAAAAAAA